TGAACGATATGAATTCGTGAAAGCTGCAATGCTGTGTGTATGAGTCCTGAAAAAGAACAAGGCCAGAGCAGCTGAAAACGTTGCTAGGACTGACACTTAAGGCCGTCTCCTATCATGGGCTGTTCTGGGGCCCTCTTCTCGGATGGCGACAGTCGGGTCACATTAGAAGCTCGATCCAGTCTTTTATAGATCAGTGGAACGTTCAATGTAACATGTGCTCGCTTTCCTCCATGTGCAAAAAATAAAGACATTGACAGGATTCTTTTATCTTGTGTACAATGAAGTTTGTTAATTATGCATAATGGCACATAGCTTTCCATTTATAATCATCTAATTTGTTATTTATGCTACATATTACACGTTTTAGGACCTGTTTGTACGAGCTAAGTTTTTTTAGCTCATGGGAAGGCAGATGGGATGGAATCGCCGCATTTTTACATGTAAATTTAAATCACACCACTTTACTCCACCTAGTACACGTCATTTTTTCATCTTGGAATGTGAACGCGTGCGCATAAAAAAGACCCGCAAATTAAGCGTTCGCATTGCAGTGGCAAATTACATCGCAATAGGCAGGGGCTTGTTTAACATAAAAACTATGGGGCGATTGCCCCTCTAACACCAGTGACTTTCCATTGTTCAATGCCATAGGGTACAGTCTTCCACTGTGGATAAGCAAAGACTTCCTAGCCCACCCTCATGTTATTTCCCTTCAAAAAGACTATACCAATACGTCGAATGATTATAAATGATTATAAGACCATAGGGTGGCTCTTCATCTGGTCGTTAAATACTACACGATATAAAATTAGAGATTAAAATAGTTTAAATACAAGAAATGTAAATTGGAATTAAAAGTTAGGTTCTTCTCGTTATGAATCAAACTAAAAGTCTCTTTTTTGCTCCAGTAAGAAAATATTCTTTAGATTTTGATGAGAATTCGGCTTTCGTTTCTGAATTTCTTATCGCGTTTGGCATCTTGTTAAAAATTTCAGCTGCACTGTTCCTCAAAATTTTAGAATTTGTTGTAGTTGCAATTTGTGGTGCAGAGTTTGATCTCAGATGTTTACTGTTTTCTTTTAATGATATTTCAATATATGCTGGTTTGTTATGATCTGTTATATAATTAAAAGCCAGCTTCACAAGGTGCCATTCTCGTCTCTCTTTCATAGGTAACCAGCCTAATGATATGATATCCTTTTCTTTAACGTAACGGCCTATAACCAAACTTGCAGCTGCATTCTCCACCTTTTGTAGTCGTTTTTGTAGTCTTAATGAAAGAGGATGAAATACGACATCGGCATAATCCATTTTGGATAATATTAGCAACTCAGCAACTTGCTTTAACAAGCTACTTGCAGGATGCGATAAGGATCACACTAGCCCTAGATAAATCGTTTCCCACTATAATCGCAAGATGAATGTCGTCTCTCACCGCATGGGCTATAACGTGAGATAATTTGCGAATAATTTGAGGGTCTCACATTAGAGGAAGTGCATAATGATAATTAAAGGCCAGGGAGTCTATAGCGAAGCCCCAACAAGGGAAAAAGGGAGGGGAAGAGAGGGAGGAAAGATCAAGCTTGTTAGTTTTAGTCTTCAATAAAAACAGGTTCTAAGATTCTAGAAAGCAGGAATGATAGCGTAATCCTAAGTTTGCAAGATCTAGGGAGGAAGGATAAGTTCTGGGACAGAGTTCGTAAATTTGGCAAAGAGACTTGGAAAGGATGAGCATTGGAAGAGTGTCGGGTATTGTCTACATTTCTCAGGGGGCCAGGGATCATATCCTGAGAGCAATGTCAGTGGTAAGATCTCTAAAAATTAGCGAGATCAGCGACGCAGCGCCGATGGGAAATAGGATGAAGAGACTTTGTGAGTTTGCAGTTGATGACAAGGCGATGATTTAAGAGCAACATCCCAAAGGTGGGAGCAGTTAGCCAGGGAAGGATGGGTTTGAGACTTGTGAATGCACAAATTCGATTTACAGCCTCATTTTGGAAAATTCTTCTCTTTTGTACAAAATTGTTGATCCCAGGTTCGGATTTAGAGCAAGAAATTTAGTCTACTATAAAGTTATCATTATGTCATTGTTCTCGATATCAATTTTATGACGACATAAAGATGAAAATTTTATAAGCGATTTGGCCGTGATTAGCTACTAAGGGGGTGAAGTTTCACCCGGAGATTTTGCTGTCAAATCCCTTACAAGTTTTGTCTAACTAACTAACCAAACTTCATTTCTCTGTTAAATCTAAAATACAAGCACAAACAATATGAAATTGTGAAAATGAACTTGAGATGTCCAAATCAGCGCCATCCATAGAAACAAGGAGGAAAGTAAGGGTTGCGTTTGCGTGAAATAACAGCCTGTATAACGAGATTGTCTTTACTCCGCTTCTCAATTATTGGCGAAAAGAAAGTGGAGAGAGGTTCTAGGCTTGCAGTTGCAGTGCCGTCGGGACGAAATTCATACTAGGGGGGAGGGCTGCCATTGTTTTCACTACACTGTCATAAAGGAAGCATACTACTGTTTGGCAATTATTGGGGGGGGGGGCTCCAGCCCTCCCCTCTCGATTCCGACGGGCCTGAGTTGTACAAATATTGTTAGCAGATACTTTTTGTGAAGTCAACACAGTTTGCTGATTCTGGTCCCGTTATAATTTTGCTCCAGTGGCATTGCGAATGATTTTCAATTTCATTTCATTCAACAACATTAACCGCAATATATCATTGTTGTGAGTAAAACGAGTCTTAAGCGAATCATAAGTAGCTATTGATACTCTTGTTAAATGAAATTGTTTAAAAACATTTAGAATTCATTATCGGAAACTGAAGAACCGAAATCATATAATTAATGAATTCAATAATGAATGGGGCGAGAAAAAAGAGGGAAGACATCGTAACCATGAAGAACCAAGTAATGGTTCGAGCAGTCTTTTCCAGAGAAACACAATTCATGAAAATGTTCAAGTGCTTTTCTTCTCCATCTTATGTGCAACTCTAGATTTTGTTTTGCTCAGGAGCGAGAGTGCTACATAGAGAATTGTTCGTACCTGAGTACCTGTGGAACTTGATTGTCAAAATTTCAAGCCCCAGACCAGGGGGAACTTCCTGGGAGGGGAGGGGGGTAGTGGCTAAAGCCAGAAACTGTAACATTCTATACTTCTCCAACTTGGGGGGGGGAGGCTTAACCCAATTCTTGCCTCGGTCTTCCAAAATATTCCACCCTAAATTTCAGAATACTGAAAAATACTGAAGATGAGCTTTCGTTGCCCTTATGAAAACTAAAAGTGGACAAAAAGCTCTAGGACCAACTCAAAGCTGACGTTTACAGACACTCTCCCTTGCCACCTTCCGATAAAGATGCAAAAACAATTTTTAAGCTTTTTCTATAAATTTGTTGCGTTTTGAATTGTAATTTACGTCTGCCACGAACCCATGCCCCCCCCCCCCCAAACAAAGAGCCTCCGACGAAAGTGGGCGAGGGCCATAGCCCCACTTTTTTGCAAAACAATAGAGCTTTTATCAAGATCTTTTATATTTCCCCCCACTTTTTAATCTGTGTTGGAGCCTATCGAACAGTACATGGAAGGTTAAAAATGGAATGAACTTGGAGCGCCTAACGCTGGTCTAAGGCACAACATGAATCCGGGAGAGGTTCCTTTACAAATCCAACCCTTTCCGCCCGGTTCATTTCCTGTCCGGTCTGACGTCTGCGTTGTCATGCAGCAGCAGCAACCACATGCGAGAAATAATAAGCAACAAACGGAGGAGCCTGTGATAAAAAAATTGTTTTAAGTGCTCCGTGTTTATCCAAGAAAGAATGGGTGCGGAAATGTAGCCAGAGACCATTTCAATCGTGTCAAGGGCGAAGAAAAACATCTTCTGTTAACTTAACGCCTTCATAATAACGAAAGTAAAGCGGTGAGGTGCGATTCGTGTGCCCAATGCCAGCTACATTGTGCGCTTGTTTCTGTTGCACTACGAAGCCTCGTAAAAAGAATCAACCGGAAAAAGACAGCAATTTGGACAAATTTCCAAGGTAACACTAGAAATCGTGGCCTGTTATGTCTGAAAATGTTATGTTTTGTTAAGAACCTTTTCTGATTGTTTCAATGAAGTCTAATGCTAACGGAATATTGATTATGAAGAGGTTTTTTGACAGGCAGGCCACCGAATTACAGTATTTCCTGGCAGGGCTCACGACCTTGTTCGAACGAAACGATGATCTGCCAACATTTCATTTATTAACTTTGCGGATCACGCTGGCTAATGACGAAAAACTTTTTCAATTTGATTGTGATCGTTGTTCATGTGTTCGTCTGCTTCTGAATCGATCTAGATTCGTAACTTTTTTATTATCACGTCACGAGAGCACAGAATCCTTTCGAAGGTGAACGAGGGCTAGCAGACTTTTCAACATCAGTTTGAAAAACAACAGATAACTTTGGGAATTTAGGCACAAACTTTATGTTTACAAGTAAATCTCACAGTGTGCTTTGTGCGCATTTTCATTGTTTGTGGTTAGGATCATTTTATTTGAATAAAGACATCATTAAACGGAGATAGGAACAATATTTACCTTAAAACACAGGTTCTAACGTTTGATCACAAAAACTGGATCACTTTTTTATAAACCTGAAAATACAGAATTCAGGTCTAGAATTGCACTGCCCTGCGCCAGTAAAATTTTCCCCAAAATTTAGCAAGTTTATCTCATATGTTTTTTTTTTTAATATACTACCAGCATAAAAACATAATGCCACTCCTGTGTCAACAGTGCATAGCTTCATGGTATGATGCTGCCCAAAAAGAGCTTGCCAAGCTGATATCGAAAATCTTGCAAATTTATTTATACAGAGGAAGATTCAACTCTCTTCAGTATACATTTTGACACACAACTGCATTCTAAGCCTTTGGCCAAGAAAGAAAAGGTTGATATTTTGCCAACCCACAAGTTTTCTAACTTTGAAACCATTATGTTTCTGCCATTTTCTGGAATTTTTTCCTGATGCTTGTGGGATCATGATGCGTTATTCTATCTTCTAATCTCTTACTAGTGCATATAAGCACAAATCATAAATATCACCACAAAAATTTAGAAAATATTTGCTTAACCAAGCCTTAACATGAAGTTAGTCTTGATTTTCCCCGGATCCGTTAGACTATTTATAATTTTCACCAGTGCCAAGATAATGCTAGAACTGGAATAAAATTTGGATGAAATTTACAAAGCTGATTAGACCTTACAGGAATTTAGAAATTATTTTTAATGAGTATGGCCTTAAAAATTGGCTTTCCTTTAGTTTAAGTTCCCGAAATTGGCAAAAGAAATAATTTTGCTATTGTCAAATAAATTGGTTTTAAGAGTGAAAAAGGAATTATCAAGACCATAGAATGTCATGGCATGGGCAAACTAATAGATTTAAGAATGAACTTAAGAATAAGAACATTGACAAACTTAAGAATTTCCTGTAAAAATGGAATATATGTACAAACCTCATGACCTTTGGTTTATACCCTGAAGTAGTTCATAATTGAACCAAAAAAGGTTTAAGTGCTTCTAATGGAAGTATAGATATAGTCTGTGGGTTGTGGTCTGTGGATTATTGATGCTGTGGTGTTGAGTTCAGCCTGGGTGTATTCAAATATATTGAAGTGTGCATACAGAGCATACGCTAAAACTATAGAAAAGAGGTTTCATGACAGTGTACTTTAATATATAGAAGCAGGTTGGTTTTTTCCAGAATATCAGTTGAGAACCACGCCTTTTCTTTTTAAAAAAAGAGCAAAAGTGTATTTTCTTTAACAATAAATGTCAAATGGATCGAGGGTGGTTGCCATTTTAATCATGAAGTTAGAAAAGTCTCTAGGGGTTGAGGGGGAGAGGTTCCAGGGACAGAGATGCATGTATTTTCAAAGCATTTTTCGCTAGCAATCTTGGTGCAAGTAAAATTATCACAGCTTTTAAGAAAAAACACCTCCAGCCAAAAAGTTGCTTGCTTTGTCAATATCCTTTTGCTTCATGTAGAACATAGATTGATTTTTAGTTCCAAAGGTACATTGTTGGTTCATGTTATTTTGTTTTCAACTCATCAGAATTACTGTACTATTTAAGACAAGAGGAAGTGCCAGCACCAGGGCATCATACTGGCCTTGCAGGAGGAGAAAGGGGTCAGAAAATGAAAAGTTAGGGTGTCTTTGCATAAGGGTGGCTTTCAAGCTCCCATTGGATGATATGATTTGACTCAGTGGAAATACTCCATGGCAACTTTATTGGTAGTAGAATTAATAAAAAAGATATCAGAAACATCATATGCTATATTTATTAACCTTTTGCTCTTATTGACCTGGTTCAATACTTTTTCATTGCTTCTACATGAACTGCATGGTAAGGAAATTGATGGAAGCATTTTGATATAGACTTAGGGCCTTTTGGTGTACTAGCCAGAAGCAGCTGCCCCTCCAACCTCTGTGACAGTTCTTTGTTTAAGCAATAGTTTTAGGCCCTTTTTATATGAACAAAGCATTAACACCTAACTGTGGATAGAATAAGTTACTATTAATCTATGAATAAGCCTCCTGGATGCTTTATTAGACCCGGATTAATGGTGATGCTTCTTTTTATACTCTGAAAAGATCTTTCTGACATTGCCTTGTCATAGTTTCTATTGTGAATTCATATTACAAAGATACTGATACTGTTGGATATTGGTCAAGTGCAAAGCAAAAGAATGTGATGAATTGTACATTGCATGTGTAATGAGTTATTTCGTTATTCAAAGTTATTGAACTATCAACCAGCGCTAAACCTGGTCACCAGCTCTCTGTATTTCTTGACCAAGGAATGATTTTGTGTGATCACATTGAGAGGAAAGACCAGGGAACTGCCCAATGACCATAGCTTTCCAGTGTTCTAAAACCTCTTTTCAAAACTAGATTGCTAAAAATAAATGTACAGCAAGAATACATGTTTGGTGTAAAGGCAAAATTCTGAACATGCGAAGGAAAATACCATTTGAGAAGGAAGGAAAGAATTACGCATTAACATCGTAGGTGAAAGAAAATTTATAAAGGTATTAAGAATTTTATACCATTAAAATGGTCTTCCTCATTTTCTACTCTTGGGGGAGGGGCTATGTTGGGTTTGCAACTCTGCAGTGTCAACCCTATTTATGTGTGCAGCCTATTGATTTGGCAATTGATTTTCTGTGAATTGCAACTTCAGCATGAGGTGTGTTTTGTGTCTTTCCATCTAAGTTGTGAAAGGTTTACGGCTTTAAGGAAACAACTTGGAAATATTTTAACCAAAACATAGAATCAATAGGTGTTGCATAAGGTTTGAACCATTGCAACAGTGAAAGAGAGTGAGAGCGATAAGAGCTTGTCACAAGTTTCTTCTAGCAATGTTTCCCTTATGAGCAAGAAAGTTGGCTTTTGTGTTGCAGCACATTTTGCCATCCTATTCTGTTATGGGTTTTGGCCGATTTTTTGCATGGTTTTGAGGCTTTTGCACCCCCCTATATTAGTCCCCTCTCTTTGTATGACTGCATTTAATAATATTAAAACAGGCAAATAAACAAATATGCTGTTTTAAACTTGAAGTCATATTAATTTCCAGAGAGGATGAGTATGCTGCACCTTCAATACCTTACGGCACCCTGTATGTCTATGGGTAGGTGTTACATTTATTTCTTTATATATTAAGCTGTAGCAAGAACTAAAAACACTGCGAAGCATGTTACTTTGAGTAAGGCTAGCACACTTGACTTGTCTTGTTGTAGCATTTAAATGACTGTCTAAACTAAAGCAATTCGCTGGTCCTTTTCTCCTTGTTCTCGCTTAGGGAACCATATGAACTACAATCAATGGTTGATATATTGGGAATTTCGCAGATTTCTGTGGATACCTCACCTTACTTGTACTTGCTATCATAAAGTCATATTTTGCTCTTGACAAAGACATAAATGAAATCACCATTTCGCTGTCAATATATTGAAAGAATAATTCAAGGATAATTTTTCAAGGATCTTTTGATCATTCATTCAGAAGCCAAAATAAGATTTAGTATGTATTGAAGGGAGTCTAATACTTTAAAGGGCGTGTGTCTTGAACATGATTGGCTAATGCAGTGCAATTATATCTTTTGTTTAGTACAAAGCATGGAATCGAGGGTGAATTTTTGCGGCAGTAAAAATTGATTAAAAAAAATGAAAAGTCACGAAACAATTGAATTCCACGCCAAGCGCTTTTGTTTTATTAGCCAACTGCTAATGCGACATATGCCGTTTAAATGCGATGGACCAATTCGAGCCAATTTGAAGTATTGTGCAGCTAAAGAGTAACGAACAATATAATTAGGGCGAATTATTATGCTTTGCTTATTCAGAAGTTTTAAGGGGTAGAAATACAACAAATTCATGATTTGGCAGCAGCAGAGGTTGACGAAAGATGATAATCAGTTCCAAATCTGGTTATTCCAATCTTTCTTGATTCTTGTTGCAAATTGGCCCAATAATGGCGGGTTTCCACAATGAGGTTTCAATTTTAGATGATTTAGTTAGTAATCTTTCTTAATTGAAGAATCTTTTGTCGACCATTTTACAGATATAACGGACAACTTCCTTTACAAAACCGAGGACGATACAAGACATATTTTAAGTTGGAACAAAGATCGATGGCAAACGGTGTTTCTGTCGCCAGCGAATGCCCTTTGAACTCTGATGAAGCAAAAGCGGTTAGTAGTTAACTATTGATTCTCGTGTCAATTCTCAGTACAACATTTCATTAGCGTTTTGTAGGTTAATACTACATATACAATAGCGCAGTGTCAGGGCTTCTCTCTTTCTAGAGGCTGACGTGTGTAGGCTGGGATGGGAGGGGGCTCATGGAACATTTCTTCTAACTATTTTTTTGAAAAGTTTTGCGTAAGCTCACATTTATTTCGTAATATTTCTGAGTATCCCTGTTGAATCCTTCTTATACTCCTACTTAACAGATTTTTTTTGTTATTGTCAGGATTGTCAGAAGCATGCGAATATAGGATGGGGCTTCAGCCCCCAGTCATTTCTGAAAAATCTCTTTCACTGTGTCTTGTGTGAGTAAATAGTGAACCCTATCACTCATTAAAAGCATGTCAAATTGCTAAGAGCTGAGCCTAAGAATTGCTTATTCTTAGTCTCAATTCTCTGTGTTATGTTTTGTGTTAAGTCTTTTTCAATTTCCTCGTAGTTACCGGACACAGCCTACCGCTGTACTTTTAACGGACCTGCTACAAAAAATGTAGCAATTCACGAAATAGACAAAAACACTGACATGTTTCAAATCGGAAGGTCTGCGGAAAACCAAATCGATTTTATTGTCATGGACACTGTGTCCGGTGAAGAGAATATATCGGACAAGTTTGCATCTAGAAGCACGATATCGCGATTTGCATGTCGGGTAAATGTGGAGAGAAATCCTCCGCATTCGGTGAAGGTTTTGGCCGCTGCTTTTGATGGAAAGAACCACATATCTCTTGGGGTAAGACTGCTTTGTCAGCTGTTATGGTCAATTTTACCTTTGTACGGAAAGCTTATTTAAAATGCAAAATGAACTTTTTAAGATTAGCTTTAAATATCACAAAAGATCACCTTGTCTATCAAAGTGACTTTTGTAGCGAATAAAGCTGATTCTGCGTTAATGATGTGTTAATGCTGCGTCAGTTCTGAATTTCTTCTAAGATTTTTCACATTTTCCAGGAGAACCTTCCGCAATGGAAACGGGAAGATGGTAGCAGTGACGGCTTGACAACGAACGGGGTCCTTTTGATGCACCAGAAGGGAGACTGGAGCAAACAGATGAAGCCTGGGATATGGCGGGAGGTGTCTGTGGCGGGAGATGTCTACTCACTGAGGCAAACACGGTCTGCTAAGGAAAAAGGACAGCGGATAGTGAGTTGCTATTTCTTTAAATGAGCACAGTATAAACATTATTCTAAAAGTGACCCCGGTCGCCTAAGCAATCTGGACTGCTCCGCTCTGTCTTTGAATTTTTTACCATTAATGATTTTTGTTAGAGATTGTAGTCTAGTGGTTCACCAGCATCTGCTAATTTTAGGTTTTTATTCTCAGTTGTTCGTCATTTAGTTGTATACTGTGGTTGCTGCCGGATATAGCGCCCTATTCATTCTACCCTGGGACTCGAAGGAAATACAAGATATACTTTTCTCGACCTGCGTGAATGCTGCGTCAGTTTGGTTTTAATGTTTGCTTTTTTCGAAGCCACCTTTCTTGACCTCTTTGGCTCTTATTCTCTATATCATGAAATGGTAATAATATACTTTTATCCCTACTAACTCCAAGCACTCTTTTCAACACGAACACGTTTTTACCGGACATTTCATCAATTTTCATCATTGTCCTAAGAATCTCATAAAGACGGTATTGACCTTTGTATCATCAACTTGATGACTTCAAAATGAGAATCTCCTTACTAGATGACCTGAAATGTCCTGAAATGATATTTATAAATTGTTAATGGTAAAAACCAGGATTGTAGACGGATTTCTTTATTTCTAAATATGTTTGTATTTTCTCGTAGACAACAGATAATAACACGTTAAAAGACGGGACAATGGTTGATCTTTGTGGCGTCGTCCTTCTGTTCAGGACTGTTGAAGGCCTTGAGAAGGCACCGGTAAATGATGTTTTAAGCTTCACTTGACTCTGCATTTTTTAAGATTCTTACGAGTATAGTGTCCTTCTGAGCAATGTCTTTTCCGGCACGTCCTGAATTCGGAAGCCCGATGATCGGAACAGGTTTGTTTTTCTTCTGCTTCTACTTCTTCTTCTTATCCTTTTTCTTCTTGTTTTTCTTCTTTACCTTCTTCTTCTTTTTCTCCCACTTCTCTTACTTTTTCTTCTACTTTTTTTTCTTCTTTGTCTTTTTCTTACGACTTTGTTCTCACTCTATTCTTTGTTTTCTGTCACCCATCTTGTCTAATATCTTCACTTATCCTCCTTTTCAACGATAAAATTCCAGGAATCCTGTTCTCCATCCTTATCTGTGTTCTTCCAGAAACAACACATACCGATAGCTTACTGCATATTTCAGCCAATGAGAGTTTGGGTGATCAATGATTATCATCGAGACAAAGTGCTTTACGTTGATGTTGGAATAAAGAGAAATTATCACATTCAATATGATGCTAGCATTGATTTTCCCTAGTCTTGTTAGAATGGCCAAAAAGCTCAATTTATTATGGCCAGGGATGGATGAGCATCATGTCTTTATATGAAAAGATTTCTGCAAAGATTTGGCAACATAGCGTTGCTCGAGGGGCAAATCACCCCAAGAAAATCCCGTACACCTTTTGTGAAAATCCTATTGTTTTATCTGAAAATCCCCAGAAATCCTTATGTTTTAGGGAAAATCTGGTACGCTGTTTGCATGAGTGAATTGCCCCTCGGCGTTGCTAGTTATGTAACGGTTTTGATCACACAGTTGAATATCTATCGTTATTTATCGCCAGTAGCTACCAAATGATGATAAATCTAGCTGTAGTAGTACCATTACAATTATCGATTATTCAAGAATTCTTCAAAAAGCTTTTCAATACAAACACCCTCACTTTGTGGTGTTATTAATTAGACCTGTAGACTGTACATAAGTTTTCTGTTTAGGGAAATCGTCGCCAAAGTTTGTTTTCCTTCTTCATTTGCACCAAAGTTTTCGCTTACAGCTGTGCTATTTTCTCCTAATCTTGTTAAACATCTTTTAGCAGTTATCAACAGACCACTGTTTTGACTTGAGTCGATGAATGCCCGTTGATTTCTCTTGCATTGCAGACTGTCGAGGAGTTAATCAAGAAGCGCGACGATATAAATGCCAAGAGACCGCAATGTCCAGTGGGTCTCATGACCATTAGGTTCCCATCCAATCAAGTCAACCAAAAGGTACTATAAAGTATCAAAATTGTTATTTGCTTGTTTATCTTGTTGTATTGGACATTCAATGTTGTCAACATCAGGCCTTTGAATTTACGTCATTTCCCAGCATGCAATTACGTGCAATCCAATTTCACACATCCTCTTTACATAAAAATATTTTTGTAAGAAATCGATTCTCAAAGCGGGTTAAGAATTAAAGACACGTGACAGATTTAAAAAAGGCTTAAGCTTGAAATAGACATGTGTTTACTTATTATCTTTTGTCTTGCTCCCCTGAGTCAAAAAACGCTGTATATTAACTCCCTAGTCAATAACTAACAATCGAATGTGTGATGTTTTCAGGGCTTGATAAACTCCGTCCAAGAGAAGGCAAGGCGATTAGAGTATTCTATTGTACTTGACAGTTTCATGTGAGCGGTCTTACTAGAATGAATTAAAAGACTGAGCTTTTTTAAACGACTTGGCTTTATATCTGTCGTGTGTTATTTTGAACAAGCTCAGAACAAGCTGAGACTGGGGTGCTGTAAAATGTAATTTCGAACAAAGTTTATTTACATGAGTATACCAGTTATTGGCACGACCTGTCGAATTCCCCCGCAACAAAGAAAATGAAATTCTTTTCAGGTGGCAAAGTGGTGAAAACGAAACTATTAGAACTGATGAAAACGCAAAATTGTGCATTTCCGATTTTTCTAAACTGTTTAACTTACGTCCCGGCAATTCAAGAACAACTTAAGAACAATCCAGTCTCGCAGTACTGATAATATTAGGAACCGCCTATCTGAAACTCAATTTGCTGATTGTTAAAGAAATGGGTATAATAAGCCTCTGAAAACCAAGACCGCGAAATCGCTTGTTGTGAAATTGAAAACATTGGAACTTGTCCATCAATATGACATGAAGCAATGAAGTTGTGTATGTCAAAGAATCTTTGTTTCAGCTTTTCGTCGAAGTTAACTAGAGAATGCGCTTCCGCCGCCATCTTTGAGTCCAGTTGCAGTGTATCTTTTCACTGAGCTGTGTTGTATCTATTTTTGTTACATAATGGCTCTGGTATATAGCTAACTTGCATCATCAAATATTGCTCGTCGTGTGATTGCCGCTTTGATACTTGGAAAATTAATGAATTTCCTGAACCAAGTGTTTTGTACCAAAATCCATCCATTTACCAAAAAAAGCCTAAATCATTATTTTCATTTCCTTTGTATAAACGTTAATTCTCTTGGATTCCAGTTCCCTTTATAGGTTTATTTGTCGCTAGATTTTGCATCGTGTCTCTTATTTTCTTGAAAGCAAATCGACATGCATGCAATTCCACATGTCTACATCAGCTGTGGTCACGTGCATGGCTACCATTCCTGGGGGAAAACACATGCACCAAGCGAGAGACTAGAGGAAAGTGAAAGAACCTGTCCCATTTGCCGAGAGGTATTTCTTTGGTATTTCGATAAATTTACCGGATACCCGATAAATCTACCTGGTACAGCTAGCATGGTAGAACCTGCGATTTTCTGAAATTGGCTGAATTGGTTCTTATTTAATGAAATTGTTTCAAAAAAGCAGGCTAAATAGGCTCTTGAATTGGTTCTTAAATTATGTCAAAAGAACAATCGAAGTAAATAAGTATAATTTATATTTGTAATTTCTTCCAAATAATGCATGTCATGTCTGAGTTGAACTTGGATCAGCTAGCTATGGTGAGTCAACTACAGTACGGCTGGTTGATGTTAAAGGTTTCAAGATATAACATTAAGACGTAATAGGTGTGTCTGGGTACCCATTGTGGTGGAGAATAGCTTGGTTGTTTCCGTTAGCATTGCGATAGAACAATTGAAAAGAATGGGCCTCAACATAGATCCTTGTGGTACTACGAACAGTCAAATGTTTGCTTAATCTCTTTGAGTTGAGTAAGCGGTGTCATACAACTCCACCGAATAATGAACATTTTGATATTTCACTTTCCATTCAGGCCGGACAGTTCATTCCTTTAAAGTTTGGTATGGAGCCTGCATTCTATGTTGATAACGGACCCCTCACCCACGCATTTTGCCCTTGCGGACACGTGACATCGGAAGCAACTGCACGTTATTGGTCACAGGTCCCATTACCGTATGGAAAAGACGAGTTTAGGTCTGCCTGCCCGTTTTGTGCGAAACCTTTGGAAGGCGAAGACGGGTATGTCAAGTTGATAATCCAAACAGAGTAGAGATGGCGAAACCTGTGTAACCCCTTGCACTGTTTAAAACAGATGTAATGATCCTGTCGTTACACGAGCCTGCTTTAGAAATTGTAGGAACATAATTGCATACAAGGTTTATTATTCTTAGAAAGATAGAAGAACATAGTTTGGAGTTTTGGTACATCGAACTGGCAGTTGTCGATGACTGGTGTCGTTGACTGGTGTGAATCGGTTAGTTTGTCTGATAGCCATTCTACTAATTGAGTTGATATGTAGCAATAACAGCATTTGAAGAGTTCTAAGCCAACCTTTTGTTGTAATGGCAGCCAGTTAATGTTCCAAACACGAAAATTTAAACTATTCGCTTGAAGGAACAGTGCTGTGGCTGTTTGTGTGTTGACTTTTTATCTCCTCCTCCGGCGTGTTTTGCTCTGTCTATAGCATGTCACTCCATCTGTTTGATAAATTGAACCAATGCTGCTAAAACCGACAGTCCGTTGTATTTTATGGCTTTTCGCAGCAAACATGCGCAGGTATCTTCTTTCATTTTTTCCTATGGTTGGCACTTCGTTATACCGCCATGTATGGACTTATTTGCCTTAGTATTTATGCATTCAGGTAGTGATTATTAATACTTTAAGTCAGTTTCATGCGTACCCGGTAGAGAATACTAGTATGTTGCTTGCTAATCAACAATGTCCTTGTGACTACAAGGAATTTGTTCCACGCAGAACTCAACGATATGGCTGTAAATAGACCCATATTATCACCTTGATGTCATGGAGCTTGAAATCTCCGATTCGTTTTTCTCGCTTATCGGTTTAATCATCTGAGGTGGAATGATAAACAAACGCTACTGTAGGCAGTTTTCAATCACTTACCACCCCACATACCCCTCCCCTTCCCCTCCTACCCAAACGAATACAACTACAATGCCTGCCAAAAGTACTTGGAACACCCAGCAATTTACGCTGCATTTGATATCTTTCATTCCTTTCATGAAAAAGAATTGCTACTTCCGCCCCCTTCCCCCTAAAACAATGTTGATGATTTAGAGAAATATCATAAAAGTAGCGCAAAAGAAAGTGCTTCCTAAAATCCTAACCCGTTTGATAGTAAACCAACATTGTTCTGTAGAGGAGAGGGGGATGATTGATTTTGACCTTGGAAATTGATGTCAGTGTTCCAAGACTTTTGGTAGGCATTGTAGCTAGTGCTAAATTTTATAAGATTCCTTACAGTGTTAGCTACGTTGAACCGTCCTTAAAACCGTTTTATAAATCTTCCTTCTCAAAGCATGTCTGCTGTGCTTGCTAGTCAATGATCTAAGGCTTTTGCTTTGGGCAGCATCCGTGGCCCAGTAGTGCTTTTATAGCGTTTGTAGTGTGTAGAAGCTCTCAAGTCTTGTAGAATGTCTTGCTAATATTTTTTAAATAACGCCAAAATTCCGACCATCGTTGTTATAAAACGACACTGCTTTTTGAAGCATAAATGAATATTTATCAATAAGTGCACCATAAAAAGATATCGAACTTCTGCTCGCTAAATGTAATTTAATGCGTATGCCCCTGGCAATTTGTTTCTTTCATCATATCGTGTATCATTTAAACTTATTTGAAACAGTTTTAAGAATCCAAATTGGATAGTAGTTGGTGATTATTTTGATAATATCTCTTATCTGTTTCCTTGCTATTGTAAGATTTTCCATGCTTCTTGTGCCTCAAGCTTATCTTTCGCAGTCCAATGCAATAATGCCTAGTAAATTTTAACCAGCCTGTTTTGAAACTTGCCAAAAGCAACTGCGGCACTGCGAAGTCATTCCGACCATTGAGACAAGTAGAAGTGTGGCTGCGTATCTCAGCAAATAACAAGCAAAATTGGTGAACCTTATAGAGGAAGTCCTTTCACAAGAGATTTCTTGTAAATACACAAATCTCATAATTGCTTTTATCCAATTTTTTAATCGTCTTTTTGCGGGCAGACTTTTTGAAACAGATTTCAAAGGTACGTGTATGAAAAGGAGTTAAAGGTTTCTTGATCTTTGAATCTCTCGACGAGACTTCGTTGCAAGTAAGATATTGTCTTGTGCTTGGCAAGATAGATCGCTTTTGACGCAAGTTATGACTTTTGTCATAATGGCAATAGGGCATTCTTGTATTCATCTTCGCTTTTTTGAATGTCCAGAATAGCCACCAGTTTCCAGATGTAGTGGACAAGCAAAGGGAATGCCGCATACATGTCATGTATGTTGTCATTCAAGAAGTGCGTCAGTTCTCTCTTTACTGGAAAAAATAATAGTTATGAATATTTTATAGAATAATCATTGTAAAATACTATGTGGAATAAATTAAAATTCAAGTTTCCAATTATGCTGCTGTTCATGGACCTAAAAGCTCTATCCTAATTGAAGATCTTCTGATTGGCTCATTAAGCGTGAACATTGATCTCCATACTCGGTACCGTGCACAATATAACATACCGCTAAACAGTAAGTTGGTTTTGATATCAAAATTCCTAACATTTAGGGATAGCGCCTACTCATTTCTGTCAGAGACTGTTTCCGTGTAAAATATCAGCCTTGCTCATTCCAGCATGGGTTTTAGATTTCATTCCCTCTGCCTGCTTGGCCTGTGACGGGCAACCCTTTTAACTTAGGTGCAAGTTTTACAACGTTTCGTGCCATGAAGGAGCGTTTCTGGCCATGAAGGGTCAAGATTTGAAAGCATTTTTCAATGAAAAATCATCACAGCATATGAATACAGAACTGCAACTCCCCTGGATAAACAGGTAATCTCGTGGGGGTAAGATGTTTTCCTTCCCATCTCCGATTTGAACCAAATTTATCCGAATTTTCTTCTAAATTGAATTAGAATTTCTAGCGAACATAATTTTCCCCATACGTGCTGTAGTTAAGATCTAACCCTTACTAGCAATTGAGCTATTTTGAGAAATTAATCCTGAAAATAAACTTCTGTATTAAACAAGGTCAGTGCTTTGCTGCATTTTAATGGGTCTTCCTAGCAAGCTTGCCAAAATAAAAATGAAGCCAATAGAGGAAGTGCGCATCTACATGCGCACTGTTTGTGGAAAATTTATAGCTGATAAACTTCATTGGCGAGAAAGCTCCCAAATACAAATGCTTGTAGATTTCTTGATCCTATTCGTTTATGAATGAATTTTGCTACTAGATCTATTTTATGTAGATCGAAAACATTTGCCGCAAGCTATTACTTTCATAAGACATTCTTCGAATTTTCAATTCTGGTGGCCTAGGTATCACAAATAATTTGCTGCGGGGCCCGTAGGTTGCCCACTTCTGTGCTATGCTTTTATATCACAATTCTCAACACAAATGGAGATCAAGTCACCCTGATAATTAATTATCCAAAATACAAAAGTAGATGTCCCATATTTCACCACTTTCACTTCCAAACGCCTGAGCTAAAGATTTCTGTTGTCTAGTTGAGAACCTCAGCCCGTGTTCAAAATGAAACATAAGTTTAGATACTACTCTGAGTTCAGCCCGGGTTGAGACTTTATCATTTATCAAAAAAGGGCTTACACTGATGATCGAGATGAAACACAGCTCGTGGTAAACTCGACATGGGTTGAAAGCATTCATTTTTTCAAATTGCATAACCACCTCATATTTTGAAGTGACATTTTGAACCATGATGATGGACCGGTCAGAAAGTGTCTACCAGAAAGGGGAGGAGAAGATAGTTGGATGTATGAAATAAATATTAATGGTATTTAGAGGAGTATGAAGCAAAATTGCACATTGTGAGGGGTAGTTTTTCATAGCTAAAGTTTCAAACAACATCTTATGAATAGATTTAGCAGAAAAATGGTTTAAGACTCAAGAAACTAATTATGCAAAGAACAATGTAGGAGTAGGAAAGACAATTTTTTTTGAGATGTATGAAATTTTTCAATCTGATAGAAGAGATAAAAAACCCTCATCTTTTGAAGGGGTATGACTTTTGTCTCAGTTTTGATTTTCCTCTGCCCCCTGCAGTAGACGCTTGATGATCGGTCCCCTTAAACCTCTCACAGCAGATTAACCCCAGCAAACAAACAAATTTTACCTGCAAGCAGAGATGCATTTTTCTTCGTTGTCATGAGAATCCTCTCCATCATCCAGAATACAAAGTACAAACTCTCGAATTTGTAGTAGCAGAACACTGATCCAGTTTTTTCGTGGTCTTGAAGAGAAGAGAGAACGGTTCATCAGGATATCAGATAGACCCTTCGCAGTAGACCAGAGGGATAATGAGGATCGGGTAACCTGGAGCAAATGTTTTTTGGGAAATTTTTATCTGGTGAATAAGTACGTGCTGGCCAAGAAAAATTCGCCAAACTTACGATTCCTTCGACCTTTAACAAGAATGGAAATTTTTTACCGGATTTATGGTGATTGTTCACAGAAAGATTTGTTAGCTAGTCTGGATGTTCCGTATTCACTCCTTCTGAAATGTTTCGTTTATGAAGCAAACAAAGCTTGTGATAGTAAAGTACTGATATAAGCATGATTTATTTGATATTGTTTTGGTCTCAGTTTATAGACGACATCAGGACTAAAGGTTGGTTTTTATTTGGCTAATCCTTTCAAATCTCACAGCAAAAAAATCAATTCACATTCAGTAGTTTCTCCCCTCCGCAGAGGCTATTGGGGAGGAAGATTAGGAAGGAAAAAGGTTAGGATAAAAGGAACTGCGGAAGAAAGGAAAAAGTGGAGAAGCTGCGAGGGAGAAGGAGGAAGAGAATAGCGTATCTTTTAAATAGAATCTAATAATAGTTTTTGCCGAATAACACACATAGCAAGCAATTTTTCTGTTTGCAATGTTAGAGTTAACTATCCGATCGTCATGAGTTCCGTTTGCCTCCGCCATCACACCTGCCCAACACAACAACAACATTTCCACATTATTTGGCAGAGGCTATTTTTCCTTTCTTCTTCTCCTCCGCCCCCTCCAATTCTCCGCAGCTTCACCATTTTTCCCTCCCCAATAGCCTCTGTGGAGGAGAGTATTCAGTAGTCTACAGTCCTAGTCCCTGCCGTCATGAATACTCTCTCTTTGCAAAGTGACCATAGTTTTTGATTTGCGACCAAGAACATCGCAAGTACTTACACAGAAAACAAGCATATTCTAGTTTGACAGCATCAGACACTAACAGCCGTTCAAAATAATTCTGATGTTTGCTCGTTTCGAATGTGTCTGTTTCAATTCACGCAAAAAAATTCCCCCAGAGAAAATCGTCAAAAAAATCAATTAGAAACATTTATTTGGTATGACCATAAAACTGACTGAAAAATGCAGCCGTCACAGGCAGATGAAAAATAGAGTGACAAAAATATGACGTCACGAAAATCTATTTTTGAAAATTAAAAAACATGATGAATATCTCTAAGCTTCTAGAATCAGCTAAATCTGTAAGTGAGCTACTGAGATACTTTGTGAGATATTTTCACTGTTGTTTTTGCCTGGCTCGTAAGTTCAGAACAAAGGCCTAACCATACTGATTGGATGAAGAAGGAGCTTGTTCTCATTTGGCAAAATACCTGGTATTCTCGGATTCGAGCAATTTGTATCTTCACATTTGGCAAAAATGTATAACAGAATTGGAACCTTCATGTTGACATTGGTCTGTGACAAAATTTCAAATTTTTTTGGCCGTCAGGCTTCGAATTACCCCCATTTTCAAAATTTAGGCCTAGTTTACAGGTCACGATGCGGCAGTAATGCGACCTTTAAACTAGGCCCTAGCTTTTCCTATACATTTCAATGGAATTTGTTGCTGTAGTGAAATTTTTTCACTGCAGCAGCAAGTTCCGGTCAACTCTAAAGAAATATCTAAATATTCGAAACAAAGTAACATGCAACCGAACGGTCCAAACAACATGAATTTTTCAGTATAAACTGATTTAAAGATGAAGGTTTCAATTCTGAAGTCCATTTTCGAAAAAGATCCGTAGATAGCGAGATACAAAATTGATGATGTCAACTTGAATCCATCAATTCGGTGAAAGATCTAACTGATTTGCTCATTAGAGGTATTTTGTGGCATTTTTCAAGTCTTGCTGTCAAAATTCAAAGATCTTAAAATAGGCTTTATGACGTCATCACTTCGTCACCACTCACCAATGTACCCGAACCATTCGGCTTTTAAGAGTACCATAAGCTTTGCCAATATACCATTTCTCGTAGCATTATTCACAGCTAGTGACACGACTGTTTCACTTAATTTTTCCTGCCATTGACCCTGAAATGAAAAATAGTTGTATGCTTGTTCTGGCCGTAAACAATTACACGATTGCTTGATTTCATTCAGAGATTTACCCAAAGTTCCGAAGATGATAGATTCTGCATTGATTGTAGTTTAAAAGCACAAAGTAACTTTACACGTCGAAGGAGTCAATTTTCAAGCATTACGAGTTGAGTCTCAATGATTTTTGAAACACATACCGTACAGTTGCTTGTTGCAATCTGGTTTATCAATTCTTCTCCAAGCTGAATTACGCTCGCAGTTATTTCTTCATTGTTTGTTAGCACTGGCTCGCTGAGAATTCCTTTGGATAGTTCATGAAAGAAGCAGAAATCTAGTAAGAGTAGAGTTCTAAAAAGTCCTAAAGACCACATAACATAAAAGATCACCATGAAATACTTTCAAATATGCAAAATTGGCCAAATATGTCTGAAGTTGGTTGAGATATGGCCAATGACAGATTTGAAGTTTGCTAACGAACACTGTTACTTTGGCTCTGTTCAAAAAGTTATGAACAGAGACCAAAATACAGAGAGGTTTGATGGGGAAAGAGCCGATACACATACGACCATGTCTCTGCCAATTCGTGACACAATTGACTGATTTGGCAAATTTAGAGGTATTTCATGATGTTCTTTCAGGCTATGGGATCCAAATTCAAAAATTCTAAAATAAGATTTTTGTGACGTCATCACTTTAGAACTCTATTTAATTTCAATCTTTTTATACCATTTAATTCATATCTAGGGAAATAATAGAGCTGTCACTGAAAGATCCTTAAAGCTTAATGGGTTACTTTTTACCACTAACAATGGGGTTCAGCCTACTTTAAGAAACTCCGGACTTTACACCCCTTTTATGTCATCCAAAGGGCAAATCACTTTCAGAAAAGTGAACGACCTTTGGCAGAATTTCAAATTATTTCAAATATTTCTGAGATTTTGCAGATTTTTTTTAATTTTTCAAAGATTTTATTTTGAAATTTCTTTCTGATTGCAAAGATTATTTAAAGATTATGGAGATTTTACTTTTCGTATATTTTTCAAATCTTCCAAAACAATACTATCTACATCATTATTTCAATAAGTCGACAACAAACTCAAAAACTCCTCATGCTTTGTTCAAGAGTACACTTGCTTCTTAGAACAGGGTGAAAATTCACGATGGCAGTTAATGGTATGAGGATGCAAGCATAGATACCAAGATGTCGGCTAGGGTGGGCAAACTCGAGCAAAAACCATACCTGAGAGGGGTGAGGGGGGCAGGCTTTAAAACCAGAAAACAGATATATAACAAACAGGTATATTAGGACTGAATCAAGCTCATGGAATTATAATTATGCCAACTTTTCACAATATCATTTGGAAAAATTGTAGAAAGAGGGGACAAGTTGTTATCCATATTTTCACTTAGGGGGTCACAGCCCTTCTTCTTATAATGAGGAAATCCGGTTATTTCTCGTGACATTTTACCTTTTAGCACTGAAGATAACTTGTATATCTGTGATGGCAGAAATTCACTGCCCTTCATCTCCTTGGAACTTGCTTTTAAAGCTAGCAAGGAATAAAGAGCCTGTATCACAAAATATACTAGAATGCATGCAGTACAATATAATGTTATAATAACTTTGTATCAGAAAACGGCAGACAAGTGAAACAATTAAAAATACCGTGCAGTTTCCACGGTTTACTTTTGGATGCAGATTTTTATGCATGCAAATTCAAGCCAAGTCATTGGGTGGATTTCATTTTACTTGGCAGCAATTATCGATTTAGTACATGAACGGAAATATGTTTAAAAATGTTGCTTAAATCAAACGTACAACCAGAAATTCACATTCAATTCCGACATCCCTTTTCATTCAGTAAAGTTTACTACCTCTTAATGTTGACGTAATTGATGTGACAAGAACCTGGCCATGATTGCCATTCCAAGATTGCAGCTTGTATGTCAAAGCAAGCACTGCAATTTAAGAATAGGAAAACACAAGATTAAGATGTTAGATTAAAGGAAGTGACAGAAAGCAGTAAAGTAGTAAAGTCTAAAGTTTAATTTGAGAAAAGTAAAAGAAACAATTTAGGTTGTTTTTCATACCGTTTTCCATGAACATTAAGTTGCTTGATATTTGATCTTGACCCAAGGAATTGGTATTCTCTGCTTGAGTTTCTTTTTGCGTTGCTTTGAAAAGACAGGAAGATGAAGAACATTTTCTCAATTAAAACAAAAACCTAGAGCAAGGTGTGAAAATAGAGCTCGTAAAATACCTCAAAACTAGTACAAAATTCAGTTTTAAAATCACCGTTGAACTTGCTATGGTTATTACGTTATTTTCCAGTGCCGATGAAAACCCTTTGCCAAATATTTTGAATCAATAGTTACCTGAAACAATTCAAATCTGTTTAGGTTTTTTGTAAGATTTTAAGATGTTTAACGCACCAACTACATTACAGCAAATTTTAATGATTTTAGAACAATTTTTTACAAGTCAATTGTAGATCAAGAAGATGACAGAAAAGACAAGAATTTTTATGCTAAACCTACCGAGCAGAAACTCTGTTTTGTTGCTACTTTCAATCGTTGCCTTATATCTAAGATCTAGTATGACATAATCCTGTTTTAAACTAAACAATTCTTCTTCAAGTTGCTCAACCTATGGCAGCAAAGACATGGAATATAAATACCTTAGCTAAAGTAGATTTTTGTAAAAAAATGTGGCTGGGATCTGAAGAAGAAAAAGAGGCTGGGATCTGGAAATTAAAGCAGCCATGGGTATTTTTTAATTATAAGTTAAAATTGGCCAGGTCCTCTTTTGCATCAAAAATACGAATGAAATCCATCGAAACGTCGCTTGATATAGAAATTATAGCTTTACCCACCATATTTTATCAAATAGAGAAAAATAGCATAAGTGTACTTTATCCTCGACGCCGATACTTTGTGTTATACAAATAATCGCACTTTAAACCGCATTTACAAGGTTGTTTGACATCTCTGCAACTAAACAGGGGAGGGGCTACAGAAGACGGAAGCCGAACTTTTTTGCGGGCATGGTAAGCTATTTCTATAGCCTCAAAAGTTTTAGTTCAGTTTCAAGCTTCCTGGCTGCTCTGTTTACAAAATAGCAAGTATCGTAGCGATAAACATCCTAGAAGCTTGACTGATAAAATGTGCCAGCTAAGAATTTTCATAAGAGAGTGGTGACTTTAGTTTGCAATTTACCGTCACTAATTGGCACTAAATGTTTTCAATAAAAGATAGTTAACTTATGTATAAAGACATAAAGATATAATATTAGTAAAAAAATAAGTGTCACCCTTTTTGTTCTTTCATACATCTTTTTTCTAAACTTGTTTGCCAGATATTGTGCAAATGACTCGGCGTCCATTCCGACGGGTGTATTCCTTGCAATTGCCACTGCCTGATACAAATTGTCAAATGTTATATTTACACTTGATTAAGAGAAACGCGAGAAAATCTTAGGAGATTCACAGCTTGCTATCTTAAAATTGTCAATGATAATTTACAATAAAACAAACACGAACGGAAAAGTTCATATCCAGTTGTTCAATATTACATAGCAAAGTATAATTTTTGCGAGCTAAAAGATTAACCAATATTTTGGAACATTGTATTGCAACCAAACTTTAGAAAACTAAGCACAGCCATCTTATTCTATCTTGCTTTGACTTAACCAGGACACTGTTTGAAACAAGCGCCCCAGTGTACCTTCGGAAGTTAGGTAGTAAAAACCAAAACAAGGAATTCGATCGGTTAAAAAAGTTGCAAGCGATGAAATCTGGTATTTGGCATCGTGGCTTTTTCTTCGCACAATCATCAGCGGCGAAAAATTAATTCCTATGCACAAAAATACTTGCGCCCTCTGAGCCTGGTACCTTGTCTGACAGAGTGGGAAACAACAGAAAAATCTTGCTTCGTGCTCTTCTCGAAGAATCCCAGAAAAATCATGAATCTAAATCTGAGTTTTATTTCGAAAACCTACGTAGTGGCAAAATCAACTCACTACTGCTAATCTTGCAGTTAAATCCGCAGCATTTTCTCTCATAGATTTTGTTTTCTTGAAGTCACTGCAATTCATATTTATCATTTTGTTTGCCTTGGTTTCCATTTGTGTCGTTTCTTGATTTTCCCGCGTCTTTTTGAAATTCATTTCCAGGCTCCTTTATTACCTAGCAACTGGCCGCGCATGTCAAATACAATGTTTGTAAACGAAGCTTGTAGCGTTCACTTCCCTTTTTCTTGTCCCAGTAATGTAAACAGGAGTCCTTTGAAGTTGCTTTTTGGCATGTTTTTACTCAATTCGACGAGTTACAGGAAAATTTAATCAGCTACAGTGGATAATTCCGAACGACCCAGATGATTGGCCTAAATCTCTTATCGTTTTTAGAGAAGGATTACAGAATTCAGGCACACCAAGAAATTAAATTCTATTTAGGCCCTTAAAATATAATTTGCTTGATGGCGATGTCTACTGCGACTACTGAAGTAGTTTCTGCTACAGCAAAGCTTTTAATCGTGTTATTGTTCTTTCAAGAATGTTCATGTCGATTAGGTAAGTGTATTTGAATTCCCTATGAACATCATCAGATTTTTAGTTTTAGAGTAGCTGGTGGTTAGAAAATCAACAAAGTTACAATAAGAAATCAAACAAAAATGAATGCTATTAAAGCGAAAAGCTATTGCTAAACCATTAGCTCACTCACATTCAGATTTATTTAAAGCAGAAGGGATTTATTTTGGAAGCACTGTTTTATGACTATCATCATTATGATCAATAAAAGTGCTCACAAATAATTTAATCTCTTTGAATGTCGCCGTTCAACGGTAGCATTAACATACAAATAAAACCCCTCCTTGCATATTATCACCCATTTTTCTTTTGTGTGTTTTTCCTTTTGAAAATACAGAAATTAACTCCCCCTGCTCATTCACATAAGATATTTTATCATAACAGCATAGGCTTTTTCTTCCCACATAGACGCCTGAACACTTGATGATAGAAATGATCAATCTTGAAATGCTATGTAACTACCATTAATTTTATCATTTTTCAAGAATTCTTAACCCAACCTGAATCAGCTGTTGTCGGGCCAAACCTTCCCTTGCAAATCTCTTGCACTGTCAGCACAAATCTATCTGGGATACTTCATATCCTTTGGAAGAGAAATGACACATGGATCACAGACTACACCAGTAAACACTACAGCCAGTTAACTAATGGATCATTATTTTTTGAAAGATTTCTTTATGGGGATCAAGGTACTTATCAGTGTTCAGCACTGGTTGTTTCTTCTGATCACACCCATCTTGGTCAAATATACAGCAGAGTTGCGTCCATTAAGATGGCCTGTAAGTGTTTTGCTATCTTCTGTGTATTTTTTAGCACTCTTTTTAAAAACTCTTAATCTACTACTTAATTAAATTTTTGTTCGGTTTTTGATAGATCTACACAGTTGCCTGTAATTGCATTAAACATGACATTCCGAGCTCTGTTCATTTGTAAGTAGGTCCACAGCAGCTATATGTTGCCAATTAGTTAGCCTGCATATCCGACATAATAATGTATGTATCTATGCATGCATCCTCATGGCATTAACTGCCTTTGTTAATTTTTACCCTGTTCTAAGAAGCAAGGGTACTCTTGACCAAAGCAACTTGAGATTTTGAGGTCATTGTTGACTTATTGATATAACAATGTAAATGGCATCATTTTGGAAGATTTGAAAAAAAATTTAAAAACAAAATCTCCAAAATCTTCAAATAATCTTTGCAATCAGAACTAATTTTCAAATTGCCTAAAAAATCTTTGAAAAATTCAAAAAAGTTTTCAAAATCTCAGAAATAGTTTGAAATAATTTGAAAATCTGCAAAATGTTGCTCACTTTTCTCAAGTGATTTGCCCCTTGGATGCCGTAAAAGGATTGTAAAGTTTGTAGTTTCTTGAAGTGGTTTGATTTTGAACTCTGCTCTACACAAAAATGGTGTATTGCACTACCTATCAAACATTTGCTAATTCAGGTTAATAAGCCTCCAATCTGAAAATATGGATGATGCTATTACAAATAAAAGAACTCGCAATCAAACAATAACTTAGGGATGTTAAAATGAGCAATAAAGTAACCATTTCAACTAAACAGCAGAGTAACACATCCGTTTCTCACATTCTTTGATTATTTTCGACTTTGCCGCTACATTTCTGAAATTGACCAGCGGACACTAAAACAGACTACGTAAAAACATGATAGGAACATTGTCATGCTAGTTAGGAAACATTTTGGCAGCTTGATGAGCGATTAAAAAAAAACATATTTCTAATTTGTCGGACTATTCTCTCTCTGAAACCGAAAGATTTGTCTTAGGTAATGGTCTTGAGTTTTGTATCCCACCATAACAAATAAACAGAGCGGAACTTTTTGCTGAATTCGAAAGAACATATATATTATATATTATATATATTATGTATTATAGAACATATATACAACTGGGTATATATATTTCCTAGCGTAGAGTTTTTGGTCTATGTTCTGACGTTTTGAACTCTGAAGAGTGTCAGACAAAAAGCTTTAGTTTACTAAATGTTTGCTTTTTTCAAAGCCATTTTCAAGTTTTGTACCACCAAAAGATTTTTTGCATTTAAACTATATGGACAGTTTCAACTAGGCTCTAGCTAACTAAATCTTCTGCATTTTGCAATGCCTTATTAAAAAACCTGCGTGACCTTGCCAATCTATGATGTATGAAATTTGTCCCTCCTCCATGGCTGTACTCTATTCACTTCATTTGTATTTGTTGACTAAAGTGTACAGAGGTCCTCTCTAACTTTTTAAAAAATTTGCCATAATGATGAGTGAGGAATATTTAGATACAAAAATTGAATCCAATTTGATAGCTTTGAATATTTTGTTTTGCATGATTTTGGCACTTATTTTGTAGATATTCAAAACGCATTTACACTTGACCCAGAGAGCAGATCTGTCCTGCTCGGAAACAATGTCCAGCTACAGTGCATTTCTCCAAAAAGTGAGCCAGTTGCCAAAATTTATTGGGAAAAAGATGGGAGAAGAGTCACAGGGTTGCTCAATGCAACTTTAGTACTGGCGGCACAGAGCATTTTGTCAGCAACAATACAGATTCAAAATTTGAGCTATAGCAGCACTGGAAGATATCGATGTGTTGCATATAATATTTTGCTCATGAATAGGATTGTCAATAGCAATTATGCTGATGTCACTATAGCAGGTATGACTATTGCAAGTATTTTAAAAGATCTATAGTAGATAACCCAAGATATATTGTGCAACAGAACGATACCCCATAATTCAAGACTGAAGTGTTGCATGGCAATATTCTGACAAACAGTAAATTTTTGTAGATATCTTCAATGTTTGCAAAACCTTTCTAAAATTATGTCCAATTTATTGGAAAATTGTGTCTAATGTCAAATTAGAAATTTATTGACCAATCAAATTTAACATGATTTAGAAGAACAAGAACTGTTTCTGCATCAATTTCCTTTGGTTTCTGTTGAGTTTTTAACACAGAAGGTCTCCTTTGAAAATGCAACCTATATTTCTTGATAACAGGAATGAAAAAGAAAACAGATAGAATGCTGTTTAGTTTGTATTGCAAACCCTTCACACATGCAAAGTATTCAAAATCGGGGAAAAACCACATCCAGCCTATTTCATATCACAAAGATTTGATGCACCTGCATTTAATTTTGCAGGTTTAGGTCTTATCTTATTCTATATATATATATTATATATATTATATATATTATATATATATATTATTCTATATAAGAAATATCACATCTAGCTTTTCCAAACACGTTCAGTAATGTCATGATTGCATCTTGGTTATACCATTGCCATGTTCTGCATACTGGTTTTGATTTCAAGTGTTTCTTATGTTAAATGCTGCTGTTATCTCAAGTAATTGACAATCTTTTTGCAACCATTTGACCTATGCAATAAATGTGTATAATAACAGACTAGCAGTCAATCAGAGGTGCGTTTGCTCCTCTGCAAAGACACTTGCAGAAACTTTGAAGTACTGTGCCCCTTGTGTCCCCTTTATCAGGATTGTAATCAGTTTCCAAATTGATGTGTAATTTCAGCTGCACAAGAGCAACCATATTTCGAGAAGAGGCCAGCCTCAGCCATAGTAACCAGATTTCAACCATTCACCTGGGAATGCCGTATTCGTGGGGTTCCACAGCCAGCTATTTATTGGTACCATAATGGAAAACTTGTAAACAATGAAACCAATAGGTTCATGTTAACAACTGGGCCACTGCAATTTGTTTCCATGCAAAGATCATATAATGGATCATATGTTTGCGAAGGAAAGAATGCATTAGGAGGCATTCGCTTGAGTCCACCTGTTGCTCTTATTGTTGCCTGTAAGTGATGCCTAAAATTGCCATCTGGTAGATAACTTGCTGCTATTGAGTGAAACAGATTAAAACCAGATAACTTATATCTTTTTGTCCCATATTTTTGCTGTCTAGGAAAACCTCTTTGTATCTTTTTATCCCATATTTTTGCTGTAAACATTATAAATTTCAAAGAGAGATTGTCTGTATAATGAGGGATTACGTGTTCAAATAACCTATCTTAAAGTCTTGATCACTTATCATGATATTCAGGGGCATAGCTAGCAGGGGTGTAGGGGGATGTAACACCCCCCACTCACCCCAACCCTTCATGAATTCATCGGTAAATCTTCAGTTTGTCTACAAAATTCTTAGTTTGTCGGTAAAATCATCTATCAGTCGATGAAATAGCACCTAAATTCTTCTCCATCCTTGCTTTGTCAGTAAATCTTTCTATTGGTGACCCTCCAACCCCCTAGTCTGGAATGTCAAGCGACGCCACTGATCATATTTGTCTGATAGCATTGCCATTTAATGACGCAAAACTCTTAACAAAACCAATCCAATCTTTGATTTTCTTTTGTGCCCGCAGTTATAGATTTCGAGTTCAGTGTTAATCCTGTGTCAAAGAATGTTACATACGGCGATGAACTTGTCCTGTCGTGCTCACCTCCAAATAGATACCCTACCCCAGTGAGTATTTTGTGGTACAAGGATTTTGTTAAATTGACACCAAACACAAATATTACTGTTTCATCTGATGGAACATTGAGGATTTCAAGAATAACCAAGGCATATGAAGGAATGTACTTTTGTCAAGCCCATCACCCTAGTACCAGCCAGTCAAGATCTTCTAAAAGAGCCACTGTTATTGTTAGAGGTTTGTGTCCATTTTGTATGATTCATTTGAAAAAATAGATATCATTTTTTCAATATTTTATAGTTTCAGAAAATATTGCTTTGACGTTTTTAGGTACGTAAATGCCAGGCGTGTAGGGGTGTCACAGCCTAAATCTTTGAAATGCCACGAATTAATTGTAAAATTTAATCGTACAATCTGAATTATGATTCCTAAGCTTATTTGCATTAGTGTATAACATTACAAAGCACTAATGGGTCTTTCAATTAAGAATTGAATTGACAGTACCGTAGAGTTTTAATCACTCTTAGTAAAGGCTTAGTACAATCTTATTAAAAATCTACAAATGGCTTATTGTGAGACAGATATGTTGTACCCTTCAGCCTTACAAACATACAACTTACGTGCTTGTACGTCTTAATATGTCTGTTGCTTTCTTTGCTACTATTTCATCCTGAGAAATAATTTTTTCTCTGAAGTATTACCAAGCATTGGAACCATGCTAAACAATGCCTCTGCAGTGGTTGGTGAGTCGTTATCCAGAACCTGCCAAGCCTCAGGGTATCCAACACCAACGGTAAAGTGGATCAGATATGGTCATGTTTTATCCAATGACGGCAATCTGCATTTAGCAAGAATCAATCTGACTTACTCAGGTTTCTACACATGTATTGCCACAAACGTTGCTGGAAGTGCCTCAAAGAGATTTTATCTGCATGTATCTAGTAAGCAAAGATTCATTTTTCCCTCAAAATTTTTTGAATGAGTATATCAAGGATTGGACTCATCTTGTCCATATCTACCAGCGGGACTCATCTGTTTAGCAAATACAGGTTCTTATTCTTGTTTGGTTTTAAGTACATTTTGAAACTTTTTCGTTCAAAGACAAGGCAAGGCAAGTTCCTCTGACACCTTCCCGCGTATCCGCCGTCCTTGCATTCACCTATCGCACGAATTAACCCAATTTAAAACGTCAAGAAATCTTCTAAAATTATATTTCCTTCTTTCTTTTAAAGCATCCCCAGCCGTTCTCATAGCACCTTCTAATGCGACCAAGATCGTCGGAGAATCCGTGCAATTCCGCTGCGACTTTTATGGCACTCCAAAGCCCGTTGTTTCATGGTTCTTCTCTCGAACTCAGTCTTCCTCTCGTGAGACGGTTGCATACGATTCTCGTGTAGTCAAAACTTCAGATGGTATTCGCATTTCACCGGTGAGAAAAACAGATGAAGGGAAATACATTTGCCGTGGAAATAGCACCGGAGGGTCTTTGGAAGTGTTTGCATTTCTACGAGTTTATGGTGAGTACCAGCTTTCTATTCGTTGGCAATGAAAGGCACGCACTAATGTCGCTAGAACTGATTTGAAACTGTCTGCGACATTGTTCAAACAGATCTACTTCCATACGAGATAGAATATCCTGCAAAAATATCCTAGCTATAGTCAAGTAAAAACTTTTGTATGTTGACGATCATAAAAAAAATGCAACCGAAAGAATTTCAACTACCAAACCCTTTGCTGCTTTTCTTGAATAATTCGCTTGCTGCACCACTTAAAATATAAAAAAAATTGCTAAGTGCTCTAAACTTGACATTTTTTCTAATGTTATCATGCCTCTTCTTAACCATAGTGCCTCCATCCTTTGTTGCTCCTCCAAGCAACATGACAACTGTAGTTTCTTCACAAGTGATCTTTCGATACACGGCTACCGGAGATCCGGTTCCGGCTGTCTCTTGGCATTTTTCCGGTAGCCGCCTAGCACCCGGACCTAAATACGAAATATCCGGAACGACGTTTACCGTGAAAGGTGTCAGCCTGGGTGATTCTGGATGGTACACATGTAAATTAACCAATATGGCTGGTCAAAGGAACGCGTCTGCTTTTCTGGATGTTCAAAGTAAGGAATTTTTTAGAGTTTTCCCTCATCGCCCTATTCAAAACTATTTTTCTGGCAAAACAATTGCTGTCCCGATTTTGAAATCTTGATTGCTTTATTTCTAGGGTGTACATAAAATAGAATACTTTGCTTGAAAAGCAATTTAAAATGAATTATTTTTCGCTTCTTGGTGCCTATGCCTTCATTTTGTTTCTGCGCAATCTACATTTTATCACCGGAATTTTTTCCACAACACCAACGGCAAACAAGGACTCTAAGGGTCAGGGAACATTTGTCCACAGTTGTTATTATTTGTTCTACAGTTCTGTAACTTTTGTTTCTATATTTGTTTCCTTCTATAAGTCTGAGCAGTGTCTTTTCATGTATCAACATTTCAATGGTTCATCTCACAGTTGCTCCCAGAATAACCGGATTTTCTGTACCAAAAACCGTTGCTGTTGGCAAAAGTTTTTCGCTGCATTGTAACGGTACAGGCAACCCTAAGCCAACGATCAGGTGGGTTAAAAACCATACCATTGACCTGCAAGTTGACGGTGTAAAAGCTTTCGGAAGCATGGAGAATATGGAAATCATCGGTGCTAGAGAAACAGATAGTGGCATTTACGAATGCATTTTGACTAACTCATTAGGAACATCAACAAGCACCGGGACACTTATTGTACAAGGTATGGAGTCTTCTGTGTATCTCTTGAATTAAAAGGCCATACCAAAAGACGCTTTGTGTTCTTTGGCCTAGTATAGTATCTGCTCACAATTCTCTGTAATTTGGGTAAATTAAGCTAAAAACCAAAATGAATCATAAAATAATGGTTTTGTTAATGTCTTAAAAACAATCATTAAAATAAGTATTTAAATTGCTTAATTTAACGTCGTATAGGTTATGTTGTTAACAACTTCTGTTTTAAATTTTGGTTGTGTTAAAAACTCATCAAATCTTTTGCCTTCTAGTATCAAAGTGTTGTCACGAAGCTGTCCTGGAAGGTTGTTTACAAATCAAATTGTAAAATCCATTAACTTTTAAATTGCAATATTGCTAATTTCATCGAGACTTAAAAATAACAGTTTTATATGCTAAAATAATTTCACATTATTCGAACTTACATTACTTGATTATAAGATTTTTATTTATAATTGTAAATATTAAATTTATCAATTGTAAAATAAGGTTATGCTTAAATAAACATGGAATAAAAAAGGAAGTCATTCCACTTAAAAGTAGCTTAAAGTTAGCTTAATAATAGTTCGAATTTTTAAAACTAAAAATTTTTAACAAGTTTATTTACCATACAAACAAGATGAGATATCTGTCAATTCATTTGTATCTTTCCCTTCATTAGCCGAGAGTATGCACATCTCGAGCATTTGAACTTCTTTAAAGGCAATCTGTCTCGTTGTGGATTGGTTAACGAGAACAATAGATGGAACAATAGCCTAAACATAATTCCAGCACACCGCCATATTTTTTACAATGCGGTAAATTAAAGGGGGACTGGAAACAATAAATAATCCCTTTGTTCTTATAATCAATCAACGTCGTGACAGATAGCCTTTAAACTTCGAAATTTCTTTTCCCGATACTCAGACATTCGATAGCCCTCGAAAGTTGTAATGAATAAAGCATATATGATAAGAATTGACGTGATTACTAAAGATGTGATTTATTAACCTGATTTTCTTCCTTAGTTCTTATTGCAATCGATTTAAAATTAATTGAAAAGCTTTCATTAAACTGCTTTGCAATTATTTCGACTCTAATGTAGCGTTCTGTAAAAAATCTAAGATAACAACTAGTTCTTTGATTATAGAAATATTTTGTTCATAAACATTTTATATAATAAAAATAAATGCTTTCAAAAACACCTTTCAGTAATATGTATTGTAATATCATGTATGTTTTAAATTTCAGGAAAATTGATAGCTAAATGTATAAATTCTGATGTATAAAGTCAAACAAATTACTTAAAATTAATGTTTATTCCTTTATTGATATTCAAAGCTAATAATGGAATAGTATTTACTCTAAGTTGCTCTTTTTTCCTTGAAGCATCGATTGTAAAGTCATATTTTTGTTTTGCTTTGGAAGCAGTAGCGCTGCGCACTTGCCCATGAAAACATTTTCTTGCTTTTAGAATGCTTCTACCTTGTTTGTGTGTAATAAATTTGCCCGGAAATATGTTTTATCACGACCATTTTACTTTCGAATGACTATCGTTGCATATTGCAGGTCTATTTATGCTCGATTTAGAGACGCTCTTCTGAAATTTTTTCGAGATTCAGAAGCTTAAAGATATGAATTGATTATTCTGTTTTCAAAATCTCGCCTCTTGGAAACTCCCCGTTTTAATGGTCGTATTTCATTGCGAACAAATATTTCCACGAAATTATTTCATGTTGCTGTATTTTGCCTTGGTAATGTTCCCTTGTTGTTGGAGCTCTTTATTCTGTTTGCTTTTTCTTAGTGCTTCCGTACCCACCAAAACAGTTGAGAGCTGTTTCAACCCATGCCAATTCTATCACAATATTTTGGCAGCAAGGATTTGATGGCTACTCGTCGACCCTTGGGTACGTTCTGGAGGTCTCGCTCAAAGACGCAGGCTCATGGCGCGTATATGCCAATAATATATCAGCAAGGACTGGAAACTACACTGTCATAGGCCTGCAGCCTTACACGGTTTACAGTGCTCGAATGAAAGCATTTACTGTTATTGGTATGAGTGCATACAGCGTCTCCATTGACATACGGACTCTTGAAGGAGGTATACCACTTTTTATCTCAAATTTTATCATTAGAATCAAATTCAGTCCTGTCCTGTCCTGTTCTGTCCTGTCCTGTCCTGTCCTGTCCTGCCCTGTCCTGTCCTGTCCTGTCCTGTCCTGTCCTGTCCTGTCATGTCTTGTCCTGTCTTGTCCTGCCCTGTCCTGTCTTGTCCTGCCCTGTCCTGTCCTGTCCTGTCCTGTCTTGTCCTGTCCTGTCCTGTCCTGTCCTGTCCTGTCCTGTCCTGTCCTGTCCTGTCCTGTCCTGTCCTGTCCTGTCCTGTCCTGTCCTGTCCTGTCCTGTCCTGCCCTGTCCTGTCCTGTCCTGTCCTGTCCTGTCCTGTCCTGTCCTGTCCTGTCCTGTCCTGTCCTGTCCTGTCCTGTCTCGTCTGTCCTGTCCTGTTATGTTCTGTTTTGTTCTGTTTTGTACTCTTCTGTCCTCTTCTGTACTCTTCTGTCCTCTTCTGTCCTCTTCTGTCCTCTTCTGTCCTCTTCTGTCCTCTTCTGTCCTCTTCTGTCCTCTTCTGTCCTCTTCTGTCCTCTTCTGTCCTCTTCTGTCCTCTTCTGTCCTCTTCTGTCCTCTTCTGTCCTCTTCTGTCCTCTTCTGTCCTCTTCTGTACTCTTCTGTCCTCTTCTGTCCTCTTCTGTCCTCTTCTGTCCTCTTCTGTCCTCTTCTGTCCTCTTCTGTCCTCTTCTGTCCTCTTCTGTCCTCTTCTGTCCTCTTCTGTCCTCTTCTGTTATTCTATTCTGTTCTGTTATTTTCGGTTCTGTTTTGTATTGTTCTGTTAGGTTTTGTTAGTATGTTATTTCGTTCTGTTCTACTCGTTTAATCTGTTCTACACAGTTCTAATAATTGCATAATATTTGATAATAATGTACACTGAAATGTACATTGAAATTTTGCCACTATCTTGTAAAAGGTTTATGTTCTTGAGTATATTGTAGTTAAGATTGATGAAATAGCAACATCATGAATGTGCTTGTTGAAATTTATCGTTTCTTGGTTGGTCTGGATTGTTTATTCGACATCATATGTCCATTTTTCAGTCTGTTCACAATTTGAACAGCTAGTTTCTAAAATGTTGTTCAAAGATACTGTCAGTTGGTTTTATAAACGTTATATGGTTTTGTAAACATTATATTCATCAACTTCTGTAACATACTGCAGATAGCCTTGGGTAAGCAATAAATTCGATTGGGTGATTAAAGCCTGCCTAATAGAGCTGGACGTAGATCTTTAGTCCAGATTCGATTATAAACTTGTAAAAGAGATTGCAATGGAAGGCCTAGGGCATGACCCAAATCTTAATTGCCCGCGGGAATTTTTCAATTTAAATTATTTAAGCATCCCATGGATGGTTTTTTCCTTTCACAGACCCTTCAGTGCCACGCAGTATGAGAGTGCAAGTTCTCAATTCCACTGCGGCAAGAGCTCATTGGGAAAAGCCTTCTCAGACCAACGGTAATATCACCGTATATGAGCTACAGTACAGCCTTGTGGCTAGTTCCATCACAAGGGTGATTGCGGTGACAGCTGATGGTAGTTCTTCTTACCAGCTAGTTTTGCGATCTCTACAACCATTTTCAGATTACCATCTGAAGATAAGAGCCGCCACTGGCAATGCGGGCAGTCGCAAATGGGGAAACTATTCCACCATTTTGGCGTTCAGAACTAGCGAAGCAGGTATGAGGCTGTTAACGATTTTTTAATGTTTTGGCAAGCAAGCCCATAGATTAATACAAAAACTAGAATGCATGTCGTTATTGAAAGCGTTCTTTTTAGGTTTTTATATTTTGCCAATTTTTAGCGACAGGAGACTGTTGAGAAGATATTTATCGAGAACCTTTTAAACCTTAACTTTAAATTTTGTCACCGTATTCCAAACGTCCCTGATTTTAAACCATTTGATAAAGTTTGCTAATGGCAGCATCAACTTTGCCCCAACAGCTCCATCTGCAGCACCAATGCTTGGAAATATCACGGCAATTTCTTCTACGTCTATTTCTGTGACCTTTTTTCCTCTACAAAGCACCATGCTAAACGGGATCCTTCAAGCATATGACATAAGAATCTCTTCTACACAAGATAAAGAGCACAAATTTCTTACCAACAACACTCATCTTATTGTGACGTCATTGCGCAAATTCACTCGGTACACTGTTACTATCAGAGCTTGCACAAGAGCTGGATGTGGTCCACCGAGCCGGCCGCGTTCCATTTCTACACTCGAAGATCGTAAGTTCTACTAGTTTTCACAAGTTTATCGCCATTAACGAAATGGCTCTTAAGTATGTACTGTAAATCCTTAAGTTGTCCCCCGGGGCCTATCAATTTAGGAGATTTGTAGATGGGAGCTTATTTTAAAGGGCCTTTTGCGATGTGCGGGGTTGTAAGAAATAACTGAAAGACAAAATGAGACTAGCTTATTTTGAAAGCTTGTAGACTTTTTCGTGTGATCTTAATTCCATGCGAATATTTCATGTTTCATGTTTGTTTTCATATCTCTTGTTCATTTCATTTCTCAAGAGTTTCTTTCTCATTTCAGTGCCAGGGCAGGTTAGCAATGCATCTGTCACCGTCTTGTCACCAACGACTATCCGCATCAGCTGGTCGCAACCATTGGATCAAAATGGAAATATTACTGGTGAGTTCCATCAAGGTTGTCACCATTCCATTTGGACAATATTTTTTTACTTTTGAAAGGCCGTATTGACAATCGTGACAAGACTGATCTGGTCTAAAAATTGGTCTTACTACAGTTAAATGTATTGCATTAAATATCAAAGCATCAATGGCTTCTAAGAAATCAGAAAAGCTCCTCCAACAAACTATACGAATGCATATAAAACTTTGATATCAATTTTCATAGAACTTCATTCAAGCAGTGCTTCATTTTTCTTGCTTCCGTTGATTGTGCAACGCATTTTTATATCCTCTCAACGAAAGTCTTTTTCTTTTCAGTGTTGTTATACAGAAATCTTCTGGTTTTTTCTGCAAATGCTATCATTTATATATCTCTGCTGCATTGCTCGCCCTAAACTTGCAATAACGGTTTGTTTTACACACAATCTAGGCTACATCGTTGCTGTAAAAGCTGGATCTCTGGGTACGTTCCAAAACATTTCACTTGATGCAAATCAACTCATACATGAAAAGACAGGCCTAACCAATTCGACGTATTTTGTAACGATTGCTGCTAAAACAAAAGTTGGAACAGGACCGTGGTTGCCCTTTATTCAAGTCAAGCTTGGTAAGTTTATGTTTACGAATTTGAAGATTTGATATCATCATAAAAGCACTGAAGCTATTGATAGATTTTTCTGTTGTTTGCCGGATGCGATTTTTTGAGTTTGAAAATTTTCGGTACTTTCTGGGCTAAGCAGGAGATAATGCCAAAAACCTGCCTTAAATATATAGGAAAAGAAACTTAAGGGGTTTTAAATCTTTTATAGAATTTAGGGAATACTATCAATTTTTTGAGTTCTAACAGGTTTATAGACTTTAACAAGATTTTTAAGGAATTTTTATAGAGCTTCCTCGAGAAAGTTCATGAGATTTTGTAGGAATTTGCTCCTTGGTTGAAACTAAAGAAAATGTAAACTTAGGGTTTCCCAACAGTAGATGTGGGCACACAGTAATCTAGTTGGTACAAACGTATCCATTTTTAGTTTCATCCCCCCCCCCCCCTTGGCAAAATCTACTCTCTTTTTTCCCAATTCTCCATTTTCCTTCCTTTGTCCCTTTTTTCTTTGCTTCTCATTTTACTTTCTCTTTTCCTTCTCACTTTTTCTCTCTTTTCCTACAATTTATTTGCTATCCTCCAACATAAAAGGGGGGCTACTGTCTTATTGATTCTCCTCCCAACACTAAGTTGGTTACTGTAAAAATATATATCTCTAAAGATATCTATGTAAAAAGATAAATTAATCACTTATTTATTAATTTTTTTACTTCAATTACAATAAATTCCTTACAAGATTCAATTAAGATCGTAAACTCCGTTCCACTTAACTGTTTTTGGCAATTTTATAGTTTGAAAATGTCTGCGTACATTATGTGCGGAGGGCCCCTACTTGTTCAAGAACAACGCAATTATAAAGAAATTGGTTAATTTACTTCGTATTTTGATATAATTTTACCGTTGAATTTGCATTCTATCACAACAGACAAGTACGCTACAACAACAGCAACAAGCAGTCCTGCGTCGTCAGCTCCATCCACAGAAAGCACATCGCCCAGTACGACATTGACAGCTACCACCAAGTCTACTGTTGGACCAGGCACAGTCAAAAAATCAGTGGACTGGCTGGATGAGAACAACCTTCCAATTCTAATTGGTGTTTCAGTGACAATCTTTATATTGCTCATTATCGTTATCGTGTTGTTTTCATTGCACTGTGCTCGCAGATTAACGGCAGGTAAATCTTCCGCTTTCATTGACTTACAGAGTTCACCTTCAGGGACCAAGGAGTATCTTTGAGATCGGGGGAGCTAGGGGCTAAACATTCAAAGGGCCAAAAGCAAGATTTTTATCAATTTTTTAAGTTGAGTTTTAAAAAGCATTTGAGAGCTAAAGCGAATATTTTGTAAAAGGTTGTTATTTTTTACCGTTGATTAAATCTGAGTACGAGATGAGGATAAAATTTTCATTAAGTGTATCGAAAGTTTTTTCATTGTTCTTCTATTATATAACAAAACTATTATATAGCACAGTCGAAAAGAAAATTTATTTTGCATAACGCTGCATAATTTTGTTATCTTGGAGTTAATTTTTCCCCCACAGGGACAATAAAGAGGGAACGCTGGCTTAGTACAAGAACTCGTGAGTTTGACCTCTTCTCGTCTTTTTTCCTTTCAAGAATTTTTTACCCCTTTAATGTATTTTTAGTTCCCTGTTTAGTGATACTTACGTTTGACATTGTCATTTTGCAGAAAGCGGTGCTGAAAACCCGGGATATCTTGAGAATGGTGGACTGGAACTCAAAAAGTAAGACGAATTTACACTTCAAATTAGTTTTAGTATCGATTTTGTAAGTTCAGCTCACAAATTGTGGGTGTCCTTAGGGCAAGAGTTTAATTTAAGATTGACTTTTTGAAGGGTTCTTTAACATATTGCTTCTTTAACATATCGAGCCAATTTAAGCATGCTTAGAGAGAACGCTGTAACCTATGTGCTTGGATAAGCCTGCGCCTTCTTTGTCCTGGTGAAAAGATTTGACCTGGTCGGGAACTCTCTTTGACTCTCATCCAGATAAAGATTTCTCTTTATTTTAAGTCCCGGAGTTCTTTACGTCTCTTTATTCAATCATTGTGGATTTCTCTTCTTCTCACCCAGGGTAGAAGAAATTTATCCTGGGACAGAATTTCGTCCCGGGTCGAGATATAATTGTGAAAACGAATGATGTAGAAACTAGAAACAAAAAACTTGCTAGTAGCCGTGTTAACACAAACCTTATTGATTTTAGTCATCTAAAGGATTATTGTTCCGGCTTTTAATACACATATTCTTTTAGAAACCCTGCTGAATCAGCCGATCAGAAAGCTGATCAATCCAACACAACAGAGGAATTCGTCGATTCGAAGATTGTCGATGATGATTTTATTTTCGAGCACGAATCCGAGTCACAGCCAGAAGACAATAACCCAGCGAATGGTTACGCATATGACGACACAATGCGAATCAAGGACAAGGATGATGAATCGCCTTTGATAAAACTGCGTAACAACGAGCTTGATTTCAGTGATGACGCAAGCGAATATGATCAGTAAGTTTCATAAAAATTTCTCCAGTTTAAGCCTGTTTTTGGCTTTGCGGTGCAGTCAACATCTACGTATTCGAAGTTCCAAAGAAATTGAGAAGTCGGAATAGAGATGAGGGATTTTCTTCTCATCGGCCGTTTACATAAGAATTTTCAACCCGTGCTGAGTTTAACACGGGCTGTTTGTAACATAGTATTAGAAACAAAACTCGTCCCCAAAGAGAACAGCCACCTCGGTCTTGCAAATCTAAAAGTACAACTAAAACCTGCGATTCTGCTATCAGGCAGCATTTACTGGAAAACCCAGATTGTGCAAAAAACTATAATGGCAACATGTTTCGGATTATTGGTAAAGCCCGATGGTCGTTCCACCTAGCAGTTTTGGAATCTATCTACATAGACACGAAAAAACCGCTACTGTGTAGACAAAAAGAGTTCGTTTTCACCTTAGGACTCCATTGGTAACATTCTCAATAGGCCAGCGGCACTGATTGGTCAGCCTCAACAGTCATGTGCTCGTGTTTCTGATTGGCCTATTTCGATCCACAACTGGGTATATATATTTCCTAGCGTAGAGTTTTCGGTCTATGTTCTGACGTTTAAAACTCTGATGAGTGTCAGACGAAAAGCTTTAGTTTACTAAATGTTTGCTTTTTTCAAAGCCATTTACGGGCTGTTCTGTGAAAAAGGGCATATTTCATCCGAGCATTTATCAATCTCTACAAGGACATTGTCAAAGAAAAAGATAAGAAAAAATTGAGTAGGAAGGAAAAGAAAATTAGATACAGCTTTACAGCTCTACAAGGATTTCATGACTTTTGAAGATCAGCGAGCGGAAAGTTTGCAAAATTCGCAAAGAACCAGATTTATTTTTTACCTGTGTACAATTCCAATATTGTTTGGCACATATTGTTTTGTAATCAGTTTTATCTATATATTTGCTTTCTTTCTTCTGATATTTAAAATAATCAACATAGATATCGTAGGCAATAGTTGTCCAAGTATTTCTAGCATCTCTAAGATCTAGGATTTTTAAAGGATGTGTATGGCTCTAACTTCGTTTGGTGTGATTAAAGCCCCGTTAAAACGCTCTCAACAATTCACTGAACATCGCTCAACATTTGTACAGTGATGTTTAGTGATGTTTAGTGATGCTGAATTGGGGTGTTAAAACGTTCTCAACAATTCGACGCAACATTCGTTGAGCGGTGAACTTCGGACTCTCAGAGATCCAAGACAAGTTTGGAAGATGAACTTCGGATACTTTTTCACTTTAACAGTAGCTGCCTGATGATTTCCTAAGGTCAGGATATTGGTCTTGCAACATGCTTTGAATTGCTATCTCATCCGATTTGCTTTCACTGCCAACTGTTTCCAAGCGTTTATCATGGTGTGCCATTACGATTTATAAAATTCAACTTCTCTCAACCTCTTGGTCTGATCTGAAATCTTGACACGCTGAAGCCTTTCTTTGGCGCGCAAAATCCAAGTCTAGTGCGCTTGCGCCGACTGAACATTGTTGTATGGGGTGTTAAAACGCTCTCAACATCTCTCAACAACACCTTTAACAATAGAAATGTTGAGTCGACCCGCTGAACATTTTTGAATCTGTTCAAACTCCACTCAACATCGCTGAACACCGCTCAACACCACTCAACATCACTGAACAGGGTGTTAAAACGCTCTCAACATTTGCACTCTACAAATGTTGAGCGATGTTCAGTGAAATGTTGAGAGCGTTTTAACGGGGCTTAACATTGCCACGTGATACTTGCAGCAAACTCAATGCTTTTTCTGAATTCACAGCCTTCACCTACTCTCGAAGCAAGCAGCCTTAGCAAGTTTTTTGCCATGATACCATTGTGAAATTCCATTCCGGCCAGCTCAAAATGTTTTGGATTACTAGTTTCTTTTCATTTTCATTTTATAATATTTATAAACGTTAAAATTTCAGTACATGTATCGTTTTCAAACAGGCGTGTTAAAAACATAATGTATAGACAAAACAAAATTACAATATAGTGGTAACAGTACTTAATAATAATTTTTTAGTCAAATAAAGAAAACAACGAAAACTTGCCATTGCAATGAGACCAAAGAAAACACAAGCCATTGCTCAGCGCGTAGATTTCGCGGTTTGGTAGCCGTTTAGGGAGGGTGTCACTTCAGTTACCCTACTCAAGCAGTTCCAAAGGCTTCCCCCTCGATACGACAACGACTTTGGCCTGTGCTCGTTTTTAGAAGTGACAACTTCAAATCGTTATCAGTTGAGCATAATACACTGTTGTTGCTTACAGAATATCTTGTGAATAGATTCAGATAAACTAATTGCTTTCTTGATCTTCTTTCTTCGTTTTTAAAAGGGTTTTTAAAGCATTGTCTCTTATTTCTACACTGGAACTCATTGTCCCTCATGTAGGAGGCTATAGGATATTTGTCAGAGTTTCTTTAAGTAACATTACACTGAATTTCAGGCCATACTCGCATATAGACGAGCTTGGAGCGCCCATCAAAGATTTATTCTCGTTCGTTGACGAAGAGGACAACAAAGCTTTAGATTTTTCCAGTAATGAGGAACACAGCGATAAAAACTCGAAAGACAACAGTCGCAAAACAAGCGATAGTAACCAGGAGAATATGCCCGAGTCAGAAGGAGGTAAAACTCCAGAAGTTCCTCATGGCCGGACGACTGCAAGTCCGGACTTTACTTGGGATAACTACGACACATCAAAGGAAGCCGCGCACAACGATGATAGTGTCCGTTATGATACTCCTGCAGACGCTGTTATTCTGGATGCTGGTCATAACATTCCGGAGTACGCCACCGTGCAAAAAAACAGAGACAAGAAGCAGTCTGATGAATTTTTGCTCATTGGCAACGAAGAGAGGATATAGGTTTACCCGATGCCTTACGACGATGCCTTACGACGATGCCTTACGACGATGCCTTACGACGATGCCTTACGACGATGCCTCTTGTGGTTTGCTACAGTCTGACCTGACGACCATGTAATACTTGCAAGTTCGGCAAGGCATACAAAAGCATCAACTTGTGTTATATTTCATTGAAAGGGTATAGAACCTCCAAGCTGGTAATACCAGAATTCGAAGCACTCCATTTGTTCGGGGGATTAGTATCAATCGGGAAATTGGTTTTCAAATACCACACCTTGTATAATATTGCTAGTTTTTATTTATTTCTTTTCTGTTTATTAGGTAAATATGAATAGACAGTTTCTTAGCTCATTTGTCTATGTGAATGAAACAAAGAAAGTTTGTTTGTGATTTTAGAGAGGTAAGTTATATCCAGATGTTTTATTGATTTATTCAGCAACTGACACAGAATGAATATAGCGTATGATTAGGTATTTGGTTATAGTGTGTTTTGTAAAATTTTCATTTTTTATATCTTAATTTGATTGATGATCATTTTATTAACAACATGCAATTTTTTCTCGTTCTTCTTTGATGGACCAAAATTACTCCATCAATTCTCTGACTTCAACCACATTTACTACGTTTTACTAAACGTGTTCATGAAGTATTGAAAGATTTAGCTGAATTTCTCGGTATAAAAGAATTGATAAGTACAATATGTTTTCATTTCATTTTGCGTTTTTTTGTTACATTCTATCAAAATGAAATTATATCATTGGAAGAATAGCTGTCGTGTAATATTTCCGAACTAAAAGTGTCCTTTATGTTAATTCATATGTTTTGCTACTAGTCTGTGGTGTTGCAATACGGGGGAAGTTGGAGAAAGGGTCTCCCTTCCGAGGGGCCCCAGGCCTCCTACAGGCTTAATCCAGCCCTGATTTGAATTGCAGATATCTTGCTCTCGTGTAATGTATGTTCGATGGCTATCTATTCCATAAGGCGTTCTCATACATTCTGTAAAAATGGAAGAGAATGAACTTCTCAAGTATAACGTATCTTTGAGTTAAACTTTTATCTGCTAATTAAATTTGTACAAGGCCGTCGTAACTTCGAGAAAGATAGAAAGTACGGAGAGAAAATGCGAGAACAAAATTCACATTTAGGTGTGATGTCGCACTGCATTACACCGTTGTTATTTTTGTTTACATCAAATACTGACTTAGAACTAAAGATACTAAAAGCTTGTGTATTGTATTCCTATATTCCAAGTATGCTTGAAGAAAGAGGCAGACAGGGAGCAAGAGAAGCTTGACAAGCAAATTCGAGCAAATTCAGCGATTTCGGCTCCCTTAAAAATTCCGCATTTCAAATGGCAACAACATCGAATGCCTTTTTTATACTCTTATATTTTTTATTTTCTTTTTTGTTTCATATTATATTCCACACATTGACGAATTACAAAGGACGATACTGCAAGGCGTAAGGACTTTTCACAGTGGCATTTCTTCCGAAACACATTTTTTTATTGTTAACTTTTAAAAGAGTTCCTTTTCATTCAATGTTTCCTAATTTGTTTCAAATAATTAAGTAAAGCGTCAAATTTGTCAGTTAATTGCGGAAATATTGCTACAGTGTTGGCGTTCGTTGAAAACTTTACTAACTTCCCATTCCCCCTTGTTTGTGTTTCAGGCACCTTATTTGAAATGGGTCGGGAACAGGGGCTACTGCCCTAAAAAAACAAATATTACTCCCCCTGCGCCGAGGGCGGATCTAACATCAAGAGGCGACGCCTCACGGAACTGCGTTCTCAGCTTTCAAACAGGGCATCCGGTCCGGTCGTTGCAGCGTGTCCTATTCAAACTGTAAATAAGTAGCAAAATATCACCGATTCATTGCCACCAAACAGACTGTTTGTACCTGCAAAGACAGACAAACTATCAAGCAAGATGAGCGGCTCCAAGGATTATCAAGGTAAATAATTGCACCGATTTTAAGTCTTATTTAATCTGTTTGCTTAGGCCCGGAAAGTCCTTTCAGGGCTCCTTCCACTTCTGGGTGTCGCCTCCCCTTCCGTGAAAATATTGTGATGTCACTTTCGAAGTAATACTTTTATAAAACAATATCGAAAGCGATGTAAGAATATAATGTGAATTTGTTTAGGGGTCATGTACATGAGATTTCTGCTTTGTTTGCTTCATGTTTTTAACTTGATAAGTGTCGCCCTTTGATCTGCGCTTTTGTTGAAAACGAACTGAAAGCAAATGTCTTTTATCAATCCAAATAGTTCTCATTCTTGGACGTTGGCGGGTCAAATGCTCATACATTTGGTTTACCTCAATTTCTAAAGCGAAATTCGTGATTCTTTTTCTATCATACTAGCAGTGTGTGGCAAGGTATACATTGTACATATCAAATTTATCTTGTGTACAGTCACGAACCATGAACAATTTCTCAGTTTATCTAGTCTTCCTCTAAAGTTTCAAACTAAATATTTAACTTCAACCTGCAGAAATTTGAAAATCCAAATGAATGTTTGCTAAGGGATTATTATGATACAAATGACTCTCAAATATTTATCATTTTATCAAGGCTTTTTATTAATCTAGAGGAGCTGTGATAAAAACGATTGCTCTCTTCGCATGTCGGTGAAAATAGGTCTCCGTAAAAAAGCTTCTCTATGAAAAGATTGCAGGTCTTTTTCTTGCATGCTTGACAATTAGAGTCGAGAGATTATACAATATTTTTTGGCTGGTGGTACCAGGGCTTATGCAGGGGCACCCCAAAAACTTTTAATTAGTCAAAAGTTTCAGAAATTTTTTCTCCTTTGCCAAAATTTGTAAGCAAATTACATCTAAAAGCCTCTTTTAAGAGTAGCCTGCGCACAGACTTGACTGGTTGCCCCAGAGTTAAATTTAATTTAATGGAAATTTGTGTTTCTATTGGGGCCTGAAAACACCAAAAGCAAGCTTCTACAGTGAGCAAGCTGATTCTCAGGGTGAGTCCAGAAAAAAATCACCCAATACAGGTATGCAATTTTCATGGTTCCCCTCCTGCCCATGGCCCTAGGATTGTCACCCTAGCTACCCCCAACCCCCAGTGCTGCTGGGCAGTGGCGGACACCTGGAGGGATGAGGGGGAGGGCGACCGCCCCTCCAATACTTTAGAGGACAATGGTCTTGTGTTTCAATTTTGTTTCAATGGGTAATCAAGTTATCTTAGCGACCATCATTTGTTGTCATTTTTCAATTTTTACACTAGTGTCGTTTTAGGTGAAAGCAAATATGTGACATTTTTGCCTCCCCCTCGTGTAATATGCAAAGCAAACTTGAAGATATTTTAGCTACAGAAATTATGACAAGAAATTGGTTTGTATCACTCAGAAACTCTAGACTTGACAATCTTTGGGGGGATAGAACCAGGGGCGGACACTTTATCAAATATTAGGGGGCAAGCCTACTGTTTTAATAAGATAATGTAACATTTCCCATTGTTCTAGAACATAAAACCATTGTCACCTAAAGTATTGGGGGCGGTGGCCCCTGTCTGCCACTGGATAGAACCACCCAAAAATTGTACATTAAAGTTATTTTTGGCTGTGGCTTTGCACCAAAATCATATAGATATATCTTTAAAGTAAATTAATGTAGATTAGGATGTAGTTTAGTAGGAGTTTCCTTAGTTCAAGCAGCCATTACCCCTCAGCATCCATCAATCATCACTAAATCATTGAATGATAAAAGAGTAAAGTACCAGGAAGTCGGAAAAAGGGAATCTTTTTTATCCTGGAAAAGGAGAAGAGAAAACATAAATCCTCTGGTGACTTTACATTTCTCTTTGATATGGGATTTTACATGGGATCTGGCTTTAAGACACAGCCTATTTCCCTTCCCATTTGTCCTTCAGTTTGATGTGAATTAGAATCTAGACTTTGGTGATTAAAAAAGAGGAGGTGCCTAAAGATACCAAAACTCATAACAGGGCCTGAGATGAAGGGAGGGTCCAATGCCCCCTACACCCTTTAACCAAGAATTTTGCTGTATGAATTTAGTTCCTTGCTCTAGCACTGCATGTCCCTAAAAATCAAGGAACCTGTTCTCATGACCTTGTTCAGAAACACGCAATATCAAGAAGGAGACAAAAAGTGAACCTATACAATGAGAAATTGTATTTTTTATAAAATTGGCGGAATGAAATAATATTTCACCCCAGCAGAACTTTGTCAAAGTGACTGTGATTTTCAGCATTTTCGTAAAGTATTTTAATGTAAATGCCTTTTTCAGAGGAAGAGTCAAAAGCAGGGGCATAGCTGGCGGGGAGTTTGACCCCCCCCCCCCCAATTCTTCATGAATCGCAGCTTCAGTTGGACCACAAAATCTTTAGTTTTTCAGTTAAGTTGTCTATCAGTAGGTGGGGTCTAAATTTTCTTTTCATGTGTGTCTTTGACAGTAGGTTTATTTTTACTACTCTGAAAAGTCGTGCTATGCCACTGGCGAAATTCTTTGCATTATGATCTTTACCGATAATAGGCTTCACATGTTCAAATGGTTAAGGCAAGTCACTTTAGTTTTAATACTGTTTTGGCCCCAATAGCCAAGTTGTTCGCAAATTGTTACAAGTCAAACCGCACCTATATCTGAGATATAAGCAAGTAAATATATTCTCCTCCTAGACTCGAATATTAGCAACCAATAGCCATATTAGCTTCAAATCTGCGTAATGGTAGGCCTTTGTTTAGAGACAACCTGCAAGCCATTTTGCATGTCTCTCAGGCATTTAAACACATACCAAAGAATACTTGCCTGGAAAAGGTTCTAATAATGAGTTTAGAATGCAACTGTAATAGCGTTGAATAGGGCAAATTGGCCCCTCCTAGGAATTTCCTCTGTGCTGGTAAGAACTTTGCATCATAAGTCCCACCTCCAGCCACATATATGTGCTCAGAAAATTTTATTGCGTAGAAACAATTCTAATGTCACAATCATTTTGTAACTTTAGGCGGAAAGGCCTTTGGACAACTTCGTCAAACTCAAGAAAATGATCTGGATGCCATCAACCTGGTAAAAAGATTGGAATGTTTTTGTAGACTTAAGTTTTTTTAACAAAAGCAAATGTATTTGACTTATCCTTATTTATTGAAATATTTTTCCGCTTCACTTAATTTACTTATTTCCAACGAGACAGGTACTCACAAGCTTTTATTCATGGGGATGTGCCCCAGTGTAGGGCTTATTGACATAGGAATGTCATAAGGTTCTCTTGTTGATTTCTGGAAATTCCAAGAAGGGTTACATGTAGACCATAGCAATTTCCATGGTAGGGTTTAAAATTAAAGAAAATGGCTTGAAATAGGTCGATCTACTTGTCATTATTTCCCAACCCTTTCCAACATTGTCCGTGTTGCATGTCTCCCCCCCCATTACCCTTGCAAAATTATAGTTAAGTTGCCCCCTGGCTATTTTTACGGAATTCCCAAAATAAAACTTGTAAACAACACTATCTTTGTTTTTGCTATCGATGCAATCCGGAATTCTGTTTTCAAAAGTCTTGACAAATATAAGAGTGGATGCAAATTTGTGTGTTTAACGCTTAAAAATATTAATTCATTCTGGATTCCCTGCTCCACAGTGTAAAATTCGTTCAGCAATTTGCCACCTCAATTTGAACATCTGCAGATTGATGGGTTGCTCCTGCTAGTGCTAACCTCGTACCCAGGCAGATTTTCATTTTTTTGCTGTCAAAGTCACGCCCCGAAAAAACCTTAAAGGATATGACAAAATTTAGAAATAAAAGCAAGAAAGTTGAGAAGTTTCAATGTGAATTTTTGCCAGTTTAATGTTTTGTTTCAAGTTTTCCGAAGACATTCGATGTAAAATTAGGCCCAGTCGTCTTGGGGAATATATGGGAAATCGATTGTTTGTAGCCCTGATGTCTAATGCTAATATAAATTTTTAAGATAGTAAATGTGACGATCAGAAGGAAAATTAAAGCATCTAGGGGCACGGATTGAAAAGCAGTGATTGCAAGGTACTATATTGCAAAGTAAACGAAGAGGTTTGTTGACAGGTACGAAAAGAGTAACATTGTCTATAATGAGAGTTTTTCCACACAGAACAAGGCCTAACCACAAAAGTTCGCATCACATTAGTAATAAGACAGACATTTCTATTTATCAAACTAAAAAAGCCCACTGCTCGTAAAATATCTTCATTCATGTTTTATGTATAACTTCGAGTCTTATGTTAATCGGTTGGCATTTTGAACTGCCCTCATTTTCGATTAATACTAACCTCATTAGGGCAGGGATATAAATTAGTGCGATGAAAGCTATTAACACAGATGCCGAGCTAATAAAAATTTGGAAGAATTTTCAATTTTTTCACCCAGTAAATGAACTCGCCAGATCTCGAGTAAACGCGAAGTGTCATTGAGCGAATTTTCCTTAACCAGAATTGGGATTTTCTTGACAATGAATGGGTTTATAACAAATGTGTCCGACATTTTGATAAATTGGTATGCCCCTTGATTTAGACTATCAATCAAAACAGTTGAAAGTAAAAATTTACCTTTTCGCTTTCACATTTGAACTTGACCGTTAAGTTATTGATATGTATTTTTTCTAAGCAATGCAGTTTTATGTATTGTAGATGGTTTTAATTCTTTTCCATCAATTGTAGCTGTACATGGACGATGCAGACAATCTTGAAGAATACCCGGACCTTGCAGAGAAGTTGGACGCCTACAAAAGTACACGAGAAAACATTTATTATTCTCATTCTCTACTATTTTTTTGTTTTGCCGTCTCGTTATCTGCTGTTAGCTGGTGAATTTAAAAAAAATAGCATGGGAAATCATCCAAAAGATGTTACACGTTGTGGGCCGCATTTTATGTTGCTGATGTATGTTTTTTTTTGTCTTAAGAGTAAAATATTTCGCTATAAAACGTTTAAATGATTAAACAAAGCATTTCCAATTCTCGTACTCCCTTTTCCGACCAATTACTGGTCAACGGGACGCACATTATCATTTACTGCAGAGAAAAAGAAAATATCAGAGCAGTTCAAAAACAAAACTAAATCGAATTCAGAATTTTCAAAGTGTAAGCCAAAAATATTTTTTGAGAGAAAGCGCACGGTGGGCCGGATGTATGTTTTTTTGTCTTGTCAAATGTATCAATTTGTCTTATTTTCAATTGCTTTTTAGAACAATTTATGGAATTTGATGAAGATAATTCAGGAGATATCGGTAAGAAATTCCTCACTCTTTGTCTTGTTCAGCCTGTTCACCTTTCTGCAGGCTCATTCCTTTATCATCTAGATCTCAAAAATCGTTAAGTTTAGCACCCTTAAATCTTAACATGACCACCGATTGTTCACATTGAACCCAATTAATTTTTCAAGTAAAATTATTACTTTCATAGATATAATGGAGTTGAAAAGAATGATGGAAAAACTCGGTCAAGCCAAAACTCACCTTGAATTGAAGAAAATGATTTCTGAAGTGGATACGCGGAATTCAGGTGTGTTGTTGTCAAATGTTGACCCGATGTGTCTGACAGAACTAATTCATTGAGGAACATAAATGTTTATTAAAGAATCCTACGATCCCCAACTTTTTACAGTTTCTCAAATGATTTTCTGAAAATTGTAAGAGCTTTAGGAATAAAGAATTCTGTTCTTTATCTTTTCTGCATGGGAAATACAATTCAAGGAAATTATGTTATTAACTGTGGCATTAAGGGAATCGGTGCATTGGGGATGGGGGTATCCCAGAAACCCTTGAGAATGAGCACACCCTATTACCTTACATTGAAGCCCAAAGGCCAGGGGTTTTTAATTGTTTTGAGTGCCGGGCCAGAAAAACATGTGGATTTCCTCCGGGGATTACTGAGTTTTCGACTTTTACATAGCTTGTCTCAAAAAGTTGCAAAAAATAAAGTTCGGATCTCATACTTACCAGGCTTATTTAGAGATAAGATAGGCAGGCCTATATTCATAAAATCTATGTATTGCGCTTATTTTCATGAAATAAGTTTCGGGATGGTGGATGAGATGAGAGAAAAGGGAGGGCGATGTTTACATTTAGGAACATTATGCTGGCTTGATGTTAGAGGGATTGGCTCCAAGTGCAATACCCGAGGGATTTACACGCCGAAGGACAGGGAAAACTTTCTGGGGGAAGGGGACTAAAAGCTTTAAACTGTAACACAATGTATAAAGCCAAAAAGATGATTGTACAAAAGTTTGCAACATGCGTTTCTTTTACCAGGCTGAATCAGAAGACAGTTGTGCTATTTTTAGGTTACGACGCTAATATTCGTTTGGTCGACTTACTGCACTTGAAGTCGGATCCAGGGACGGCGAAACGTATTTTAAAGTGGGGTCAAAATTTAATGACTGTGTTTGTATTAAAAAAGGCCGCCACCATGGTTGGCGGCAAGAAAAATTTTGGAATATAATAATCTAGGGATGGCCAGAAACTGCCTCTAAAATAGAATTTGACGGGAGAAAAGCTAACGGTTCCATAGCTTTATCTATTCTAATGTTGACATGAAACGAAAGGGTCTTCCAAAGTTTTGCAATTAGCTTAGCATAACAGAAAATAATCAACTTTTTTACAAATGAATGAAGCCAAAATAAGATGGAGAGAGAAAATGAATAAAACACAGTTTGGCAATGAAGCATTAGCCAGTGCCCTAGTCCACACACGCTGTTTCGTACACATACGCTAATAAGCATGAACTTCATGAACTAAAGATTAAGTCTGGCCTTGGGCCTGGGTTCTCAGAAAGTGGAGGAAAAGGTGAGGTCATGGTGAGTTTATCAACGACCTATTGAATTCAATGAAAGCAGTAAAATATTTTGCTATAAAACGTTTAAATAAATAGCTTTGAAAAAAGCAAACATTTAGTAAACTAAAGCTTTTCGTCTGACACTCTTCAGAGTTTAAAACGTCAGAACATAGATCGAAAACTCTACGCTAAGAAATATATATACCCAGTTGTGGATCGAAATAGGCCAATCAGAAACACTAGCACATGACTGTAAAGGTTGACCAATCAGTGCCGCTTGCCTATTAGAATGTTACCAATGGAGTCCTAAGGTGAAAACGAACTCCTTTTGTCTACACAGTAGCGGTTTTTTCGTGCTTATGTAGATAGATTCTAAAACTGCTAGGTGGAACGACGATCAGGCTTTACCAATAATCCGAAACATGTCGCCATTATAGTTTTTTGCACAAACTGGGTTTTCTAGCAAATGCTGCCCGATAGCAGAATCGCAGGTCTTATTAGTAATTTTGGATTTGCAAGACCGAGGTGGCTGTTCTCTTTGGGGATGTGTTTTGTTTCTAATATTAGATGGAACGTTTAAATAATTAAATAAAACATTTCCTATTTTCGTACTCCCTTTCGGGCCAATTACTGGTCAACGGGACGAACATTATCATTTACTGCAGAGAAAAAGAAAATATCAGAGCAGTCCAAAAACAAAACTAAATCGAATTCAAAATTTTCAAAGTGTAAGCCAAAAATATTGTTTGAGATAAAGCGCTCGGTGGGCCGGATAAACACTTGCAGCGGGCCGGAGTTTAAGAATGGCTGTCATAGGCCAGTATGCCTTTTTTCATGATTTTGAATTTTGCAATTTGAAAAACGCACCCATATGTATTCCTTTAAATGTAACAAATATATAGGTCCGTTGGCCTATAAATTTCCCCCCTAAAACCAGCAGTTGGGGCCAAAAAAATTGAAGATGCAATTTATTTGATAGAACTTATGATGCAATATATATAAACAATCAAAACACTTTTACAGTTAATCGATTGCAATATGAATGCCCGATTGTGCATTAAACTTCGGAGGAAAAGCGAGAGATTTTGTATGTGGTCGAAGAGACAACAAGGGGGAAATGGTTTAGAGGTCCCATAGGTTTTTAAGGGACCAGACAGATATGTCTAGAACAGAATGTATTGGCAAACATATTGTCAAAAGAAAAAAAATCATTTGTATCCTTATCTCGAGATTAGAATTAAATAGATACTCAATATTAGCCCTTGGGCCTTTATACAGGGTGGGCCTATATGCGGTGTAATAGGGTACATATTTACTGTCTGTCTCGAGTTTTGCCCCAAGGCCTGTGACAAATAAAACTGTTCGTAGTATTTGTAATATGTTATTCAAATGAATCTTTGTTGGGCCTCAGCTTCTCATTAATAAATAAATTACTTGGATATGCAAAGTGGGTTAATGTGTTACCTGTCTAATATTAACAATGAAACGTGTCTCCTATTTCACTTGAGGATTTTTCGTCGCCATAAAGATTAGACATGCCCAGTCCCTTATTAGGAAGAGCCAATCAGGCTGAGAGTTTCCGTCCTATGTAAGCATGAAGTAACATGCATGTTTGTCAAACCAGCAAATTAGCAGCAGACTGTCTTTAGGCTCCGAGATAATTTCCAGGCCTATCTATTTTCTATATCTCATTGCATCCATTTTCTTTCAGGTACAATTGACTACAAGGACTTCTTAACCATGATGCTGGGGAAAAAGAGTTCCGTTCTGAAATTGTATGTTTCCTTAATCAACGAATATGAAACTATTATCACCTCATCATTTAATGCATCAAATAGTTTTCAACTATCATATCAAATAGGTGTTCGTTTTTCTGAAGATAGATGATGAAGGGAATAGGATGTAGGGGGCGAGAGAACATTTTCAGTGATTTATGCTCAGCGATGTTTGATTGAATTTCGCAGTAGGTTTTTCCAGATTCGAGGTATAGATTTTGTTCTAATATTGTGAAACAAATACCCAATGTATGATACCCGTCAAAGGTACACATTCATCGGTGCGTGTAGGGCTACTGAGAAGGGGCAAGGGACTAGGGCCCGGTACCTGCAAAGGGTCTGTATAATGAAGCAATTTCCTGCGTCACTTTGCACCGAGGACAACATTTTTGTGTAAAATAACGAAAATATTGATTTTTAATATGGGATCACTTTGCTTTAAATCCATTATATTGTAGAGTATGCTTCGTTGCAAAACCTATTTTAAAGGGTCCTCTATAACGTCTTTGTAACATCAAATTAATAAGGGTCAGCGAAGAAATCCTCAGAATATTGGGTCTGCACGCAGGCTACCCTAGGACCCTTTACGTCTCTCTTTCCGCCTTGATGCATGTGTCAGTAGCCGGTCTGAAGATAAATCATTAATGAATGATTATTTGTTACAGGATTTTGATGTTTGAAGAAAAGAAGAAAGGAAAGGAGCGGCCCAAAGGCCCAGCACCCAAACGAGATTTATCATCACTCCCTTGACGCAGCCAAACCTCTTTTCCATGAGCATCAGATTTTTACGTCCATTGCTTACATTTCAAAATATTCTGAAAAAGGTTTAAATAAAATCAGCAGACATTTAATAAACAATATATATTTATACAAAATTCTTGCTTATTTCATAAAAATGGGGTATTTTGATTTAATAACACATTTTTCTACACGATTATGTTAGTATTGTAAACGATTTTTTGTTAATTATATGCATGTTCTTGCTTTGATGAGCTTTTCTGAAAATCCCGAACTTTCTTGCTGGATGCAGAGCTTTTATAAGTTTCAAAGTGAATACAGCCTTCGCTTTATTTGCGCCGTACAATTGTCATCTTTTCGTGGTATCTCTTGTTAAGACTTTTATGCATTTTGTAGGTAACTTACAGGTAAGCACGCGTGCCTTTAAAGTAAGACGAGACATCATGCAAAGTATAACATTTGTCGGATCATGCTACCTGTAAAATTTAGGTTAAAGTAAAGATGTTCTTATAAAATACAAAATAATGTAAGTCGAAGGACACATGTGGTGGCCTGTCTGACATTTTCTGTATCGTCGATTTCATAAAAAAAATCCGAAGAAGTAACTAGAACTGTCGTATGTCTTTGTTGTCTTGCAAACATACATAAAGCCTGGTTTCCATATAGCCGTAAGGCTGCCTGCGACTGCTTTCTGTCATCTTCCATCCCTACGGTATCGCCGGGCAGATAATTCTTTATGGAAACGCTTTCTAACGGTACCGCAGGCAGCTGTTTGAAGTGCCGTAAGACTGCCGGGAGAGACTGCAGACAAATTACAAATGGAAACGCCTTGCCTGCGGCTTCCTGCGGCATTCTTTTGTTCAAACGGATCATGTGATGTGCAAGAACCAATTGAATCAGGGCTTTGTTGTTGAATTTTGCCCGCCAGTTTTTCCCGCTCAAACTTTACCTAGTTACCGGCATAGTTACCGATACCGCAGGCAATTGAAAACAGAACGTTTCCATTTGCCGGCGCTACTGTAAGGGTGGAAGATGGCAGAAAGCAGTCGCAGGCAGCCTTACGGCTATATGGAAACCAGGCTTAATCACCCTTGTTTGGTTTGTTCCACTTGTACTCAGCCAATCGCCATTAGAATTACTTCATTCATAACATAGTCATAAAGTGAATTTGATACTTCAAGTGACGAGTAGAAAATTTTGGAAATTCTGTTATTTTGTCAGAAGTTAAACGTATATTTTCAGTTAAATTTAAGTTGATTTAAGTTAATCTAACAGAACAGAAAGTTGATACACCAATCCAATTTACACCCTCTTGAAAGTATTTTAAACTTCTTTGTAAGGTATTTTTAACCCCAGGTTTGAACTAAGGACCACAATTTGCTTTCGAATTTGCCAATATTACGTTTTATTATGCCAGTGTTGCTGATAACATAAGGTTTGTGGCTATGGCTGTGTTGAGTCTTTTAACAGACCATTTTTAGGCTATATGGCCATATTGAGTCTATGAGCGCTATGGCATAATTTTCACAGAAGGATTTTTCCGGTTAATTCCCATCCCTGTTTTCAAATTGATGTCATCATAGTCTCTGCAGTTCAACACAAAAATACGTCAAAAACGTATTTGGACTGAAACGTGGTGGTAAATCCTGAAACGGGTTTCAAGTCGGAGATTAAAATTTGGGGTAATTTTGAAAACGAGACGGATTCATTGTTGATTTCCAGTGCTTTCACCTCGAAGCCAATTTTCTCTCAAAACGAAATTTGAGCTTTTGGAAGGAAAACAAAGGAAGTGAAAATTAGAAGGAAGTTTTTGAAGAAATTGAAGAAAAATTTATACGAGCGTTGTGTCACTGTAGCATGCTGCAGCCAGGCTAGCATTTATGGAGAAAATTTCTGATTTTAGGGAAGGTAATTTCAAAATCAAAATGGAGAAAAATGAGGAAATCCCGTTTTTAGAAAGTAGAAGGAAGCACTGCTGATTTTGCAGAATGCAATGCAGACAGTGGTCAAATTTTCAAAGTTTATTTTTTTCCAAATTGAATAAACTCTTCAAACTAGGATTTGCTAAATCCATACTTTGAATTAGCGATGGAAATTACCAACGCTTTAAAAAAATTAATCCATTGCAGCTAAAATGCTACGCTCTTAATCGTTAGAAAAGTTTTTTATTCAAAGAGGAAAATGCTGGATGTCCTTACCACCAGATTGAAAAAAATGGACTATATACTGGAAAACATGCTCCACACCCCTGTGTAATCTATGTTTATGTTACATTTTAAATTATTCTGCCAATTTCTAATTCATTTTTATTTTATTCCATCTCTTATTGAAAGTAGGATACTTGAGTCTGTTCAAGCGGTGGGTTTTATTCTGAATACGTTATTGAAAACGTCATCAGGATACATGACTCGATAACTCCTTTGAGGATAGTCTCCTTCAGAATACTCATATTCCTAATTTAATATTACAGAGTCACATTAATTTTCTAGTTATTTCCATTTTCGTAACATTTATATTGCAAGTGCTTCTTATTTTGCTAAAAACAGTTTTGGGTTTGTGTTTCCATATACAGAGAGTTGACTTGTTTGACTAATCAGACATGCACTGAATACCGTAAATCCTCGAATTAGCCCCTTGGGCGCTTGTATATTTTTCATATTTTAAAATGGGGGTTATTCGAGGGGGCTTATACGAGGAGGGCTTATAAGATTATAGTAGACATCAAGAAGACCTTACTAAAAGACCTCTTATATTTTAGTAGGAATTTCTTAATAAACATTTGATTACTTATTATCGAAAGTATGAACTTTTGCGGTAATTCGATAAAACACCAAAGCAACCTCAGCTGGCAACAATCAACAAATCGAGAGGGCTAATTCCAGGGTTTCCGGTGGCAGTGGGGGCTTATTCAAGGAGGGAACATTTTTGGGGGAGGAGGGCTTTTTGAGGAGGGGGGGCAATTCGAGGATTTACGGTAAGCCTGTAAGAAACGCTGCGAAGGAGAGTCTTCACTTACTCCGCATTGTCACGTTGAAAGAATTTAGGCCAAATCATACATCTTCTTGACTGGCAGTAACAAAAGACCTGTTTCGATATCTTGTGACGATTGCATGCAGCAAAATGATAGAAGATACAGTGCTTATAATTTTCATTGCTGTAGTTACTGCGCTTTTCAGCGAAGGTAAGCTGATCATGACCAGTTAATATTTCCTTATATCCTAACGAATACTGCTAGTATGGTATCAAGTAAGAGCTTAACTAGTATTTGTTTCGAGAAATTGAAAGATATCATTGCTAAAAACAGTTAATCATAATAGATGGAACGTGGTATGGAGTGATGAGGTAATCTGCATTATCATTAGGAGGTGAAAGTTTCTATTCTTAAGATATTTTATGTTGGGTGCGTTCTCATTCAGAGAATTGTTATATTCACAAATTTTTCCATGTCTTGGTATTGCCTATCTTCTATCTTCAATCGTTAACTCCTAAAGGCTTTACAACCAATCTGGAGCATTTACTCAAGGAGCATTAAAAAAAAGGAAAATTAACTCAGGAGTAGGATTAATACCATTTCCACCAGCCCTCCAGTTTGTTGATTTCTACAAAATGTTGCATTTGGTTTGGTACAACAAATCAAAGCAAAGGTTGGCTATTGCCAGAGCGGAAGCGCTGTTGATCATAAACAAGAGATAACAAAAGGCTAACAAAAGAGTAAAAATTGTTTCTAACAAGTCTGTACTAGGGTCCAGGTGTTGGTGGGAGCCCTTTCACCCACTGACGTGGACGCAACCATTCTGTCACTGATACTTTGAATTTGTCTTCTCTCATGCAATTCATAATTTCTGATGGTAGGCTTTTCCAAATCCGAACTGTTCTTACAAAGAATTGATTTTTGAAAGCTTCAGAGTGGAGGTAATTTAATTGTTTGATATTTGAGGGGATTTCTGGTTGAGCATGTTGTTTCGAATTTTATTGAAGATTTGAAGGTCATGGATGCAGTGTTGATGTTGTAGTGGTAGCCAGTTTAATGATTTCATTTTCTGTGTCAACTGAGCGTCTGTGCCATAAATGTGGTAATCTAATTTAAACCTTGCAGCTCGTCTCTGAACAGCTTCAATTTTGTCAATGTTCTTCTTTGTATGTGGACTCCAACATGCTGATGCGTAATTTAGGTGGGGACGGATAATTGCATTCTATGCTGTAGCTTTAACATCTGGGGGACACATGTACAAGTTTCGGCGACATAGGTTTAATAATTTTGTGGTTTGTTTGAGATGTAATTTACGTGCTCATTAAAATTTAGCTTATTATCTATAATCACTCAAAGGTAACGTTCAGACGTAGTCTCCTCCAGGCTTGTTTGACTTGTTGGATATTTAGGCAACATGAAATAAGCCAACATGGACAAGTGGCTAGAGTGACAGTGCTGCAAGTTGTGGATTCAAATTTAGGTTTCTCCCATAATATGGTAATTCTATAAAGTTAAGCAATTCCTCTGTTTCTATTAGAGGAAGGGCAACAAATGATTGGGCTTTGCTTAAAAATTTGTTTAATGCAACTGGATAGGTAAGTCCTCAAACACAACACCTGTGAAACGATGAGTCACTTTTTAATTTTATGAGTGACATGTAGATCCGTCAGATTTTGGTAACTATGCCCTGACAATGTTGGTAGATTGTGGGTAGGATACACCTTAGTATTTTGTGCTTTGATATTAACAACTTAATAGTTTCAAATGATCATCCCATTTTTTGCAGGACTAACATACTTGCTGATTTATAGGACTGAAAAATACAAAAAGCTAACTGCAGAAGTAGAAAAAAATAGCAAGAAACGTAAGTTGTAGTTTAAAATTATATATCTATGCAAAAATTGCTTGAAAAGTACAGAGTGGCTGTTAACATGGTCAACAAATTAGCAAGATTACAATTGTTCTGTGCAGCATGTGTTGCAGAATGCTGATAGCAAAAGTTTATGTTTTCCTCAAAAATTTGATAGATTGAACACATTTGGACATTGAGAAACATGTAATTCAAATGTCTATTTGTCCAATACAAAGCAGAAAATAAGCTAAATCCACTTCTGGGCTTAGTATAAATGGTATGATTATATTGACATTGTAGTTATGTTCATGCAGTACTGAGTTTGACAGCAGGTCAGCAAATCAAATATAATAGTGTTTTATTGATCTGAGAGGAATAGAGGCTGATGAGACATAAAAGAAAGGAATATAAGGCAGTCCCCCATTTCAAAACAATTAGAGACTGCTAACAGACTGAGCTACCTTGATATTGAACAACAGGATGGTTGTCCATGTAAGTTCAAAGTGACAGAGGGTACTCTGCAGTTGCAGACAGAGAGGTTGCTTGAGACAATGGGTATGATTATACTCTGTGATTCTAAAGACAATGGGTATGATTATGAATGGCCACAGCATATGAAGAATGGGATGAGTTATGTGAAAATCCCCTTACCAGGAAGCAAAAAAGCAACTTTGAAGACCCAAAGAGGCCGGGGAAACTAGTTCTTCAGTTCTTGGTTATTTGATAGTTGAAAAGTTAAGAAGCACCAAAACATCAGTAGAAGCTCATCTTAGTTTAGGTTTCAACTTTAAACCAAGAAATTATTTGAGCAAAAGGAGCAACAGACTGCAAGCAAACAAACAAACAAACAAACACAAACAAACAAACAAACAAACAAACAAACAAACAAACAAACAAACAAACAAACAAACAAACAAACAAACAAGTTCCACCCTGTTTGCCATTAAAGTGTCAATTAAGAATATTATACTTTTAGTGGAAAAAAAGAAAGAGTCTGTTGCTGATATATCAAAACAAAGTGGGCAGAAGAAGAAGATAGGTAAGTACAAGCAATCAATTGAACTTTGTTGTCCTATTACATGTTTTCTGATTATCTCATTGGTGTAGATGCCTAGCTAAAAATGCCATGTTGTTACTGAAAGCATAACAACTTAACTTCAACTTTTGTAGCTTCAAATATTTTAGCATCAAAATTTATTTTAAATACCTTCTTTACAAACTGAGGGTAAACTAACATGAGAAATCAACAGATTGAGGAATTGTGGTCAGGCTCAGACATATACAGTTGATTGAACATTTTATCATGCAATTATAAGCATCCAATATCTTTTGCAGCTGTTTCATTTGAGTATGGATGGCTCTAAACTGGAAGCCTGGTAGCACATCCAAACTGAGTTGTTCGAATTTATGGACTCATAATTTATGGTTACAACATATCAGGAAATACATTGAGCCTATCAATACACCACCTGACAGTGAAACTATTGGTTAAATTCAAGTTTTGAACTTAACCAAACTCAAGTTTTGAAAATAATATGTATTATCTTCTGCGTCACAGTTCAACCAATCCAAAGTATATATTTTGACTCTTATTAATTGTATGATGCTATTTTTCTTTGCAGAAAGAGTTGAAGAAAAATTAAAGAGTCATAACAGGGATTTGTCAATGGTATGTTTTGCAATTGTTATGTTATCTGTATATAAAATATGTTTTTGTCCTTAGAAAAGCTTTGTCAATAGAAGCATAATCAATCCATGATTATACTTAATGATCAGAAAGGTTGAATTTTAAAAATTATGATATTTGGCAACCTGAGGACCTTCTTCTATTCAAATTACCAAAATCAGTGTAGGAATTTATAAAAGGCCTGATATATTGGAGAATTCAGAAGCATCAATAAGTCAAAAATCACACTTTGATTGAAAGGACAAAAATTATGAGATGCTTCCAATACCCTTGTAAATGACATTAATTACCATTTTGTGTTATCCATTATATATTGACTTGAAAAATATTGAACCAAGGAAAGTGGCTGTGTTTTAAATGCGAGGGTCAGCTTCATTTCGAATTGGAACGCTAACTGATTCTTAGTGGTGAGGTCGAGTGAGTCAATAAAAACCAGTAAGGAGATTTTGCTCTTGACATTTTAGGTGAAGATGAAATCAATGTTTGCAATTGGCTTTACATTTACAGCCCTTATGGGAATGTTCAATTCCATGTAAGTATTTTGTGCAAATGCAATAGGAAAAGCTGTGTTGAGATATTTTTAAATAATATTAGCAAGATAGGTTTTAAAAGATTAAGATAGTTTACTTAACACTGACTGTTTTAAGCACTCTTCTGGGTGTCATATCTTGTCATCCTAAAGCTTATTTAAAAAAATTATTCTTTAGAGCCTTAAGGAATGGAAGTAATCATTTTAAATGCTATTCTCTGATGTGGCCATAAATTAAACTCTAGACCTTGTCATAGAAAAACACCTTGTCAAGTGCTTCTATATCATCGAGCCAATTACATTTTAAATTTGATAAAAATTTGATAAATGCTTTGCAATTCTTAATTTTTTGCACCCAAAGTTGCTTTTAGACTAATAACAATAAGGGGAACTCTAACCCCCACTAGAAACTCAATAATCAGATCAGACAAATTTTGATAGTAGCATTTTTTGTGATTATTGTATCTTAGCAAATTGTTATCTATGTGATTATATCAATATTTGGCTGCACATTTGTTGTCACATAAATTGTTTCTTGATTTTCCTAGATTTGATGGGAGGATTGTAGCAAAACTACCCTTTGTACCAATCCCTCTAATGCAAGGTCTATCGCACAGAAATATCAGAGGCGAAGACTACACTGATTGTTCATTCATTTTCTTTTATATATTGTGCACAATGTCAATCAGACAGGTAAGGCTGTTGCATTTTTTTCTTAAACACTTTAGAAAGAATCTAGATTTGCTTTAGGGCATAAAATTCCTGCAGCAAATTATTGTGATGGTTGTAGAATTTTTGCATTGGATTAAACCTTTGTTAAAATACAGTTCACAATGCCCTTTTATTTCTTGGACCTAATTCTGTTTTGTTCACTCCATCTCTGTATCAGTAATTAAACATTTCTTTTTAAAAGCATATTGATTTGAAATTAATATTATATATCACAAACTATTTTTATTTCAACTTTTTATGTTATAGAATATCCAGAAAGTTCTTGGTTTTGCACCATCTCGTGCTGTCAGCAAAGTTGGAGGGGGACTCTTCACGCCGCCCCAGGCTTCAAAATGATTATGTTAACATTTTAAATGTTTTTTTGCTATGCAAAGTGAACCCATCAAAACAAATTTAAATATTTTTTTTGTTTTTGTTGGAATCTTTCATTTGTTCTTCAATCCACTTGACTTCTCTCCTTTTCATCCAACTGTTCGTGCTATCCCTGTCTTCAAATGAAAACGGTAGTATTTGAAATCAAATTTGGGCTATTAAGTCAGGGGAATTAAGTCAGTTCAGTCACACTTTGGCTGTGAGAATTGCTGCAGCTTATTTAAATTGGGCTAAAATTTCAGAAACAACAGTGATTTGATGTGGGAAGGGCCTGTGCATATATCTGCCCCAATTCTGGATAGATTTGACTGTTCTTATTATGTAGGACTTTTAATAATGTTATTTCAAATTAAATAACAGAATCAAAAAGTAGATTTTCTAGAATGTAATGTAATGTTTAGTAATTCTTTAAGTTCCTTTAAACTGCTAAAGGTTAATAAGAGATTGAGCAACAAAAGAGGTAATTGAAACTTCTCTTCTTGTTGGTCATTCCATTTGAGTTGAAGATGACCCCACACTTTATGTATTCTCAGTTAAACAATAAAGATAACAAACAAATTTGGTCTGATAAGTATTCAACAACTTTTTGTTTTCATTTTTTGATAACATAAATATTTCTTTAAAATTTTGTGAAGGGTAAACGAAATGCATAATCATTAATTGAACTATAAATTTAAAAAAATCTACTCAAAACATGGTATTAAAACAACTGAATTAATAAATATCTCAAAATGAAAAACGTGAACTTGTCTACCTAGACTATTTACAAATATTTACATTTTTACAGTAGCTCTTATGTAAATTATATTGCATAAACATATTAACTAAATAAATAACAACACAGTGTATTTATCAGGATGTTTGTTATCTCTTGCATATTAAACCCTATTAAGAGGCATTTGTGAATTATCCATGCTGAAAATTTGTGGTTTTCAACTCCCCCCTTTCTGTTTAGGCTTTAAATCTTTAGGGTGGATGCTCTTGATTAATGTTTGATCCTTTTGTATTTCGCATTTGACTACTATCAGAATCGTTTGAGAGTGCACATGACATGTTTTCTTTCGAACCCCATTTCTTTATACAAGACAATATGTTTTGTGGACCCATCCACTTCATTTCTTGGAGTAATTACCTTTTGGACACCCTATTAGGTGTGTTTTTCTTTTAAAGGTGTCATATCCTGATCAATTTTGGTGATATTTTTCTTCGGGTTAGCTGTACAATGGGCTTTTGTCCATTTTCCCATCACCAGACGGGTCTCTGATTCTACTAAAATCTAAACAAGCTGTCTATATCATAATGTTTCCACAAACAGTTTGTTCATGACTGGCCAACAGACTGGTTGGTTCATTAAATATTTAAAGTATGTACAAAATAATAATTATATCCAAGTTCTTGCCACTAAAAAATAGTTTTGCCTTGGACAAGATTTTTTAGTTTGGAATTTTTAAAAAACCTTGCAGCTACATGTTTAAAGGCAATCTGTCTCGTTGTGGATTGGTTAATGAGAACAATAGCTGGAACAATAGCCTAAACACAATTCCAGCGCTCCGCCATATTTTTTACAATGTGATAAATTAAAGAGGGACTGGAAACAATAAAATATCTTTGTTCTTATAATCAATCAACGTCGTGACAGATTGCCTTTAAGAAACACATGGCAAATCATTTTGGTTTTTTGTTTTAAAATACTGAAATACATTTCTAAAGTACTTAGAAATCCTGTCTGGTTTTCATTATCTATACATTATCTACACTCCCCTCACCAAAGTATTGCAAAACCAAAATCCAAAATAGTGATGGTAGTTTGAGTACGGGAAACAATTTGGTGCAAATGAATTGGGGGCTAATGTAACAAATCCTGTTCAAACGGAAATGAAACTTCTATCAATCGAACTGAAACATATGATTATTTGAAAACAACAATAAAACTGTTTGTAGCGTGTTTTTAATAGTCTTGTGTTACTATTTTGTCAGATAGCAACACATCTCTACTGCCAAGAGAGTTCTAGAAATAGGACTAAAGTTTGAAAAGTATCTTCACAGAACCTGATTCTGCATATGTTAACTGGATTTATCATTTCATCCTTGGTCTTCAGGGCACCTCTTTCATCAGAACCAAGCCTCATTTTTGTATGACACAAACCATTTTTAAAAATAGTCATATGACCAGGGCTTGAAGCAGGCCAGGGTAGGACATCAATTCCATGGCAATGAAAGAACTTTTCTCTTGCTTTGTCAGTTTAGGGTGAAATATTGTCCTGTCCGAATATGCAAGGTCTGTTTTTATAACCATGTTTATGCTGTCTGGAAGGTTCTTTCTTAGAAGCAAGAAATATGTAATTGATTTCTGAAATGGCATAAGCATTATGGGCAGTTTTCCTGCAAACACTCTAATTTGAAAGGTAGCATTATAATGAAATTTCGCCTTGTGCAAAACTGTTAAGCATTGCAGCCTTTTCTTTAATTGGTTTGTGCAATACTTTTGCAAGGAGAGTTAAAGGATAAACTATGAATCTTAATATTCATTCTAAATTAGAATACAAACAGCAGACTTCGCATGTACCTGTACCACGTCATCAGCTGTTGACGAATCTTTTGTGTTAAGTTCATCTGGGGATTCATGTGTACCTTCGGTTTTTTCTAAATCTTCCCAAGCATGTCTGACTTTCAATGAAGTTGAGGGTACTGCGTTTCCAAACTCCCCAACGTCAATATTGTTTGTTATGATTTGCCTGGTTTCTCTTGATGTTCGCTTCTCCTTCTTGGAATTTTCTTTGAATATAACTTCGAACGTGTCTTCGTACCTTTTTTCTATGAAGATTCTTTCTGCCTTTTCAATCGAAGGGTGAATTTTCAATCTGAACATCCTTCAACCGCCATCGCTGTCATCACTGCAAAACGTCCTGTTTCAGGCCCGAAGCGATTTCTAAAGCTGCATTATTGGTCAGACGTCCAAGAAACTATGTAAGACTGACAATTATCGATGTTTGAACTCGTCTACAACCATTTTGTGTACAAATTAGCACATTAGACTCACCATGCTGGCGTCCATGTTTCTTTTCTTGGAAACAAAATAAATTAACTAATTCGAGCCCAGGGCCCTCCGTTGCTTTGCAGTAAAACAACAGTTTTTCGCTTTTAAAACATTGAATAATGTCCTATCAGACCAGAAATTGTGTGAAATTAAAAAAAAATAGAAAAACTGCAAGTGTTATTTTGCATAAAGTTCTTTTTAATTAGATCTCGAGTTTTTCGGTTCCAGTTCTGGTATTGCCCGATGATCCAAGAGGCCTAGGCCCCATCATAATCCAATTCAACTGCCTAGTGGACTCTTTGATTCTGAGACCCGCGAAGCCAGAGGAGTGAAAAATCAGTAAAGGAAGATGGTAAACAAAACCTTAGTATTCCTTTCGAATCATTGTTCTCTAAGGATACGAGCTATCAGTATGATAATGAAAGTAATGACAATAGATATGTGTGATTTTAGCTGTCTATTTCAGGGACTAGGCCAGACAGCATGCTTTGTCATGTTTATGTTTCCTAAGTGTGTGAAGTCTATTGTTCTGCCTCATTAGTTACATCGTCTATGTGATACTTGCCAGAAAAATATGACTAACTGGTCTGTAACTAGACTAACGATGAAAAAATAATCTCGTTTTGGAAATTGACATCTATCAAATTTGTCAGCAAAGAAGTAGAAAGGTTCCCAGACAATTTTAATGAGCCCCCAATGCCAATAGTGAAAAAAGCCTTCCAAACCAGTAGGGAATGAAAGCAATATCCATAACACACATGCCAATCAGAGAGGCTTCTTTAAATGCACAACTAGATGTACACCAGTCTGAATTTCATGGCAGTTTTCAAAGAGATCTCTGGGAGTGCACAAGTTATTAGCCAGGAGTGCAAGAGTGCATCTGTGATAAGTGTGCACATTTGAGTGTGCATCAAATTTCTCAGTGATTCTAGAGTGTGTGCATATTTTTTCCGTTTTTACTAGTTTACTAGTATAAAATATGTGTATGTTCGTGTGACAACGAACTCGGAAATAGCAAGCCTTCAAGTACATGAACATCAAAATGACAGTTTTCAAATGAATGCTAGTTTGTACTAATGTTGTGACAAAATCACACTATGTGATTTAATTTTGATTCTGTTCAAATCTTGTTAGTGAGAATGTTGTTGATTTGTGACTTTCGAAAATATCGTTTTATTTCTGTCAGAGAATCGCCATCTTGTTTTGTAAGCTTAGCTGTTAAAGACTGTTGTTTATTCATATACTTTTATTGATGATTTTCAAGAGACTGAAAATTGCCTGCCTGACTTTGCAGAGGAGAGGGATGTATGGCTCACTTGCTAGAATGCTCATGGCCAGGCCTGCTTGCTTTTCTCGCAAGTGCTCCAGGCCCACTGAAACTATTTGGTGGTGGGTCCTGAACTCAAGTGGATCACTAATTTAGAATTACATCTTTTTAAATCTCAGTTGCAGACAAATTTAGGAAATCATTTTGCCATATTTGAAAAAAACTTTTTAATTTGAGCCATATCAAAAAACACGCCAAACCACGCCTATTCTTTGGATGTGCAAGAGTGCACCCGTTATTCTACAAAAATTTCTTGGGAGTGCAGCTGCCATGGAATCTATACTGTGGTGCACAGAGCCTTTGATTAAATGTTTAGATGCTGCCTTTGTAAGAAACACCAGATGTGTTTAGTTCAACTCAATGTGATTAGTGTAACTTTGCAGCTCTTACTGAGCGAGGCTTCAATCTCTTCAGAATTCTGGTAGTCTCAGCATAGTTGCCAAGTCTCCCCCATTCTCTTGGAGACTCTAGTATTTCAAGCTTGTCTCCAGCCGAGCTCCGCAACAGCAAAATTTAGAAAAATCTCTGGCATTCTATGATTTTCTAACATTCAAAATGCACTTTTACAATAAATTGCGACCTGCAGTTTTAATCTCCCTTCCTCCCCTGCTGCCTTTTGGTATAGTGTTGCCATGGAAATATTTGAAAGTTTGGGAACAACAGATTAAGCTCCTCCATAGCTACACAGCACTGCTACGCAGTTCTCAAATCTCCAGCATTTTATTTCCTAAACTTGGCAACTATGTCTCAGGTCCTGTCACTGATTTTACAGAAGTTTGAACTTCGACTGGTTCTTTTAAAGGTGCAGAAATATGATGAGCAGACCACTAGTGTCAGCTTAAATTCCTTAAAGCTTAAAAATTGTGATTGTTTTCTGCATATTTTTTACTTGTCTGTCCAAAGAGTTCATAGTTAATTTTAATTCAATAGTTTAGATATTTATGCAAAGTTAAGGTTATGGTCATATGTTAAGCCAAAGTAAAGATCTGGACATCAGATGAATACAAACTGTTACAATTATCTTTATTGCACTCCCAGAACAATTGAATGTCCATATTCTAAATATGCTTAAGTTGGAAATGTTATGTATATCAGAAAGGTTGTATATATATATAGTATGTTATTGTCGAATGAATGCGGAAAACTTTTTTGTTTAACTGCGTAGATGATGTTCTCAAAGCTAATAAAGTTCAAACACCAAGTGCTTGAAGCATTTATAAAAGAATTTTTGCTGATTTTGTATTAAAGCGCTATTTTCCAATGAAATGTAGTTAATCCAGCTTACTTATATACCCTGTCTTTTGATATACCTGTTTTTTATTGTCTTTGTCACTTGTGCTACAAAGATGACTGCAAATTAATGAAACATTTATCCCCACAATGTACTGTTTTGCGCAAGCAATGAAAGGCCTGTTTGTGGTTGGATTCCTGCTAGTGCTGACGCGGTCATGATCTTAATAAAGAACTTGCTGTGTATTGAGTTGATATATAATTCTCTGAAGTACAAAAGTGCACTTTAACTGTTTCCTTTAGGAATAGTATAAATGGATCAACATTCAATTTTTTTTATTGAGATTTATTTGACAAGAGTCCTTGGTTGATATAAGAAGATGTGGTCAGCTACATTGAATGGTAAACAATGGAAGAATGGAAATGAATGTTAGGATGTGACTGGCTCTTGAGCCCACCCCACTCCTCTGCCAATTACATTCATGCTCACCATAGTTTTATTCCATTCTGAAGCTAATTCATGGTAACAATTAGGCCTTCTTCATGTCAGCAGAGGCTCTGTCTCTTCACTCTGTGAAAAGAAAAGCAGTAGACTTCTATTGTTTCTCTGTCAACTTTTTTTTGGTATTCTGTTGTTTGTGTGTCAAGGAATAAATTGAAATTTATAAGGGGCATAATTATTTGGATTTGCTGTTGATATTTTAATTGACTGTTACAATTCACATTTTGACCCCACTTAAAGCCACAAGCAGTTGCTTGTAGAAATGAATGAATAAATCCCAAATCTTCTCAAACTATGAAATATTGTTTCTCCATTGCCTACACATCATTAATGATAAATGATTTTTTTAATATGATGCAATTATTAATGCAATTTTCATTTATATTTCAGTTGTTCTATTCTTTTTTCAAATCTATAATTGGAAAAGAAGTCATAGTGGAGCTGAAAAATGACCTGAGGTATTTTCCAGCTTTATTAAGCTTTTTTCTTTCTTAGAAATTAGTATAATTACAGTAATTTCTGGACTGATGTTTTTACATGTAGCATATCTCAAAAGAAATATGATTAAAATCTCTAGAAATAAATATCAAAGTTGGTTGTTTATGTTTGAGAAAAAGAAATCAGTTTAATGTCTTGTTTTGTTGTTTTGCAGTATCTGTGGCACTATGGATTCTGTTGACCAGGTAAGCTTAATATTGGAAACAATTTTATTTATTTTACAAGTCTCCTATTTCCATGAACCAGTAACTTTCTCTGAAAAAAATTCAAGAAAACATCATTTATGATGCTGTAAAGTATAATTCATGCAAATTTTTGGCATCACAGGAATTTTAAAAGCCATTTCTCTAGTTTGATAATTCAAAGTACACTCCTCTCGCGAAAGTATCCGGACACTTCAAAGATCGATTGTGCTTTCAGACAAATTTAGGCTGGCGATAACAACTTTTTTTAACTTGGTGATAATAATTTTTTGAGAAACTCTTCCAAAATAAATCAAGACATTGAAATGTTGCAAGACGTTTGCGCTTTTTATTTGTTATCATTTTTTGTTGAAATGAGAAACTTTTGCGCTACAAGCCTACAAGTCAGGTGACTTGGATTCAGTTAAAATAGGCCAATAGAACATGGTAATTTTTAAAAACTGGTTCTTTAGACATGCATGACATTTGGTTTCATAAACGTTCTTGCAAAGCAAACATATCTTTCAGTGCATTCAGTCACACTATTTCTTTACCGCTGCAAGTCTTGCTGAAATCGATCGGTACGAGGGTGCATTTACAATTCTTTATCATTTTCCTTGCAATATTTACCGGCAGCTTTTGTAAGTTCAATTGTTTGTGAACGTTTAATGCAATTTTGCGTAACGATGCAAACCAGTTTTGACTAGGGGGGACGTTCGGTCATTGATATCGCGAGAGCCCTTGCTCTTTTTGACCGTGACAATTTTTTTATGCTTCTTGTTTTTCAAATCTTTTTGTATGTGTCCAAGGCGGCAGTCTTTGTGCATCCAACAATACTAGCAATTTAATGATGCCTTTTTCCCATCATTGTGATAAAACAATATTTCTAGACACTGCTCCGAAGTCAATACTTTTGTTTCGGTTGCTACCATCTTGAGGAAAAACCCTCACAGAATTTGCTTACATATCGAGAAAAAAAAGCTTCAAGAAAAAATTCGAGGAAATTGATAAATACGTTTTTATGAAAACTGCTTTTGAAATTTGTAAAGAACTTTCTCTAACAAGAGATTCGCAACTGAATTCGAAATTTTACGGATACTTTCGTGAGGGGAGTGTATATCTTCATGCAGACCCAGAAGACATTTCCTGCAGCTTGTTACCCAAATCTAAATTCCCAGCGCATTACCAGCCTCTATATGTTTTCTTATTGAACTAAATGATTTTAAACTATTTACTTTTTGTCACTGAGACATAATCTGCTTATTCTTTATCAGTAAGTAATTTGATATTTGGTGTGAAAAAAGGACTTTCGTCGTTACCAACATTAGAAAATATTACCTCAATGAAGCTAAAGCAAAATACTGTAGCATTCATTATTTGATTCTTGAATTAATGTCTATCTCCCTGTTTTGAATCAGTTTTCTTTATCAATCATTTTTCGTTTTAGTACTTGAACATTAAACTAACAGATATCAGTGTAACTGATCCAGAAAGATATCCACACATGGTAAAGTTGCTTCATACATTTTCAAGCTGGTTGCTTTCACTTTTTATGGATATTTGTTGACACATGCCACCCAATGACTTTTGAATAAGAAAAGTTGCTGTGAAATCGTGATCGAATTCTTGCATTCAATTCATATACTTTGGGGTCTCTGCATTCTCTTGATTTGCCATAGCCACTAAATATTGGAAACAACTATTATTTAAGGGAAGGTGCAAATTAGTACCATTGTCATTCACAATTTTGAATTACTCGCTACAGTTTTGCTTCAGCAAAAGGAAAGTGATGTAGGCCATGTATTAGCATGATCTTTAATATAGTTTTTTTATTTCTTAAGTAGGTCATTGCATTCATTAACGAGGATTATTGAGTCCTATGGGCTAATTAATGCTAAATTGGGTTGTGTAGTCAAATTGATGCACTTTAATGTTTGAACCCTATGCCACCAATCATAGTATCACATTCTATAACATGTACAATTTGTTGTCATTATTTTATTTTTACATGCTTGCCAATATGCAATGAATTGTTTCTATTCTGATTTTGTAAAGGAGTATCTTTCTGACCGTAGTTATCTGTGAAGAACTGTTTCATTCGAGGGTCAGTCGTACGGTATGTGCAATTACCTTCAGATGAAGTAGATGTGACTCTTCTGCAAGATGCTGCCAGAAAAGAAGCCATGCAGGGAAAGCAAAAAGAATAAGGTCTCTCCTTTGATTGACAAGCAATATTCGAAAGGTTGGAACACTCTTGCTACACTGGGCAAGATTGGCACCTGGAATCTCTATGAAAAGCAGAAGGACATATAAGCAATACATATGCACATCTCATTGGTCAATTGTGTATCTTTGTGTTTAACATCGAGGGTATTTTATTAGTATCTTGTTTAAGATACATCTCTAATGTAATAGGTAACAAATGTGAAGATTATCTATTATTTGTTATCTCTGCAGTGGGATTTAGCATTCTGATTTCGATAATTTCTTATAATGGGAAAGGAAGACAGATGCTAGCTATGCTTAAGAACGTTTTATTTAAAAACATGCTTGACACTGTCTATTGAATGAGCACTGATGTTATTGCATCAGGCCTGGTTCAGACGGCCTATTTTTCATGTGCAGTATCAAACGGGCTATTTGATTCAAATGACATAGAAAATATGACAGTTGATTCAAACGCCGTATTAAATGCAATTTTGTTTGGTTGCTATTGTTTTAATCTCAGAATCGTGATGATTGGGCTTTTTTGAGTGAGAACCGCAACCAAGTGGGCGAAAATGAACAAATTGAAATTAGTACTGCTAAGAAATTTAATGACCGGAATTGAACAAGACGAAAAAATGTAGCTATACTACAGGAGAGTGTTGGTTTTAGCTTGCCTCATTAAGGAGAGGATTTGTTTCCAGGCCATGTCTATCTATTCCTGTTTCTTATAATGTGTAATCATAAGATCTAAGGTCGCCTGCATAACAAGGTCATGTCCCAGGGTTCAATGGAATGAAGGCTGGTTCTTCAGCAACTGCATCCAGAGCATGCTGGAGCTTCGAAAACCCACCATTCTTGAATCACACATCGATGGCGGGAATTTCGCCTTCGCATTCAACAGACAATAGAAGCTTTGTTCCAATCCCTCTCGAAAACAATAGACTGAAATATTGTAACAACTTGCATAGTTTATGCATTTAGTTCAGCACAAGGGAATACGGTGTCTGAATTAGAACTGTACTTGTGTCGAATAATGCGGCCGCCCGTGTCGAACTAAATAGTTGCTTCGAATAAAATGAAAAGTGCTGTACGAAATTGATTCAGACACCGTATTTATCATGTGCTAAATTGAGCCTACTCAATACGGCACATGAATAATACGCTGTCTGAACTAGTCCTCAAAGTACTGACATGTATGTCTTACACTGTTTTTTGCCAGTTCATTATCATTATAAATAGATCAAATAAAAGTATTTTGAAATTGTGATCAATCTGAGGTCCACCCAAAGCATTACAGCATGAAAATCAGAATTCAAAAATTTCTTAAAGTCTGGGTCATTGTGAAGATGGGTAAATCGGACTAGAGAAAGAGAAGTATATTGTCTCTGCTCTCGCAGATTTATCTAAAGCCTTCAAGATAAAATTTATTTGTCTAGAAAGTGCATGCCTTTGGATTATAAAGCAAATCATTCATACATATCCAAGATATTCTTTTCAATCATGAAAGGGTCGAAATTGGAGGACGATTTTCCTCCTGGGCAAACCTGTGATAAAGTTTTCACCACAAGGTCTTTTGTAACTGTCTAACGATCAGAATCATCAAGTTTACTTCGCATAAATACAAACTGCATGGGGCAATCCTTTTGACTTTTACCTTCTACCTCTTTCTAATATCTAGCAGACATATGTCTTTCAAAACACATTTGGCATGATATATTGCAGGCCTTAAAAGGCGATATCTTAAAACTCAAGAAAGACTTTGCAATATGGTGTAAGGTTTGAAAGATCTTCTTTTTATATAAGAGAGGTATAAAATCTTTTTGCGAAACTAAATGCTTGCGGAGTAGAAAAAGCTCTCTCTTGCTTTTTCAAGATTACCTCACCTAGGGAAAGCAAAATGTCAAAGTTAAAGGACACATCAGCACCTGGGGAAGGGTTGGAAAAAAGAATCACAAGGCTCAATACTTAGCCCTCTGCTCTTTTTCTTTGATATTTTCATAAATGATATTTTTACTGCCTTGATAATGGATTACTCATAAATTTTGCTGATAACAACATAGTTTCTACCACTGCAGCTAACGCTGATACAACAGACAAAAGACAAACACCACTAAATGTCTCTAATGGTTTTGAATGAAACGACTGCAAATCCCTCAAAGTTTTAAGCTATTGCCATTCGAAATAGTGCTAAACAAAAGAAATTAATAGCGAGTTTACGGTAATAGCAGATAGCCATGAAACTTGGCATTGAGAATGAACAAAATCTCAAGTTTGACACTCGTATCGATAAAATCTGTAAAAAGCAGCCAAGCAGTTTAATTCCCTAAAGAAAATAGCAAGCCAAATTGGAGACAAAGAGAACAAGATAATTATGTTATGATACGTCATTTCACCTATTGCCCATTATCAAGGATTTTATGTTGCAACGGAAGTCACGATAACCTAGAGAAAGCAGATGAAAGAACATGACAAACGTATTCTGACTATCCAACCTCCCGTAAAGATCTAATTGCCCACTCGAAGAAAATCACCATCCATATTCATTCAATTAGAATCTTAGCACTTGAAGTATATACAACTCTTAACCTGTTTTAATATCAACTTGCAATACGAAAGGTTAGAACTAAAAACTATTTAATCAGAACACTCTTTTTCCAGGATCGAAAGTCTGGAGCTCCTAAATAAAGACAAAACAGCCTACATTTCAAAAGAATTCAAAGATCTGACTAAAACTTGGTTCAATAACGATAGATTCACGCGCTTTTTGCAATCCTCAAATTGTTTCATGTTGGCCTGAATCAAGGGTGCTGCCCCAAAAAGTTAGGAAGAGGGGCAGTGCTGTTGTGAACTTCCAGACTTTACACCAAAGACCTCTTTTAATAAGTATTGATAGATTCTAATATAGCATTTTTAACTAACATTATAGGTTTATAACTAATTATTTGAATTTTGTACTAGGTTTTTACTATTTTTCATTTCTTTATTGGATAAAGTTATATTATTTGTACTTTTAATTTGTGAACCAAACTGGAAACAAGTTTTAAAACTTAATTTGTAATTCACGTTAAAGATTATTATACAAACATACATACATACATGCATACACCCAATACAATTATGACGAAGAAATAGCATTACCGAGACAATATGGGTATTGCTTAAGAATTTTACCCCTCCCTCCCCCTGCCTAAAACCCCCTAAGTTATACCACTGTCACTTTCTATTTGCCAATGAGATGTTATCTTTCTTAAGAAAAACTTTCTCTTTTAGGATAAGACCTTTCTCTATTTTGAAAGGAGGGCGATTGAACGTTTACTTCCACCTCAAAGAAATAAAAATGGAACAGAGAACCCCCTACTGTGGTACAATAATAAAATGCGGGAATCCAATTTAATCGGTTCTGGGTAAGGAAAATTACCTTGACATTGAATTGCATTGCATCAGCAAATTCCATACCACCATCTTGCATTTGGGATTGTTGAAACCCAGCGTATCTTATTTCGCCATGGTTTCGAAAAAGCAAGATGAAGAAGTGCTTTGGTGATTCGCTAGATTTGTAGAGTACTTGGTGTATTACTTTGGCACGTAAGTTTGTTCGTGATTTCATCAATTATTTTCCATAGGCATAGCGGGCGTGGAAGCGCTGTTGTTTACACACACCCGTAAACTTGCAAACCCTTGCCCTGGCCTTCAGTATTGTATTTTCCTGTTGACAAAACTTCATTTATCTGTTGTTTAAGCCAGTCAACATAGCTTAAAGTATCAGGAATAACAGTAGATTACTGCGGATCGGATGCCTTAAATCATTGTTGAAAATTCAACATAAATTCTTGAACGACGCTCACTGAAAGCATCACGGCAAACCACATTGGAAATCTGTTACGACCCCAGGGATATTCATCTTCTGTGCTGTTTATGCCTGGCGGAGCCTCGTTAAGCCCTGTTCAAATTAATCCTGCAAAGATTTAACAGTGGCTACCATTTGTTTACTTTCTGTCAACATACCGAAAGCATTTCTCCGCAACCAGTAAACTACTCATAACTTCCCATTCCGCTATGCAAAGAAAACCGTGAAATGAATTCAGAGATTTTTTCGGTGATCCTGTAAGCCAATCATTCCTATTTTCAGTTGAGAATGTTTTTTCTACACATTGCAATTTTATGATAATTAATTGTACTGCAAATATTGTTGATACACAGGTTTAGCCATTCAAATTTTCAGCAGATTTTAAGTTATAAATTTTTTTTGCAGATCTCAATTTCTAGGACTATTATTTATTCTCTGGATTTGTTTTACTTTCAATAACATTAAATTTCGAAGGAGCTATTTTCCCTAAAATCTCTTCTGGAAACCAAACTGTTTCCATACTTCCAATTTTTTGTTAAAATCTTGGGCATGCATGTGGCATTTCATTCAAGAAATAAATTTCTTAGTGGTCATTAAAAATTTCCCCACCCTCTGTTTATTTCAACCTTTCCGTTTATTAGTTTTAGAAAATATTTACACCATATTAATTATTAGCCTCCTGTTTACCATGGACACAAGAGCATATATGTCATCTTTGGTGCACAATGTAGGTTCTCCACACTGAGCATTTTTTAGGAAGGTGTTGAACCTTCTAGATGGGGCTGGAAGCTTGTCAAGTGCTTAACTTACCTTATTTTAAATAGTGACCAAGACAACTTTTTACTAATCAGATAGTGATTTAGTAGCAACCGAACAATTTTGCTGACAAAGTAGCCATTATACTGACCACCTATTAAAAGTCCCAGCACCTTTCCACACTGCCCTTTGAAAACTACCCCCTCCCACACCACACCCTGCAACACTTCACCCTCCCACACGGCACCTTCCCACAGGACACCCTCTCACACCACACCCTCTCAAACAGCACCCTCCCACACAGCACCCCCCCCCTCCCCACACTTCACCTCCTAACACTGAATTCTCCAACACTGCATTCTCCAACACTGCATTCTCCAACACTGCATTCTCCAACACTGCATTCTCCAACACTGCATTCTCTAACACTCCACCCTCTGACACTGCCCCCTCTGACACTGCCCCCTCTGACACTGCACCCTCCAACACTGCACCCTTCCACACTGCAGTCCCTGCACCCTCCCATAGCCTTTTTCATTGTTGTCAGATACAGCCTTTTGATGCTGTTTTCCTCAAATGAGTTACATGTTCAATGTTTAATAATTCTATGAAAGATTTTGTGCTTCTTAGTTTTGTTCTCGTTTCATTGTGTGGCAAACCAATGGTCTAGAATCAGCCCTTTTCAAAAACTACTCACTATAGGACTACCATTTCATTTCTAGACCTTAAGATGTATCTCATGAAGGGGTTCAAGCACAGCTCAAGAAGTGGTCAAGATTATGAGTCAGTAGAAGATCAGCGGGATTTACGCATTCCAGTTCAAAATGAAGATGCATTCAAGCATGGCATTGTGTACAAAACCAAGGTTTGCCTCTCTTACCTAGACAGTAGACATCTTCTAAGATACTGTCAAAAATCATAACTTTGATAGCACTTTTACCAGTGACACTTATAGAACATTTTCCAGTTAAATTTTATAGACTTTTGTCATTTTCTGACATATTATGTTGTATTGGGAGTGTAGGACGATGAATTTCTTATCATAGTGAGATCAAGACATTGTAGTTAGCAAAATCCTAAATAGGGAAATTTCGGATGTAGGACAGCTGATATTATATCCAGTGTGGTAAAGTAAAGTATACTGGGTGGTAATTACTGATATTTCTAAGGATCAGTCTCCAGTAGCACCAAAATGAAGAATTGTTATACTGAGTCGATTTGCCAAAAGTTGCAAAGGGTTTTTGAAGCGTTCACTTGTGATCTTTACTGTCTAAATTGTTCAAAATAAATTGAAGTTCCATTGTTTCATGAATTGGCTTTTTCAGTATCTTAGTACTGTTTGGAAGTATATTATTCCAAAAGAGCATTCCTGGTTAATTAAAGTACCATGCAATTGGCAACACTACATTTTCTTCTGATGTTTATTGTCTCTTTCAGTACATTGGTACCCAAGAAATTACAAGACCTTCCAGTAGGGCAGAAATAGTCTCTGCCATGCGAAGAATAAGGGTAACATGCCATTTTAATTTGTACGATGTAAATTATTTACTTTGTTTAATTGCTTCCATTAAGAGGAGGGTAGCTACTTTTGTTCAAACTTAGAGTTTTACACATTGTCATACGTAAATGTCTTTTTCGTTACATAACAGTGGTTGGTATCCAATTGATTTTGAGGTCATTGTAGTAAGGTAAACATAAATTGTCAGTTTGCTGATAACAAAAATATTGTGCTTCTGAAAATTTCCTGACAGGAATGAAAAATGTTTTGTTTTCAATAACATTTGATCGGTTTTATTGTTCTTTAGAAGTTTCGTTGAAAGAAACATTTCATTTAATTTCTTTCAGTATGAATATAAGTACAGGAATATCAAGAAAAGGAAGGTGAACATGGACATTTCAGTTGAAGGAATAAGAGTCAATATTTGGAAAAAGAAAAGGGTATGATTCAGCATTGTTCCTGACTCCCCACTTTGTTCATTGTCTCAGGCTTATATCATTTGCTATATTACCCAAACTATAGCTTAATAATGTGTGAGAAGGAAGAACCGCAGGATAAGCTGTCCGCCGGATTCTGTGAATCTTGCAATGAGTGTTGTTATGAAAGATATACAGGAACAAAGCAATACAACAACGAGAATCCAATGTCACCAAATAAAATTTTCAAAATAAATTAAATTTAAAGAATATACTAATATTTCGCCCCGGCATACAGGGCTTCTCTTTGTTCCTGTATATCTTTTATAGCTTTATACCATTTTATTTATGAATTATGCATTGAAATGTAAAACTCTGTGGTTTTTGTTTAGATTTTGGATGAAGGAAAGTTTGATTCAAGCCAACTATTTGTGATGTGTTATCCAATTAACAGGTGTGTATGGTTTCTGAGTTTATTATTTGTGCTTGGATTTTATTTAACATGAATGTGTACAGCTGTGTATGTATAACATTTCTGAAGTGGTTTAATGTACACATTGATTTGTGGTGTTAACAAACTTGAGTTTCCGTTGAAGAAAATTGATCAAAAATCTATCTTAGTTGTCTAAGAAAATCCTGATAATTTTAAATGTTTATTTAAACTTACAGTTTTTCCCCTGAATTGCCTTTCTCTTTGTATAAGCCCTTCTCAATTCGACCTCTACTCTCCCACTTTGGAAAGAATCTTTGTTGATAGGCCCCCATCCTACATTAATCTTCCATCTTTACATGCCAATTTGTGCATTTAGCATGTCCGTATGGTGCCTTACTCAAGTTATCTGGCACAAATGAAAATTTAATAATTTTGGTACATGATATATCATTTTTTCTTAAAAAAGTCAAAAATTAAAATTGGAATTAATGAAGTATTTTCAAACATTTTTTCAACATTGACTAGGAGAATGTATTCAAAATGAACCTGAAGAGAGTGAAAAACTTTGAAAACCAGATGTTATTGTGATGACTTTCAGATTATTTTTTTGCTTATGCCCTTGTTTATTCCCTGCTCAAATAAAATCCCTTTCCAAAACTCCAAAAATTAAAAAGCACCACTGGAGGCTTATTTGGGATTTGAAGGAGTTGCCTTACTTTCTATGTTTTATTAAGATTTCTATGTTTTTACTTTTTATGTCTTTTTAGCAAGGGTTCTTTTGCTCTAGAATTGCAGAACTTCTACAAATCCCATCCTTTAAAGGATTTCACAAATTCTTAAGTAGTTCTGAAGATTTCGAATCAATTGATTAGTTTTTTGGCCAACCTTGTAACATAATGCCTGACCATAACACTCTGTGTAGCATATGTGTTCAACCACAATTCATTCGATCTTAATCATCACCCTCAGGCTATTTGCAGCTGTGATAAAATAATTTTGTCTTTGGATTAATGAGAGCCCAGCTCTTTTGTCATGCTTAATTATTACCCTGAATCCTTGTTTTAGGCCTCTAGGGGCTTGATAATTTAAGTACTTTTTAAAGGGGGCTTTTCAAGGGGGCTTATAATAGGGGGGCTTATAAAATCATCATCAAGTTGCCATACAAGTAGCTCATTTCGTAGCTTTTCAATTTTCAAGTTAATTTTATTTGCAATTTTACTTATAACTATTTCTAAAATATATCATACCAAATTATAATCAAAGTACAACAAGATATTTGGTCCAAATTACTGATTGTCTTTGGTGGTCATTTCGTCAATGTCTAATTTGTTTTGGCTTTTTTCATTTGCTGTTGAATGTGCTATTAGTCATTGACTAGAATGGTGTATCTTGCTGTTGTATCTATCTATTTTAAGCGCCCATGGGGCCCTATTGAAACAAAAAATTGTCATGTTTGGTTGGAAGCTTCTTAGAAATTTTACTTCTGGGGTTGGTGGCTTATTTAAGGGAGTGCTTATATGGAAGGCAGCAATGTAATGATTTACTGTACAATCATTTTGCAGAAGGCTTGTTCACACATTGACCATGCCTAACATGATACTCTCTTCTGCAATAGACAATTGTTTTTATTTTTTGGCAAACTTTGCTAAATTATCATCTAAACAGGCATTCAAATTGATATAATGAATAACAGCAGTGAATAAAGATGACGCAAATTGACAATCTTGTGAAGCATTGGCTGCATAACAATGTCCCTTGCTAAGCATTAAAGGCTAATAATGGGCCTTTGCGAGCGTGGCGAGGATCCAAACAATGCCAGTAAACTTCTACGGATTAACCAAAATTAATTTCAGACTGTCTGAAAATGCATTATTGGATGCTTGCGTAGCGCAATGGCTCATTGTTAGCAATGAGTCTTTAAGAAACTAGGCTCTAAGTTCGTTGCAGTTCCTGCTGATTGTTCTTTAGGGTTGGCTTAGCAAGGCTAATGATGCTCCAGGGCTCGATGATTGGAACTTTTGTAATAAGCTAGAAATTCGTAAGGTTTCTGATTTTGCTGTTAGCATTGTTCCTATCATAAAGCTCCCTGGTAGACTCCTACTGCTTTTGAAGATAGAACAATAGAGATAAGCTTTGTTAGGATTAGAATTTGCAGTTAAAACAGGGCCTAAGGGTATAAGCTTACTTTTTAATCTTGCTTTGTTGTTGATTTAAGTGGCCTAAAAATATACTTCTGTCTTGTTTGATCAACCAAATATCATAATATTATCATTTCACAATAAATTTCTCGTTGCAATAGCATTTCATCAAGTTAAATTGATATTTCGTTATTGTCAGATTTATCTCAGTGCTCAGGTTTTGTTTGCTGGTATGTCAATACATTTATGGTTGGACTGGGGAGGGTCCCTTCTTGTTTTAATTAAACATTACCTGAAACTAAAACATACCACAGCCAGGCCAGTCGGAACCGAGGGGCTGGAGCCCCCCCCCAATAATTGGCAAACTGTAGTATGTTTCCTTTATAACAGTGTACTGAATGAGAAGGAAAACAATGGGCAGCCCCCCCCCCCCCAATATGAATTTCGTTCCGACAGCACTGCCACAGCTATTGTTTCGTTCGCAATTCAATAGGCTCTCCAAAGTGTAAAAGATAGTTTACTTTTTCCTTTATTATCCTTTATTTGTTATAACAGCCATTTTCCAATTGAACTGTGGTTGTGATGGAACTGTGTTATGATAATATATCTCATAATTGCAAAGACTGGTCAGATAACGAGACATTGAATGTTTCCAGCGCATTGAATTTTGGATCCTGGTTATTGATTATTTTTTATTCATATTGTCATTCTCCAAAAATGTATACAGATTTTGTTTGTTTTGTGTTCATAATGCTTACACATTGGTCCTGTCTTTGTTTCTTTTTTATGTACGAAGAATGAGTACCTATAGCAGTGGTGGGGGACCCTGTTAGTAAGTAAGTAAGTAAGTAACTAACCAACGAAGTGACGCGGTTTCCATAACAGAATGCTACGCGAAGAATCCATTCAAAATATGTTTTATTTTGAATGAATAATAAGCCACCCTCTCAAATAATCCCCCTCCCCCTCTCAAAAAAAACTTTCCCTCTAGAACTGAACAAATAAATAAGCCCCCACGGGGCTTAATAGAGCTTTTGCTGTAAATTAAAGCGAATCAACGAGAGTAAAGTCTCGCCGAGACCCTATATGCTGATATTTTTTCCTTATAAACATCTTCATAGAAAAGCCCTATGCTTCTTGTAACCAGAATCTTTACTGAGTTCGTATTACGTACCAGAAATCTTCTTCGTACGTAGCCATTGGGCCCCATGTTTATTATACTTTGCTATTGTGACATTGAATTCAAGTTCAGCGCTACCTCCCCCCTTTTGCAGAAAGCTACGTCTGTCTACCACTTTCATTATTTTAAACTAACTTAGTCTCCGGTTTAGGAAGCCCTGGTATGTGCTTCAACTTTTAAAACATTTCAATAACAGTGAAGAAGGAGCAACCAGATGAATCATTTTAGGCCCACACCTTTGCTGTATCCTGTTCCCACTTTGGATTTTATGTTAAAATATGAAGTGGGATGACGTTATCCTCTTTTCCTTCGTAGAGTTTTCTATGTATCCCACGACTCCCAAGATTTGCTTATATTCAGTTACATTGCAAGAGGAGAGGATGGTATCTTTAGATGCAGTGTCTTCAAAGCATTCAAAAAGGTTTAATTTGATTTTCTCCATCATTTCTCTTTTCACATCAACTTGGCTGTTAAATTGCCGAGATTCTTTTTGCTTTTTTGTTTGCTACTTTGCCACTATTTTGATATATTCTTTATCACTCTTCTTTTAAATCGAGCTGGGTACATTGATTTTTGTATGTCTTTACTAATTTTTGTCCCTTGAATATTGTTTTTGTTCTTGCTCCTGTTCTTTTCTCTTTTTTATCATGTTCTAAACTTGGTCAAGTCACTGCAAATCAGTAATTGTTTTATTCGGTACACTCCTTTTTATTTAGAAAAACAAATTTAAAAATTGTGTTCTCTAGTTTCTTAATGCCAACACCAATTCTCGCTCTTATTATTTCCCAGCAAATTTTAATTTTAACATTTGGGGCCATGTAAATTAATTTTATGCTGGGGAATCGTTTGTATGTAACTTACTAGTTTCAAGTACTTAATTTTATTGGAAAGTTGGTTGTGAAGAATCTATACGTTTCTAGAATTATACGTCAAAGTTTTACACCAACGCTCTTGAATTATTGACGGGAAAACATGAAATTTTGGGGTTCTGCATTGATCTCTAATTTTTTCTATCTGGTAACCAATTCTCGTGGCAAGTTGTTTGTCGGGTATGCATGCTGTAAAATTTCAAGTTCAACGATCAAGCATTTTACATATAAACTTTTTATTCAGTCTCAGGCCATGAATATTGTACGGACGATAGGCCAGGCATTCGAAGTGTGTCATAAGATCAATGTTGAAAAGACGAATGAAGACCAGGAACTCGAGAACAGAGATGCTACTAATATTGCCACATCTGAAGAAGGTTGGTCTCTACAGTATTTTTTATAAAGCATCGTCTTTATATACCTAACGGTCCACGTTATCAAGGGATATTGTGTTATTAGTATGCAGGATATCGTGTTGGAGTACCAAAACTATTGCCAAGTGCTTAACTTTATGGGAATGGCAGCTCAGTCTAAGGTATCATTTGCACAAATTGCGGATCTATCACAACATTCAAGGAAATTTTATCTCGTCCCGTTTCTCGTGATTATGGTCTATTTTCTTTTCATGGCGTGCTTCCCTGTCTAAACAGCCTCTTTAGGATAACTTCGCCATAACTTAATGGACAGTAAATTAAAGAACGTTGTATGAATGAAATAATTGATGGGTTTCAATTTCATCTGTAACATAACCTATATGAGCTTCATATTCTCGGTGAAAGGATAACATCACACCGCGCTCTTTAAGCTTCTGTGTCGCCAGGATCGAGGGGCAATTCACTCTTGGAAATAGCGTACGAGATTTTCCCTAAAACAAAAGGATTTCTAGGGATTTTCAGATAAAACAATAGGATTTTCACAAAAGGTGTATGAGATTTTCTTGGAGTGATTTGCCCCTCGGCCAGGATTACAAAAGGGACTTTGAATTGAGCATATGTTTCTTATTTTAGTTAAATGTGCATACGGTAGACTCCGATTATTGTCACACTAAAAGTGTTGCTTAAAAAGCTGTGATTGTAAGCGGCGTGTTGAGTGAACAGAGCCAAACTGAACAGTTTTTGATAAGGTTTTTGTAATCAGCAATGCGAATTTAAGAGGAGGGACTATAAGCGGATCCCACTGTAATAAGATTCTGTAGTCAGACAGTAATATCCATCGCTTTAGATAATATTATAGCTATCAATTGTGACTGCAACACGGGTCAAATTGTAAAATTTGTTCGTGTTTATTAGATTACTCCCACTTTATTGAACTGGGAGCCACGTGATTAGGCATTTGAACCTATAGCTGCATCTCATGCGCATTAGCAGGTTAGCCTTTTGACGACATGGTGGCACCGAGGTAGAACAGGGGGGCTTAGGACCAGTGGCGTAGCTTGACCCTCCAGATTAGGGGGGGGAGGTCATGAGTAGGAAAAAATCCTGCACGCTGTTTTGAAAGAGTGTTACACCCCTCCAGCTAGAGCATTATTTTTTAATCCCATAGAATGTTTTTTCCAACACGCTGCTCCTTACAAATATCTTGCATAGCGGAGCAGTTTTTAAAATCGTGAAGCCTGATTTACACGAGACAAAATTTTTCGTGCGAATTTTCGCTGCGAATGCGCCAAAAATATACGCAGAAGTAGAAATAGAAAATTCGCTGCAAATTCGCCGCGAACAATTCGCTTCGAAAAAAGCAGAAACCAGTCCTACTTTGTCGCTACGAGTTGTGAAATAAACCAATCAGAACGCCATTTGTAGGCGTCTGTTTTCGTTCCTGATGGCCTGCGTCTTTCCGCTCTTCTTTTTCTAAAACTCTCTCACCTATAGGCCATATACAACGTCAATAAATAGGTTGGTAGTTAATCATTTCTCTTCCTCGTACACACTCCATTCAAGTGGATTCATATCAGTTTATTATTCAAACATTTGAATTTCAAATTGACGAAAACTGGCTTGAAAGTTTTATCGTTCTACAAATATGTCAGAAATAAACAATCGGCAAGAATTTCTTCAAAACTCTGAATTGTTCGCTGCTTAGTTGCCTGCTCAACAGTTTTAAGCAGATGCACTAACAGGATCTCGCATGCTTGTGCGAGCTTCGATTGCGACCTTTGAAAGTATTTGAAAAAGTTATCCTGATGATGTAAATGTGAACGTAAAACTCTTTTACCGGAAGATGAAATTTCCCCTTCTGGAGACGTTCTGAATAAAAATTTGTAATTCAAGGTTGCTTTTTGCTGTTTTCCATGCTTTTAATGAAATTGACTTTGAAATTTTACGCTTTCTGATATCATCACTTTTCGGACAGTCGTTATATCATTTAGCAATATTTGCAGCGAATTCGCATAAAAATTTCTGCCAGTGTAAATTGAACTTTGAATTCGAGAGAAAAATTCGAATCTAAAAATTCGTGGCGAAAAATTCGCTTCGCTCGAAAATTATAAGAGAACTATGGGGTGATAATGGGCTATCAATCGAATTCTTTCGCGCGAATCGAGTTTTTGCCAATGTGAGCATGCGTGTTGTAATATTCTCAGATTTTGCAGCGAAAAAATTCGATTCGCAGAAAGTAGATCACGGTCCTACTCTATCGCTTCGAAAATTTATTCAATTCGCGCGAAAGAATTCGCCTAGTGGAAGTCAGCCTTCAAACAGCTAGAAACTGTTCTTTATCGTATACTAAGAGAATTTCGTACAGCTATTATAGAGATAGGGCCTCTCTAGCCAAAGCTTGGAATTATTTTTTATTAGCTAATTTAACGTAAAAGGAAATGTTTGTTCCCTGTAGAGGCCCTGTAACGGCTTCCCTCACGTCAGATATCAGGAGAGCTTTAAAAAACCACTTAACCTTGGATATTGTATTCAAAGGCCTAAATCATATCATTGACCATTGATTTTGATGCGCAGGGCAAGAGACGAATATCGATGACGTTGGTGAAACAGACATTGATGACGTAGCAGCGGTAGTTGAGCAAGGAAAAGCCGGTCAATTGGACAACAGCGGTACCTTTGTAACTGACATCGACAAAGCTGGCGAGGGCATTCGTCCTACTTTGGTACGTTTATTTTACACACTCTGAATCTATAGATTTTCTTCCTTGTGTATTTGTGCAGTGTTGAATTCCTAACTGATGACGTCATAAAAAATGTACTTTTAGATTTTTGAATTCAAGCCATGTAACCTGAAAGAGTTCCATAAAAGCCTCTGAATATGCGAAGTCAGTTAAACATGTTTCAAATTGGCTGAGATATATGCGTAGGCTATTTCCGTATCATATTAACTACTTCTATCTGGTATCCAGGCATTTCATTAGAAGCCGGTGTCATATGCGTTTCGGTAACCTTATGCATTTCGGTCCAGGTTCTCAAATGCATGACAATTTTGGTTATGCAAAAACGTACCCAAGTACTTAAACAATAGGGTACCAAAACGAATGGTGGAATTTAAAAGTCCGGGTACACAAATGTTCTGCCTCATTTTCTTCAGAAAGTAGAGAGCAATCGAACTTTTTTAACAATGGTGTTGCTTAATAAGAAGGGGTACTAATAAGAAACGGTGCTGTCTATGCAAAAAAGCACAACATTAATGGCGACACCAAAGTTTGCTTGATTGACAAGTGTGAAACTTTGTACTCGAAAAGCATTGTGTTTAATTTGTTTACGATGAAATCACATGATATGAAACACATTTCGTTTCACAATGTTACACTTTTGCATAGGGTACCAAAACGCATATTACACCGGGGGTAATTGTGCTTGTGGGGAATCTTCTTTCTCGCCCTAAGCTTTTATCAAGGGGTGTTAGCGACTTTGAGGACAAAGCGACTTTGAGGGCAAAAACCATCGTCTGCATTGTTTTCTCAGCAATTTTTCAACTCCTGTTTAACCATATATTAAGGCATTTGGGAAAAAGCCACTCTTAGATTAATTACAAATTTATTGAGGGTTATTTCTTGATCGTCGCCCAATTATAGCTCTTCAGGAAAATTTTCGTTTTGTAGAATTTTTCTGAAGCATGTGTCATGATTCAAAATCGAATCCTTCTTTTAAAAGACTTTTGTTTTTCTAATCTCAGGCGAAACCTAAAGAATTGGTTAATGGTGAAATCGGGTTTCCTAAAGATGGCACCTATTTGCAGTGGCAACAGTTCTACGTACAGCAGTTGCGCCTTCACCAATACGAGTCAGAAGCAGCCAAGGCAGAAGTCGAAATGCTTAAACAGCAGCTACGAATCGAGAGCGAGACACGGCGCAACGCCCAGGTATACACATCGAATTTTTCTTTTGATATTCATCATTTTCATCAATCATTGTCATCATGACCAATCATAGAAATTTAGATTCAAGGGTCTGTGGCTCGAGCCCCTGGCATGCTCGCTGTACGCTCAGGCTTAGGAATTTATAAATCACAATCATAAATCATCGTAAATCATTGTTAATCGTTAATCGTTAATCGTCATCATAAATCAACAGCAGTAACGTCAACGAGGTGGCAAAGCTTTTCAGTGTCCTAAAACTACCTTCGGAAGCTAGGTTGCAAAACACACACAAAATTATCAACCATTATCACCAATCGTCAATCATCGTGGCCGATCAATAATCAGTCATCATTACCATTGTCATAGTCAGTCGTCATAAATCACAATCATAAATCATCGTAAATCATCAACAGTCACTTCAACGAGGTGTTTTCTATCTAATCCCATTCTAATACAAATCTTTGATCTTTATTAGGCCCGTGTCGAACAGTTGTTATCGCAAAATCGGGAATTAGTAAAGACCTTGCAGAAATTGATGCTTCAGGCTCAAAAAACGTCAGCTAAAGATGTTTTCGATCCAATTGATGAAACATGGATGGTGGCTCCCATTTCGGACCCTTTTTTCCCAGGCACGATGCCAAATGCTACCACACCAAATAAGGTCACCAATGAATGTATTGCTGGAGTATATGGTAACAAACACCACCAGTCGATGGACTTTGATTCACCCGGAATCGTCAGGACCCCGGTTTCAAAACCTGTTGGCAGTGCCCAGCAGCAGAGTCCGGAGAGAGCACCAGCTAGGGAAGGACAGCCTGTGGGTTCAACGGCGAAAGACATTTGTGGAAGCTTCAGTGACTTACGGAAAGACGAAACCTCACGGAAAGGCGAGGCGTCACAGAATGGCGAGGCGTCACAGAAAGGCGAGGCGTCACAGAAAGACGAGGCGTCACAGGAAGACGAGGCTGACAACGATTTGGCATCTGCTTTGTTGAAAAGTGCCGGAGAAAGAATTGGTGGTATTAGCAGTAGTTTTACTGATTTGTCCAAAGTTGGGGTCAAAGATGAGCGGGTCGATATGAACCACAATGCGGATCGAATAACCAAGTTTGAAAAGAATGAGCAAGGGGCCTCTCCGGAAGAGAATGGGCCAGTGGAGGCCGGAAATTCGGCAGCGGTCGGAAACATCAGCAGAGAAATGATGGAAACATTTTCGCTTGAACTTACTGAACTTGAAGGCGGGTTGTCTAAGGACACAGAACGAGTTAAATTGACTCAAAGCAGCATGACAGATCTCTGACTGGCTCAGGGCATTTTCGTCTTCATTTTGTGTATAGATCGAATTTATAAGCAACATTTTGTACGCATTTTTATGTCATGGGTAGTTGTTATTTTTATAAGATTTAAGTTTGTCGTTTGGTCCTTATCTGTATAAGACTTAGGTATAATTGATTAGCTGATTAACATGTTTTTTTGTTTTTAATTGCTCATATTAATGTAAAGGATAAATTATGTTCCTTAGGATCACGTTAACATTTCCCAGCTTCTATTTCCTTTGCACTTTTGGCAAAGTCACAGCTTTCAGAAACTTGACAGTTTTTTGATATACCGTAAATCCTCGAATTGCCCCCCCCCCCTCGAACAACCCCTCCCCTCGAATAAGCCCCCACCCTAGAACTACAAATTGTCAATAAGCCCCCCCCTCCGAATAAGCCCCCACTTCTATCGTAAATTCTCGAGTTGGACCCTTCCATTTGATAATTTTTGCCATCTGAGATTGCCTATGGCGTTTTATTGAATTACCACAACAATTCATACTTTTGGTAGTAATTAATAAAATGCTCATAAAGAAATTCCTGCTTAAATAAACGAGGTCTTTTGATAATGTCTTCTTAATATCTACAATAATTTTATAAGCCCCCCTCATATGAGCCCCCCCTCGAATAAGCCCCCATCCGAAAATATCAAAAATAAATAAGCCCCCAGGGGGCTAATTCGAGGATTTACGGTATCAAGTTAACACATTTTCTCATTTTTACGTGAATATTTCGTGATCTATGACATCGTACTATCCTTCGGTGTGTTTGAATTATCCATTAGGTTAGGCTGTATTATGCATCCCAGATGCTCTTCCTATGCATCCCAGAATGCGATGCTCTTCTGCATCCCAGAATGCGATGCTCGTCTTAGGTATCCCAGAATGCGTTTCGCATACAGGCAACCTTGTCATTGCCAATCTAAGTAATGAAATCGGCAATCTTTGCATGGATGTTCTATGAATTTATTAACCAAACTTAGGCTGATTCTATCGCATTCTAATGTATTGTATAACAGTATTATTTTAGGATTTTAGTAGCTGTGTATCAACAAGTTATTTAGTATAGCCGTTAAATATTTAACGCAAACATTAAAACCTGAATCATATATTCAGCCAATGGTTAACTTAAAGCTCTAGTCCATTGTTTCTTTTTAGAGAATTTTTATAAAATCCTTACCCACATTTTCTCTAGAGAATATTTTGTCTTTTGTGAGACTGTGCTTTGGGAGCAAACATTACCGCCTGGAAAATGTACCGTACTGCCTTGGGAATGCACCGCAGAACCTTGGGAATACACCGTAGCGCGTTGGGAACGCAGGCTGTCGATAAAGAAACACGCAATGCGTTTTTCATTCGTGTTGCGTATGTGTTTTATGGCAACCTGAGCACTGATTTGATTTTGAAAGAATCATCACACTTAGCAAAATCTCACTGGCTTGAGAGAAAATCAAAGAATTTGTCCTCTTATCTGAAAACTACTTCGTTTTATCTCTTTATTTTTTGCGCAAAGTTATGCATATTTTGTCGTCGTTTATACTCCTATTAAATGGCACTATTAGCCTAGTTAATAATTCGATGGCATTCTGGCAACGAATTTTGCCTGTTTGCAGAATAATCTCATAGATTTATCCCAGTGCTCGCCATTTTCTGATGTCGTTGCTTCGAAGTTATGCAACCATAAGGCTCGTAATTACTTACACGTGTTAAATCAAAGCACACATTTATGGCAAATTAAACGACGAAAGAACAATCTTTTAATTAACAAAGAATCGCCATTTCATATTTTGTTTTCACTTTTCGTAAGATCTGTTGACAAGAAAAGAACGGTTTTAAGATAAGTGAAGTCAGTTCTGTCGTCAGCCGGCTGCGAACATAATTGGATTAAACGGGGGTTCGTTTAAAGCCTCAGACCGCTTCCGTTTCCCAGTTCTTTATCAGCTGCAGACGGATTGGTTCACTTTTGATGAACTCTTGTAGAAATCAGTTATACTGTCAACAGCATCATCAACATTACAAAAAGATCTTCGCGCCCATTTTTCTGAAGGGTTGTTCTTGAGGTTTCGGTTTCTTGTTGCCTGTTTTTCATAAAGAGATCATCAACGTACAACTCGAAATTTCCACCCCCAAGCTGACCTTGAACTATTCATTCATCACGACAGTAAGTATTCCTTAACTTCCATTTTAAAAACAAATTCCTTGAAGTATCATTTTAATAAATATGCTAAGTTTGTTATTTATTACGTTCAACTCTTCTTGCAGATTTTCGCGCAGAAAATAGAGAATGGATCTTTTAAGAGCATTTTTTTCCATAAATGCGATTTTCTGTAAGTATTATTACCTTTCTTCTTCCACAAACTTTTTTCAATAAACATTTTCTACTTTTTAGAATTAATACACTTTCTTGACTTATTTTATTCGCCCAGGTGTTACATATCACCTAATTATTTAATGCAAGTTGTCTTTATTCAATTCAAGCATTCTTGTAACGTTGTTTTTACTAGTTATGTAACCTTTAGAATTGCGTGACGCACTTAAAGCCGGACAGAAACGCCTGCGTTCGCTTTTCATTGCATAGTGTTATGTAATTGTGTAATTTAGGCACTTTGCTGTGTATTCAAGAATACTTATTTGAATCTCGTATTTGTAGTTCCTTGAAAAAGTTAAATTGACAAAAGTGGCAAGTTTTTCAAGAGACTTTCGGCAGAGTTTTATTTTGAAAATCGACACCCTTGACAACAATTTTTTCTGACGTATGCTAATACATGCTTTGGGTGGGACTTGTTAGCAACAAAAATTCCTTGCTTTCTCTCTTCCCACTTTGGCACGTTGTTTAGAAATGGTACTTATTGCATCCTGAGACATGCAGCCATATACTAGGTTGTATTAGTATCTTAGAAGTTGATACACGGGACAGCATAAGGACCATGGGACAGCATAAGGACCATGGGACAGCATAAGGACTATGGGACAGCATAAGGACTATGGGACAGCATAAGGACAATGGGACAGCATAAGGACCATGGGACAGCATAAGGACCATGGGACAGCAAAACGTAACAGGAAGACACAAGGCACTTCATCTGTTGGAGAGAATACAAACACTAGTTATTGCAAATATCCTCTGCAAGCCTCGCTAATCGACTAATATATGAGAAGAATAGTTTCAGACCCAACCCTTGAACTTTGCAGGAATTACTACGTTTTTATCATCGATAATACGTTGTAACTTGAGATATTCCCTTCCCACCATTTATGCACCAGTTCCTTTCCACCTTCCTGACAAGTTTATACTATGCTCAGTCATCATTTATGATTGGCCTTTTTCGATCCACAACTGGGTATATATTTTTCATCGTGTTCTTTCGGACCCTGATTCTGCCGTTTTATGCTCAGAGGAGTGTCAGACGAAAACGCTTTTAGTATGTTGTAAAATGTCTGCTTTTTTCAAAGCCATTTTCAAATTCTGTACCGCAAAATAATTGTTCATCCTTTAGCTGGTGTTCTCAGCTGGAATGGGTCATCTTTGTTACCAGAAAACCATCTGCGGAGGAAACTGTTTGAAGGTTATGATCCAAATGTTTTCCCAGCGCCTCGTGATAACAGCAAATTTCAAGTCAGACTCCAAGCAATCGTTAAATCGCTGGACAGTGTAGTAAGTTTTATCACTTGATCAATATTAAACACAACTGCGATTATGTCATAAATGACCGTTCGGCTGGAGCCAGAGTATCTAAACTTCAGTTTTCAATTGCTTTTGATGCGGTGGGACATACAATCAAAAGTTAATGAAACTCTTATAATAGTCATACTTTGACAATCAAATACTATAACAACCTGCTGTTTTGATTTTCGATTTGCGTTTATTCAAAACGTTCTTTTCATTTTACATTTTCGTTTTCTTTTACCTCTTATCCATTCTCTTTAGTTATTGCAATGTTTAATTGTCAATTGACTGTTGGTTTAAGCTGTCTTTCAGTTAACCGCTTCGTTAGATGGCATTGTTAACCTCAAACGCAAATTCTTTTCTCTTTCACAGGACATACGCTCAACAACAGCAACAATATCAGTCGTGTTCAATGTTGTAAGTGTCTTCATGTTTTATCACCAATATGTTGCTTTATGCTAGGCCTAACAGGCACCCGTTCGTGACTTTCTTCTTGCATCTTCCATTTTGGTGGGATGATCAGGTGTTTCTAAGCAACTCCAACCTTTGTTTGAATTAGGTCGCCTATGAGATACCGTGGAATTTTATCTGCGATTGTTGCTATCAATACTTTGGACTTCATATTGTATTAATTAATACTATGCAAAGATTCAAAAATGAATTTTTAGGATCGCCATCAAACCTTTGAGTGGAGGGCTTTGATAGACGGAATGCCAAACAAAAGCTTTGAAATGTTAGTCTTGTGTCTATAATAAGGGAAGTTGGGAACCATTTCAGTACTTATAAACATAAAAATTAAAATACAAATGTATCTTTTATTGTTTTATAAACTTTAGCTATTTTCCTCTATTATGGATGTGCCACATCATGAAATTGAATGAGAAAAGATTCACGAAAGGATTCTTTGAAAAAAATACTTGAAAACATTTCATTTGACATCGAACAATTTCATTGTAAGAGTAAATCAGTATCTGTTTACCATAAGAATCCGCTGATGACTGGAATACGACCAAAACATAATAACCTGAAAATTTGATAATCTGGGCGGGGGGGTTGGGGGGAGGTTATGACAAGGTCTGGCTTGATGGAAAAGTTTTTAAAAGTCAATAGGTGGGAGGGGTGAGGTTTATTGTGGACACCAGAGTATGCGGCTCTAGTTAATTATTGATTATTATATGAAAAAGCAAATTAGTTAATTGGATCTTTTTGACGCAAGACTGTTGTAAAACTCTGTTTTGTTTTGGACAGGCATGGAAAAATCACCAACTAAAGTGGAAGGGTTCTGAATTTGATTCGGTCCCATTCATATTCAGCAAAGTATCAGATGTATGGACCCCGATGATTACCCAAGTAGAATCGTAAGTTCGAGACTTTAACTTTTTTAATTATTTGAAATCGGGCTCTTTAGCGAGAGTAAAATATTTATTTCTGTTCGCTTTTTTGAGCTGCCGTCGTTTTTTAAAATTTTTGAATATTGATAACGCTTAACCTGAAAGAACATTATCGAATGCCCCTAAATCTGCAGAATCAGTTAAATGTGTTACAAATTGGCTGAGACATACGTGCCACACGAGGACTGGCACTTTCCCTATCAAATCACCATAATTTGATCTTGGCCCTTATATCCCGGCCAGAACAACTGCATTCCGTTGGCGAAACTCGGTTCTTTTAATTGCTGTTTTTCTGCCAATTTGCTACTGATTTTAACTGATGTTGCAGGTTATGTGGTAAAAAGTGAAAAATTCTGCAAATAGATTTGTTGATGACGTCACAATTTGATACTCTATAGCAGAGCTGAAACTAAAGCTCTTCTCCCGCTGTACTTAAATCTTAGCCCTTTAAACGCAATGGTCTGTTTTCTCTAAACCTTCCGATATTTTCGTTTTCATATAGATGTTCTAATAACCAGGGCGCTCTTAAACATCTGACGTTGCACTTTTTAGCTGTTGCATATAAATATATATATATTTTTTACTTCAGTGGAAAGATTTTATCAACGGGAAAAGAGGGCCTGCTGAAAGTTTCAAAAGATGGCCGATGTACTTTCCCTATGATAAACCAAGTCGTTGGAAAATGCAATACAGATATAAAAAGCTACCCACACGACGTCCACAAATGTGTTTTTACATTTTATACTTACAACTTGTATACATCATTTGCTGACCTGGAGTTGATAATGGAGGGTGATGGAGACGAAACAATCAACGGAGCTTGGTCTTTCACTAGTGAGTAGCTTCAAGGCAAATTAAGTTCGAACTTTCAGCTATTGATGATTTGTCTCAATAATCCTTTCTCTGACCCCGAGGTTGATTACGGGGAGAGGGGAGAGGGGGAGAGGGGAGAGGGTGAGGAGAGGAGAGGGAGAGGGGAGGAGGAGAGGGGGGAGGGGAAAGGGAGAGGGAGGGGTGAGAGAGGGGGTCATTTTTATTTGTGGTCTATAGAATAAATACATAGATGATATAGATTTATAGAAACAATCGTTCATTATGAACAGAAATAATGAATTTTGGGGCTAATTATTGGGGTTAAATTTTGGAATTAACTATTTAACTCACAAATTATAATATTGAGTAGTTATCCAATACAAGGGATGGTTTGATCAGAAAAAAAACATTCCCCAATCAACATTATTATCTCTAGCTTTTGCTAAGATATTTGCTTTCTTTGTCTGTCTGCCAGAAAATTTGTCTACAATTAGCTTTATATGAAATTTGCTTTAAAAATAGGCATTATAAATTTCTTCCTTCACGCTTTTGTACGTCAGTACTTGGAGCAACCAGAAATTTCGTGATGTCCCCATCACCGTGATCTGCTGTTTTACTGTAAACTTTAGGCCTAAACAATTAAAACTCTTCATAAATCTCACGAATTCTTCACAAGCAACGTCTAAAGTCTCTTATATTTCATTGTATATTCTATCATGAATTGAAAACGTTTCCCAATATTGAGATATACATGGATCCTCAAAATGTTAAAATTAATGTCATTAACATTAAAGAATCTTGCGCAACCGGCATGCTTAGCGGTCTCGAGAAAATGATTGTGTTTTGTATTTTCATGCAGTACGATATTAGGCCGGTTTTGAAAATATAATCGCAAGGCATGCCGGTTGTGAAAGAGCCTTTAAGATAAAGTAGGTGCATGGAAAGATTAACATGAGGCAAAATGTGGTTGATATGTGCTTTTTGTGACGTAGTCTTCTAATATTCTCTATTCCAGAAACGGCAAAAGTGATCGATTTCCACACTTTTGCAGCTATGGCTATCGAGGTCAACATCACACGGAAACCAAGCTACGCGAGGCGCAAAATCTTGCTGCCATTGTGTCTACTGGCATTTGTTCCAGTTGTAAATCATTTGCTCCCAGTTGAGACGGGGGAGAGAATTGGTTTTTCAATGACAGGTCTTCTCACCATGATGCTTACGATACAATATGCGATGGACCAACTGCCAGAGGTGGACGAAGAGCCTTTGACAGTTTATGTTGGCAGGCTAAGCCTCTTTTTTATGATGGTGTCCCTCATGATGACAACAATTATTCTTAATGTATACCATAAAAAGGGGCGACCAATGCCACGGCCATTGCAAAGGATTTTGAGAGTTGTTTGTCGATACGTGCTCATCAGCTACCCATCTAAAAATGCCGTTACTGACATTGGGTCTGATAATGAGAACTCTGATGATTGGCTTATTTTGTCACGTGCTCTCGATCGGATTTGCCTGCCAATATTTATCACAGTGATGATTCTAGCTGTTTTTCCTATGGTGTTATAGCCACAATCAAAGACTAAACTATGTCTAAAATTGCAATTTGACGATTAGTATGTACACGCAGCAATTCCTTGAGTCTTTGTAAATAAGAGTTATCAGCCCTGTACCTAATGAAAAAGGCATTAAAGAGGCATTAACGACGCCGTGTAGTGATATTGTAATTAAATTATCTTTGGTATAGTTACGTATATTTACTACCTTTCTCGTATATTCTGTATTGTTCCTTTTTGTGCCTCTTGCATATTTCTCTGATATCTAGACATCTTGATAACCATAGAGTAGCATCAAATTAAAGTTTGCGAAAAATTCAATTAATTGTGCATCTATGTATTCCTATTGTTTGATGTTCCTTTTACCTTATCATTTGTCATACCCGTATTTAAATTATTCGTTCGGGTGTTTTTCAGTGTCGTTTTACTAATTGGTCTACCGCAAGCGTTCCTGCTAGGTCCCTTTCTTCCACTTTTTTGTATAAGCCTTTGTTTCGGAATCTCTGCTTAGAAAATAACACCAGAGACAATAGGTTGTCGTTTTCGGGCTCGATGAAGGTTTCACAAGGAAGAACAAATGCTCAAGTAACATGACCTTGGGATGCACCAAAATTTTGTAGGAATCAGACGATTCATTTCTTTATTTTATGGACCATCCAAAATAGTTAATTTTGCATTTATTTCATTTCACTTCATCAATATTTAGACTTCAGAAACATTTAGACTCCATCCAATGTCTTTTGAGAGCATTTCATACACTGCCCCTTGTCTTGAATCAAATGCTAATTACTTGGGACAGTATGGGGCTATACAAGCTCAAAACAAATGTCATCAACCTGTAGCACTGGTCTCTTGCTCCTTGGGGGTCACTTGAACTTTTTCAAATACAGGGGAGGTCCATCTGATAATTAGTGGTAAGAATTTTCCTTGTGATCTGATACTTTTGGGTACCTGATTTAGCAATATACCTTCGTGATACTTATGGCTTTAACTAACGCAAAATAATGTCGAAAACAGAAACAAAAGAAAAGGTGTTAATATAGGATAGAGTGTTCAAACTGACTATTATAGGATAGAGTGTTCAAACTGAGTATTACAGGATACAGTCTAAAATTATTATAAATAGCTATCTCTAATGTGCTCAACAAAAAGATTTTGTATTTTGATATTTTCAGTTCATATCAACAATTTTTAGTTGATGTTTTTGGGCCTAATAAATTTGTTTTTGATACTTCTGGGTGCATTTTGATAACTGCAGGTGGTCTTCCCTGTATACAAAAAACTGAATGACTCCCCTGGGCTCTTGTTTAACAAGATTACTGTAAAAGAGACTTGATAAAAGAGCCTATAAACACCAATGTGTAAGTGATCTTCCTTTGGTGAAGTGGTTCTGCTCGCACAAGCGGCAGATTATGGAATCTTGCCGTGGGGCTCTGACACGGTTAGAAAGTTATAAGGCAACGGTAAATTAAAGAGTCATTTAGACGACATTTAGTTATGCGCGTCGTCTTCTAAAGTTCAAATGCGCAAGGCTTGTGAAAACAGGCGCTTCCCTAATTCATATTTTCATAATGTACTTTTGGTGAAGGCCACGATAACAGGAACGCTCAACGGAATCCGATAAAATCCTTGCGGTGAAAAATCGATGCAATGTAGTGAATTAGTAACACCGCAAGGCGACGTGAATGGACAACAACAAACGCATGTAAATCAGTTATGGCTAATGACTAATGTATGTTTGCATTTGGAAAAACATCACGCCCCCACGGCCATTGGCCGGAGAAGTTATCGAGACAAAAAGGAATCGAAGAAGGAGTTCAAAAATTTGGAAGGATGAGGAACTTGAAGAAATTGAATTGCATTTTGGCTTCCAAAATATATTCAGACACAGAAAATGAAACAAATAAGCTAATATTCTTAAACCTCCTGCTTTTAAGAAAATTGTGTATGCAGAGCTGCATTGCACTGTAATTAACATTTCATAGTTTATTTATTTGATTCTGTTAGTAATTGATTTGAGTGGCCATGCCTCCCACTTCCTTGGTAAGCAATGATATTTCCAAAGAGGTCCTGTTTTGAAGCACTAAATTCAAGTTCGACTTCTAGAGCTTGGCCCCTCCACCTTGAAGTTCGTGGCAGTTCACATTCAATAGACGATGTTCACCTTCCTTCCCCAATGCGACTGGGTTTTCTAATTCATATTGGAAAACCCAGCCCCAATGGGACAGATGGATACTGCGGATTTGCACCGGATTTTTCATGGCATCCTTGATGTGCTTGCACTCTGCAACTACAATTTTGCCTGTGCGTAGCAGGTCTGTGCTACTTTTGTCTTCACAACCAACACCAAACTGACCGTCTTGCGTCATTAGGTTCTCTCTAATGTGAACTGGAAAGGAAACATCGCCCTTTGAGCTTGTTCGCACAAGGAATAAGCATGCCGCTTCATCAACGCATTCACTTGATGGTTCTTCTTCACCGTGGATATCTCTGCAGTGTCTTTTAATGCTTTTTTCGTGCATGGGCTTATTACAAATTGGACAGTTTTTTATAACTGGATGTTTCATAGTGTTTTACCTGGTTTGGCGCAGTTGGAATCCCTTTTACATTCATTGTTTATTCCAGTGCCTTGCAATGACTTTGCATCATCATCGCTTATATTTTCCAATCTTTTTCGCAATCTTCTTTCTGGTAAATCGTCTCCTCTTGACAGCCTCATTCTTTGTACTATTCTTTGGTGTTTCACCCTTAAAATTGGCATCTTCTGCACCATCTCCTGTTGCAGACTTTATCTCATGCTGCTCAATATGGGTTGCAAATCTGCTTTGGTTGCATACAGTCCTGAGGCAAATGGGACAATGGTAATGCGATCTGTTTTTAACAACATAGTCCCCATGATCAAATTTGCACAGCAAAAATTTTGAGTCGGAACCAAATGGAACTGTTCCCAAAACTAGTATGGATAGACCTTGCGTTAACACGAATTATTGGAGCCGTTCCATTCAGAGCTGTTATACATATTCTTCTGACTCCGCTACAGGAGCAATTTCATTCGTTTGACTCCGCTAGCGCTCTAGTGCAGTTCAATTTTCTTTCGTCCAAACAGGGTTCAAATCATGCTAAAAAGGGTGGCTGCAGCGAAATAACAACTACAAAAACATTTTAATAATTTTTGGATCACACCTTTTGCCTCGCATTTTAAATACAGCACTGCTATAGGCTTTGAAAATCTTTAATAAGTATGCGAAAATAATTACCCTGCTGTCCCAAGTTCTCCATCCATTTATAAAAATATTTTTCTTTCTTCTTAATCTTGCTAACCTGATTTAAATTGACTGTTGCGATTGTTTCGTTCTATGAGAATTAAGTAATAAAAATAAGACATTGTGAGAAAATTTTGTTTTCATCAAAATCGGTCAAGGCCTAATATTTTAAATGCCACATTCTCGCTTGAATTCCTTTAGATTCTATTCTGGTCAATACAAAATTCTTCAAATGGAAATGTACCTCAGCATTGAATATATCGCACTTTAAATATTATAAATGGTAACCCGGAGCGCGTAGTGACTTCTTTTACATGGAGATCGTTAATGGTAGCATCCTTTTATGCTTGAGGTTCCCCTATATGTAACGTCCCTATATGTAACGTCCCTATATGTAACATCGTTATAAGTAACGTCCCTATATATAACGTCCCTTTATGTAAAGTCCCTTTACGTAACATCGTTAAAAGTAACGTCCCTACATGTAACGTCCCTTAATGTAACGTCCCTATATGTAACGTCCCTATATGATGACATTATTTCATTTTTCATGATGATATATTGCAATTATTTAATATTTCAAAATCACCAAAGCAAAGTATTTCGAAATTTTCGATAGCTCTATTCTGCCTTCAGTTGTCAGGAAAAGTTGGACCGACTCAATGCAAGTTGGACCGAGTCTTCAAAACCAGCCTTTGCAGCTAAAAAATATAGAAAATGAATAAAGAATTTGTTCAGAAAAAAGCCAAAGGGCCCCGCACTTGGGTATAAATAGGGAATTCATTCTCTTTGGAACTTTGATGATCATTTGGTACTTTTGTAGGGAATCTAAGGACACCGGATGAAATATTTATCTTTGTTTTGTTCATGGAAACAACTAAACAAATTCGAGACATACATGCAGTGGCATCGCGTCACCATTCTCGTTGGGGGGGGGGGGGGGTTGTGTAAGAGATGCAAAACCATGTTTTACCGACAGAAATTCTTTTGTTATAAATTTAATACTACCGACGAGTTCTCTGAAAGTTGGGGGTGTACACCCTCCACACCCCTCCCCCGCATGCTACGCCCCTGCATATATGTAGCAAAACTAATAGTCAAAGTCTCTTGTGTGGAAGGTACAACCAGAAGGGGCCCACAGACATGTGGATGGTACAACCAGAAAGGGCCCACAGACATGTGGATGGTACAACCAGAAGGGGCCCACAGACATGTGGATGGTACAACCAGAAGGGGCCCGCAGACATGCCCGGGAGATACACTCTGCTAGAAGGATTCGTGAATTTTGAATTTCGCGACATCTTCTATGCACCAAACTCAGTTGTTGAATCGATTCTTCATGTTATAGTGATACTGTTACATCCAGTCACTTGCAGTCTTAGGTGCATTAAATAGCAAGAAATAATGCTAAAATGAAGTTAATGCAAAGCTAAAACTAAGTGAAATCAACTCTTACGATGTTCTCAAGTAGAAATCAAATGAACGCTACACATTGAGCGGGAATTTTGCATAACAACTAGCAACCATAAGAGTAAAGGCCACTGATCATTTTAAGCCTTGGGAACATTCTGGCAGATAACGGGAGTCACGTTCACGTTACAAGCTCTTTCTGATGGTATAATTAGATTTGAAAAAATCGCAAATCAAAATTTTGCTGACTGTGCATTTTTCATGCTTCCAGAAACGCGACTTCCGGTCAATTACCAGAATGTTTCCAAGGTTTAAAGTGGTCAATGGCCTTTACTTTTATGATTTAAACTTACATCGAGTTTGAAAAACAGTTGGAGTGGGACAAATTCTCTTTGCAATTGCGTGTTCGTGGCTTGTCATAATATTTTCTTATTGTTTGACCTAATGTAGTTATTTCGTTTTGCGTCAAGTAACGCAACTTATATTCACTTTATTTGGCACCATTTTCGGCAGCATTATTTATTGGCACCATACTGAATTCAAAGATATGGCCAGAAACAACATTTTCAAGATAAGAATAATTTTGCGGGGAACATGTTAGCCACATATAAAAAAATTAAGAATGAACAATATATTTTTAAATATTATTCTCAATCCTGCAACTTGATTTGTTTACAAAACTGTGGTTTAATGGTCTTATAGAAAATTCATAGTATGTATGTGTGGAACAATCAATGTAGATAAAAATGTTATTGATTTTGGCATTTTTCCTAAACGTGAAGTATGAAAAGCCTTTAAAACCCCCCAAAAAAGGTTGCAATATTTAAAAGAACAACCCAAGTGTAACATGGTATCTTAACAGATCTACAGAGCAAAAGTGACTTGAGTCGATGCTGTTATCAAATAGATAATTCTCACGCAACATCTAAAAAGGTATTCAGTTATTTTGTTATTCCATATTTCATACTGGGAACCAAATTATTTCAAGACTAAAAAATCTAATTATTTATATTTTCATCACTAGAATCTCAATTATTTAATATTTCAAATACCCCTTATAGGGTCTTGCCGATATCACCATAACTAAGTAGGTTTTTTTCATTTTATCTTCGCTTTCAATTTATATTCCAGTTATTCAGTTTATTGCCGCTGTAAGACATTCTGTACTTATTTCTATCCATAATTTACATGTTTTAGATCGGATAAGATTTCTATATATAAGATTGTGTGCATTTCTCTAATGTCTGTCCCGTTATAAGGAATATATAGCAGAAATATATGGTCATATTATTACTGATTAAGGGAAAGCAAAACGTCTTGCAAAAGTGTTTTCTTCGAGTTTATATACTATTCTTAAAATTTTATAGAATGCGCTCTTGAAAAAATATATTTTTATATTGCAGCAACATATAAAGAGCAATTAAAAATTTGTAGCAATGGATTAGAATTTTGATCGCCTCAAATAATGGGTGCAATCAAAGACTTAGTATTAGTTATGGTTCAAAGAGACACTTTAATTGCCGTAATGGCATTAGAATTGGTACATGTTTTGGGTGGAGCTTTTTACTGTAGTCAAATGACCTGCTGTTTTTTGTATGAAAACTCGGGTTTTAAG